AGAGTGCCACAAAAGTTTGAGTGAGGAACTTGTTCATATAGGTCTATAGACTACTCCACCAGAAAATCTCATGATAATAACCATTGTGTGTGGCTCTACAGCCTCATTTTTGGTGGACCTATTTTGGTGGTTCGGCGCATTACGCGAATCCGCGCATTACGCGCACGGACACGGTAACGCCGCTAAAGGCGCAGCTCGCAACATAATAAGCAAGAAACGCCAACAACACATCCAGTACGTGTCGGACCAGCCAGAACAGTGACGTACAATCCAGAAAGAAAACCCCAACACGTGTGATACCGGCCTTGTCAACCCCTGGGTATCGCCCATTCACAAAACGAACTCAACGCTACCATCCTCAGACGACTCGCAGATCTCCAAGACCTTCCAACCATTACTGCCACCCCCACCAGGCGCGAAAGTCGGCAACACCAATGTAGGCGATATGCTAGGTGCCTGTCGAGCTGCCATCCAGGATTCAACCGCAGCATAGTGTTCTTGGATGGCCCTCGTCTGATGTTCGTGTAGCTGGTTCCACGCTACCATGCGATCGTGGTTCACTTGGTCGACGAGCTGGAGTGCTTGAACTTCAGCGGTGCGGGAGATGCGGAGAGCACGATCGAGGTGCAACACGCAGGAGGTACAGCTGGAGACGCTCTCACACTTGAGAGAATCGTAGTCTGCAAGCTCCATTTGATGGCCCTTGATGGCATCCTGTTTAGGTAAGCTGATGTCTACACGGTATCTGAAAGGCGTGTTGGTTTACATCAAACCTGCCCTGGAGGTTGTCACGCTCGATAGTAAGAAAGTTGTTCTTGTGGTAGAGGGTGTTGAGGTTGGCCTCGAGTGCGTCGCGCTCAGCGGCGAACATGCCGCATTGCTCTTCGAGGGCGGCGACGAGCTCATTGCAGCTATCGTGACGGTGACTCCAAGTGTCCGAGTTGACACTCAGATATGCGGCGAATTCTTCGCGCAGATCATTGAAGGCTTGATCTTTTATCTCGCACTCCTCGATCTTGCTCTTGAGCTGCGCGCTTAGCATGGCGAGCTTCTTCATGAGCTTCTCGTTCTCGGTCTTGATGCACTTCTCTTCTGGTGTAGCCTTGCCCTCGAACTGGGCGGTGAGCGACTCGACGATTTTGGTCAGCTGTTTGTTCTCCTTCTTGACGCGTATTTCTGACTTGCGGGCGTCCAGGTGCTTTGCCTCGAGGCGCTTGCACTCGTCACTTTGGCGCTTAATTTCGTACTCGGCGACCTCGAGCTTGAGCTTGGTGTCTGGCAGTATCTGCGCAGCGAGGAGAATGTGAGGGGCGATGATTGCGACTTTGTGCTCGGCAAGCAGGATCTCGGCCTTCTTGAAGTGCTTCTCATTGTCACGATGGCAACCTTGGATCTTCGTGATGAGCTTACTCGCGTTAGAGAGCCTGGCGTCGACTTTGGCATTGATCTTGTTTATCTGAGCCTCAGGTTTGGCGATAGTGGGGTCCTCGTAGGCGGACATGACGAGTGAGATAAGATGGAATGGGTGATAAAGTAAGATGAGGTGAGGTGATATAGTATGGTGTGCAAGACGAAGTGAGTAGTCTGGATGAGAGAGCTAGTTTTGATGAAGTGAGTGAGTTGGGAGAGCTTGTGGGAGGAGTCAAATTACAAGTCGCTTAGAGTTTGACGCAACGAGTTGGTGCCTGGGGTGAGGTGAACGCAAGCACAATGACAGCGACAATAGCACGCTGCACCCGCTTGTGCGTACCCAAGAGGAAAGCGCGTCAGTTTAGACCAGGCGGCCAGAGTATGTCGACAGAGACGGTGTGGAAGTCCATTAAGTTCCGATGCATGGAGCTGGAGGGCTTTGGGTGAACGCCGTTGACTATGTAGCCCAATGACGCACCACTAAGGTTGCAGGATATGCTACGAAGAGCCCCAATCCTGATTATTCGAGATGATTTGAGCGTAATTGGACCGAGCAATGACCTTCAATTGAAAGTCAACGTCGCAGCAGACCCCATAGACATGCTAGTCTAGAAACCGAGAGGGCCTGAGAAATCCCTGAAAAGTTCTGGAGGTATCCAGTGTCAGAGTATCTAGACGACAGACTACTTATCCAGGTGAGCAATGTCTTCGCTAAAGGAATCGTCGTCCGACAGTTTCTGTGCTAGACGCCCCTTCAGCCTTTCGTTTTTGACGTGCTTCGCCGTGAGTGATTGGCCCAACCATCCAACTTTCTTCTTTGAGGAGCTTTTCCTGTAGAAGTCCTATCTTAGCCCCTTGCTCTTTGATTACCTGGTGGTAAACATTGCGATCGTGTTGATTTCTGTTCTTGAGAATCTCGACCTCGGTCCGAAGCGCACTCTTCTCATGATGAAGCTTGAAATTAGATGCTTCACGCATGGCTCTCAGCCCTAGCTTCAATTGCTCGATCTGCTTCGCAGCTTGGTCATATCAATACTGTGGTAAGTACTTGTAGCGGCGTGGTCCGCTGTAGTACACTGATAGCTACGGTAAACGATAACGTAGTACTATCGGATCGATGGAATATTGCGCTGAATTGCTACCCAGCTGGGAGATGACGACTATATACCTGACCTCAGACCAGTGACCTGTCACACACTAGACTAGGGTAGTCTGTCAGGGGCACAGTCAGACCTTGTACGGACCAACCGATACCGCAACATTTCTTGAGGCTTTCAGTGTCTTGTTGTATTGCCTTAGGAACGGTATAGCACTGGATGTCCGATCATATTCACTTCGAGCCCCGGTCATGACATTAGTCTTCTGACCAGCTTCTGTTCCCTTCCGTTGAGGAGCAGCTAACTCAGGTTGCTCTTCGTCATGAAGAAGCGTTGAGAACCAGCAACCCAGGGAAAAGGCGACTACAGCGATGGTAATAAACCAGAACGCAATTGAATCTGGGTCAAGCGAGGGCTCCTTATAAGTGTTGTTGACTGGTGTGCTGTGTAATGTGACAGTAAGTAGAACTGTGAGCTCGACTGGCACCATTTCGTGCACTGCTGTCGCTCGTTCGATACGGAAATGCGCTGTGTAATGTATGAGATGGATTTGGTAAAAACTGTCGAGACGCCAATGACAGTGCTGGTAACGGTTGTGGTAAACTGCTGGGACAAGTCAGGTGGATTCATGATGAAATCCCGAGCTTTGTTCGCCAGCGGTCCGCTGCACTGATTGTCCAGCTCATTCGGTTAGTTCAGTTTGCTTCCCCATCCCTTCTACTATATAGTGTAGCTGCATGAGCAGTGCCGGTTGGAGGCTGTGGTCAATGATTGTATTGCTATCTGTGTTCGATGATGCTCTCATACAGGAGCTCTCAGCTCAGAGGTAAGTGCACTTGCTGCCGGGCAGTGCCTTCTACAATAGGAAATCATGTGACTTAGGCCACGTAGTTACATATAGTCCCGATCGATCCTCGTCATAGCTCATAGACAGACCAATCAACTCAATCATCTCAACTCTTCCACAAGCTTTAGCAACATCATGAGGGTCACTCGGAGGAATTCATGGAAGATATTGTCTCGCAACAACAGGAAATGTAATCACAGTTCCCAACCCAGTGGAAAGAAGATTTTTGTTGTAGAGGAGATGAAGTATAGGGTCTGTCATGGTGTGTGCTTTTGGATATGAAACTAGCTGTTCGCTTGGAGATTGTCTGAACATAAGGAGCTGCTGCGTCTGTAGTACCACCATTCTAATGTAGTATTGAGCAAAGCTCATAAGCACGGTTCAATTGATTCTCAGGGATGAGTACAGTTTCTGGAACAGTAGGGTCTATCACCTAAGCAAAGCTTATGATGATAAGGGGTAAGTTGTATGGTGGAACACCTTAACAACTTGGGTAATGATGAGTAGTATAGAGTAGACTATGTGACTCAAAGGTTGATGAGATTCCAACAACAAAGTTGATTGATGAGGTTGAACACAATGCCATAAGGGCAATGTTCCTACTTGCTATATACTGTATGAGAGGGTACTGTTTGTGGATGAGCACGCACATGTGTCAAGCAGTCATGTGACCGTTGGTCTGTTACCGAGTACTCCTGCTGCGGCTGCGGCTGCGGCTGGTCGTAACCGTCTTGTCTGGTTGGTGGTTACTTATTGCAGTGCCATCTGCCGTGTGGGACCCAGGATCGCAACATGATGCTGCATCTTCAAGAGCGAGTACCAAAGTATTTGCTTACACATTCTTCACCAATTGGGGCCCATCCCCTCTTCCAGTCAGCAGCACACTCATTTGCTGCAATCTCATCAATTGTCACTACCTGGTGATGCTACAAGTGCGTGAGACCTGGTAGAAATGCTGCCAGAGTGCTTCACTACGAGCTTTGGCATGCTTAGAAGCCACTTTTCTGGACCACCCGGGCCTCTCCAAGGTGGCATACATGGCCCTTTCAGTGCAGATGGCATTATATTCATCATACAAGAACTCGCACAGCTCCTCCAGGTATACAGTAGGCTTCTTGGAAAGCCAATCAAGCAAACCCTTCATGGGTTAGTGAACAGCTCTCATACAAGTTGCACCACTTATATTCTCCTGTGCCTTCAACAGCAAATTTGGCCGGCCTTTCACCATACTCTCTGGGGATACAGTGTATTGTAGAGATCTATGCTTAATGAGATGCTCTTCACTGTATTCCCAGCAACATTATGCTTCCAGGCAAGTGGTTTGAACCCAATATCAAACTGGAGATCAATAAGAATGTCCCTCAGCTTCTCTGAATGAAGTTTGCGACCCTTTTGAGCATGTTGGTGGTGAAGAATAGTGCTTTGGGATGAAAAAATGCATTGAAATGGTGTGCAAGTACTCCTATATATATACTTCACAGTGACATATAGTACCAAACAACAGGGGGTCAGCACATTTCTTCAACGATTGTAATTACGGGCTTCTCAATGTAGGCGTCTTTGTCTGCAGTCTAGACATTCTTACCGCATTTTTCCAGCGGCATATGGGAGGATTTCTGCTTTTCGGCATCACCCCGCTTCAGCGGGCGATGCAATCCGTACAAATTTTGGCTGTCTTCCATTTTTGTGCATGTTTGCGTTCGCCTTCCTGTTCCAAAGGGTACAATGGTCGGTAGATCCATGACCCAAGTGCACAAGGAACGATTACACCATGGCACACTCAGTGCGTACATAGCATCAACACCATTCTTCGTACCACGCAAGCCCACCCGCCCACATCAATTGCTAGTTCGTGTGCATGCAACAATAGTCTGGGAATTCATCTTACGCACTAGTGCCAATGCAAAACAACTTGGGAGCTATGATCACCACGCCTCCCCACCCTCCTCCAACTTCCTCCTCGCCCTCCCCATCAACCCCCTCAACCTCTCCGTCTCCTTACTATCCAAAAACTCCAAAACTCTCCTAATCTTCCCCTCCTCATTCACATCCAAGACAAAAATATATTCCCCCGTATGCTCCCACTCCTCCTTCCCGCCATCCACAACCTCCTTTCTAAACTCCGGGGTGTCCTGCTTTCGCTGGTATATGAGCTGAATGTAAGAGTGAGACTGATTCATCGGACGTTGTGGTAAGTCCGCTTATCGCCGGACAGGTCGTATGCAAGCGCTGGGGCTGGGTTTGCTGTGGTGTCTGTGAGTGAAGAGAATTGGCTGTTGAGGGTGGCGTCAAGATGGTGAGTGGTTTGAGCTCTGAGAAATGGGTTAGGAGGGGGTCAATATGCGATTGACTGAAGGCTCCATTCGAAAACGACCAATGCTGAATGTAACATTGCTTAATGATGACTTGTTTACAGTTCAGAGGATACGTCCATTTGGATAGAGCCTCAAAACAAAGAGCTCTGCTCTGGAAGAAGAGGAAGGGAGCAATCGAAGCTGCGAAATCTCGCGTTTCATGACGCGACGTGTATCCGATAGTATGTGTATCACAGTACTCGCTTACTCTCCCCAGCAGACATACAACATGTGTTCCGAAGACGGCATGCCTGACGGTCATGTGTACATCTAAAGGCCAGGCTAGGATTCAAGTCATTGCTCATCCACAGTCCTTCCATCCCATCCACCTCACGAGCTCTTCTTCCCTATTACAGGCAAGGATACCTTTGGCAACGCCGGCAAATTCGGCACCTTCACGGCCCCCAACCGCCCCCCCTGGAGCTGCGCCACCGCATCCCCCAAAAGCACCCTAACCGCTCCTTCCATCCTGCGATCCCCCCTCCTCCTCATCCACCCCAGCACCAACGCCAGCACTAGCAAATCAACAGCTATATGCTTAACACTCGCCCAAAAAAACCGCCATATCGCTCTAAAGAACCGGTAATGGACGCGGTGCTGGAAGAGCCGCCGTGCTTCGAGTTGCTCTCGTAAGGCGGCGACTTCGGCGGTCATCCTCATGAGCGAGGATTCCACGCGTTTCCGCCATTTGAGGTCTGCGGCCGAGGGTGTGTCTGCTTTTGTTGGTTCGGTCTTGGGAGTGTTGTGTGTCGGGAGGGGAATGGGTTGAGGGATGATTGTGCGCATGCGGGGCTGTGGTGTTGGTGTGCCGACGGGTCCTGGCTCTATGTTTCTTCGAGATGGTGTTCGTGAACGTGTAGGGCGTTTGAATTTTGATTTCGGGTATTGTGAGGGCAGTTGCGCGTTTGCTTCTGAGAGGTTGTGGTCCATTGCACCTTGTCTGTATAGTTCGAGCGCGTATTGGGAGTCTGGGGCGTCGACGAATTCTTCGCGCTCGAGGTCTGCTTCTTCGGCTTCGAGTGATTCTTCGCTTTGGGACATGGGCGATTTGATCTGGAGGGGTTGATCGTCGTCGTCGGCGTGGTTCGAGTATTCTTCCTCGTCTCTGGTGGTGCGTTGCCGCTCGAGTGCAGAGTATGAAGCTGACATACCTGTTCCTACTTGGTCGAGCGTCTGGAGGGGTGATGAGGAGGACGAGGAGGGGACGTTCGATTTCACTTGGTCCCAGACGAATTCGAGTTCGGCGACGAGTTCGCGGGAGTCGGGCGACGGCGAGGCGTACTGGTGCATGGTGTCGATCAGGGTGGTGATGTAGCGGCGTTTTGCTTCGGTGCGCGAGAGGTTTTTTTGCTGTTTCCAAGCGGCCCTGTGTGTTGTCAACATCCCATACTTGATATACATGGCAACCCAGCATGGCGAAGCGTGGAGGGTGTCGCGTGCATACCATTTCTCTCGCGCCCTTTGATCTTGCTCGCTGTCGCCCTCAGGTCGGTCCATGATGCCATCCACATCACCCTCTATTCACATCAGCCTCATCCCTCTTCTGTGGATAGACGCTGCATACCCATGGCCTGCTTGTATAGTCCATATAGCCGTAACCGTGTCGCAGAGGGAGGCTTCTGCGACCCCGTGCGGATCTTATTAACTGTGTTGAGTGCATGACTGAAGACTCGATCTATACAAATGATATCAGCGTGTATCTAATTTTTTTGTCGTTGCCACTGCGACATTGATGTCGTTGCACCTACCTACTGAATCGGCCATGACGAGCGTCTACAACGCCCACGTGTGGGGCGACAATCGCAAGGCCCCAGTTCATCCACAGCAGTCTAGTCGATGGTCGTGTGCGCAAGACAGATATCCAAGAACAGCTGTCATAGGCAAGGACTCGAAGGAAACGTGCATGATGCGATCAAATGCGGAGCCGGGATGATATGCTCGATAGGGATGCTAGGAACTGGGGTCGCTTCACCTCCTGCCTCGGCCCCGGGAGAGAGGCCGGGGCGGCGGTTTCGGGGGGTTCTTCACATGTCACATCAACCCAAACTTCAACCCATGTGCATCTTCACATCTGCATTATCACAACAATCGTTCTGAGCGCAGCAATGATACCGAGTTGCTTGCAATATGTATCACAGCTTCCATAATTCGATCGAATCAAAGCTCTCACGTCAGGAAGCATTGCCCCAATCTGGCAAGTCTGCCCGCAGTATGTTTCACAGTCGCCTTCGTACAGAGCCAAGTCAAGACTGTTGGTAACTATACATTATTGTACATGTTGGTCTTTGATCGCATCCGCGATAGTGCTACACCTATACTACGCTGGTCTCATGCACGTCTTCAATCGCCAAAGCAATAGCGTCGCATGTCCCTCTTCCTTTAGACAGTGCATGTCTTTGGCCGGCCGTGCGGTAGCACTCCATCCAGTGTCCATATTCTTACAACGACGCATGTCTTTGACCGTTTAGCAGTAGCATCGCGCCTCTTCAGTATTATGTAAACGCGCGTCTTTGATCAACAGGTCGCCTGATGATAGCGCTGCGTTCATCCTCCTCTTCACTTGGACGCCTAGTAGACGTACGGAATGATCCTGTACGGCACGAGCTCAACGTACCTGTCCCAATCCTTGCCATACTTCCTCCTGCACTTCTCCTCATCGCGACGCTCGCGGTGAATGAGCAGAACGGCAAAGTACACCATGAAGAAGTACGTGAAAATCATACCCCAGCCCTTTGCACCATCAGGCACGACATACTTGCCATAGCTGTTCTTGAAGAAGTATGCGTCGGTCTGGGTAGCCTGGATGGGGTGCTCGGTGACGTTACGGATCACGTAGCCAGAGAGTGCGGTGGGCAGGACGTACGACCAGCTCATGAACCAGTCGCCCAGGTAGTTGATGTGGCGCGCTGTGCCCCACCAGCCAGACACGAGGAGACGAGAGCCAGCGGCTGTTTCGATGTACTTGAGGTGCTTGACGCGCGGGTCGTCGGGGTTGGTGCGGAAGCGGTTCTTCTCGTTATTGACAGCGCGGAAGATGTAGTAACCGATGCCCTGAACTGCGAGGACAGCCACGATGCCTTGAAAGCCGAGATCGACAGGGTAGACGGAGAGGTAGCGGGCTTGGAGACTGTATGTGAAGGGGACCCAGACAAGGTCACCAAAGGACAGCATCATACCGAAACCGTCAGCGATCAGGTCAATGGTGGTAAGAATCGCGGGCTCCATGTACAGGGCGTCGAAAGTGTAGATGGCTTGGGCGGCGGTGACCAAGATGATCGAGTCAGTAACACGGCCGTGGTTGCGGTACTGCTTCATGATGAAAGCAAGGTCCATGATGATCCAGCCCAGCATGCCAGGGCGCAACTCGCACCATGCCTTGATGTCGACCTCGCCGAAGATGGGAAGCACGACACGGGGATTCAGCTCACGACCGATGAACCAATCGTAGAGCATATTGCCTGAGTGGCCGCCAGCAGCAAGCTCGCGCATGCCAGGGTCCTTGGGGTGCTTGACGCTGAAGGAGCGGACATAGACGTAGGTGGCCAAGAAGTAGGAGATCAGGATGTTGGTGGTGAGGATGCCGACGTAGTTGTCGGTGATGAAAGTCCAGACAGACCAGTCAGCGCCATACACAACGGTGCCAGCGCCTAAGATAGCCATGGTGAAGAGGGCGGAGCTGAAAGCTAAGAAACGTCAGTTGCAAACATAGATCTAGTAAGATGTACAACATACCATTGAAGCGGTAGTTCAGCTTTCCGCCACTCCTCAGCTCAGTACCTTGAACCTCAGTACCGGGCAGGAATGTGTGCAGGGTCAGGCTGAGCAGGTAGTAACCCAGGGTTCCAAGAACAGCGTTGGTGTTGAGCAGGCCCTCAACGCCAGTCCATCCAACTTCCTTTTTCAGCTGGTCAAGACTGAAGTCCGACGGAGAGAGTAGGATAGGTGCAGGACATCCTGAGATGTCGTTGCACAGAAAGGTGAAGACGTAGACCAGGACAGGCAGACCGAATGAGATGACGAAGGCACCTGGGCTAGGACGAGTTTTAGCTGCGGAAGTGAAGGAAAAATTGCGATTCGAACGTACGGGCCTAGGAACTCATAGCCGTGAGGTTTCTCAGCGGGCAACCTGTCGACCTCGCGTTTCGAAGCCATGTCTGGAGTTGCTGCCCCTTGCTCTTTCGATATTTACGGACGCAAATCGAAAAGGGGCAGAAAATCAAAGCACTCACCAAAGTCTACACACTCTCGTTCAGACTCTCGTTGAGACTCTCGTTCAGACTCTCCAAATCGCTCCTCTTCAGTACTCGAGAAGCGGGTGTTGTCAGATATATAACCTCACCAGGCTCAAGAAGTCGAACGAGCAAAACACAAGCCGGATCGCTCGAACCCGTAATGATGCGTAGAACGCGCGGGCTCCATCTATGCCAAGCCATACGCTAGCGCCCGATCGAGACGCGACGGACAGGGATGCTGCCATTCGCGAGCGATGATGCAGCGGGTGAGCTCCGGGCAAACGTGTTGGCATTGAACGCAGGGCGGCTGTTCACGATCCCATTCAACACCCGCCATCCCCAACATATCCTGTCTTTACAGAGCCCAGAGCCACGATGAAGTCAGCGCTCACCTCGCTGCTCGTCCTGCTGTCGTGCAGTCTAAGCTGTGTGAAGGCTGCGAGCGACAAGCCGCTCAAGCCGTGCACCGTTGTATCGCCGACGACCGAGCGCTTCTTTGATCTAAACGGGCTGCGCCGGACGCTGCCCAAGGAGGGAGACAAGAAGAAGGATGGCGATGAGGGGAGCTGGCATGCGAAGGGGTACGACTACGGCGCCAACTTCACCGTCAACTTCTGCGGGCCGGTGGTGGAGGAGTTGAGCGATGTGCAGGATCTCGACAAGAAGCTGTGGAGGAATGTAAGCGCGTTCTACGAGAGGGGCGATAGGCAGTATGCTATTGGGTGAGTCTTGCCAGCTGGGGTGGGAGAGAGGACGGCGCATCGCTGGATGGTGTTGCGACAGGCAGCAGCATACTCGAACACGGAGCTGACATGACGGCAGTCTCGAGAACTCAGAGCCCATATTCCGCGGTAAGAAGCTCATCCTCAATTATACCGGCGGCTCGCTGTGCCCCTCGACCTCCTCGAAGCGCTCGCCCGTCGAACTGCCGCGCGAGATCATCGGCGACGACGACGATGACGACGACAAGAAGCACGAGGACCAAGACTCGGACAAGAACAAGAAGAAGCCCTCATCAGACAAGTCGGAGCGCCGCAAGACCACCATCATCTCGCTGCTCTGCGAGTCCGATCCGCTGGGCAAGAGCAGCATTTCCTTCGTCGCCGCTGTCGACGACTGCACATACTTCTTCGAAGGCCGCTCGCGCTTCGCCTGCGGTATCGTACACGCGGACACGCAAACACTAAGCCCCGGCGGTGTATTTGGCGTCATTGCGCTGATCGCGGTGCTGGTTTACTTCGTGGGTGGCTGCGTATACCAACGTACCGTCATGCACCAGCGAGGATGGAGACAGCTGCCCAACTACGCCATGTGGGCGGGCATCTGGCGATTCTTCTCGGTATGTCTACCGACACGCTTCAGGCAGGGGAAGTACTGACAGGCCTAGGATATGTTCATCATTCTTACATCCTCCTGCGCGCGCTTCATGCCGTCCCGTCGAGGCTATAGCCGTGTCACGCTAGGTGCGGATAGCAGAGGGCGAGGTCGACGAGACGAGAGCGAGAACAGGCTGATAGACAACCTCGACGAAGAGTGGGACGATTAAACGTGCGACGATACCTTTTCCTTGTATATGACACATATTATTGGCGTTCAAAAGGGATCTGATATAGGACACGGACTGGACAGCGCCTCGGGGTGCTGTCTAGATAGACAATGCCATAGATTGACCCACATCGTCGCTGATTCAATCGTGCTGACTCAGTCGTCCTTGAGTTGTTCGACATGACGAGGAAGGAGCGACCACAACTGCTCAGAGGCGCACATCTCCAGGTCACCAGCAGCATAACACTCTCCACACGATGGTCGCTTTTTGCGAGTGATTGGGTTAACGAAGCCAGCGAGATGATGGTGTGTACCTTAAAATTGTTTCCCCACTCAATGCTTACTCCGAACACAGTATCGAGTTGCACCTCCAAGCACAATGGACGAGGTTCGATTACAACCATGCTAGTCTACGTAGCATCAACTAGGCCCTAGACTCGGTCTCAGAGCGTCCCTCTGCCGCATAGAATGCCCTGTACGTATCTCGAAACAAGCACCGGCCAAGATCTTCTTTCACTGTCAATTTCTCTACGACCACCATCCACCCTAGCGTGAAGATCCTAAGCATTCACAACCCCACTCTGCTCAGGTCCTTCGAGTTCAAGTGAAGTTCCCTCTTGCTAGCTTCTAGTCAACGATCCCTCTTCCTGTAAAATTGAAGCTCACCTCGCTCGACCGTCTCTCCACTCTGTCCACCCCACCTCTCCAACTCAGACTCCAGACGCAAAACACCGTCAACATCATGAAGCCCTCCATAATCCTCGCTGGCTTCCTCGCCACCATGGCCGCCGCCAACCCCAAAGCTTCTCATCTCTACGTGGTACAGCGATTAGGGCTAACCTATTGCAGTCATGGGCGTGCTGGTTGAACCCTGAAGCCTGTGCCATCACTTGCTAGTGCGGTACTATTCGCTGCAAACCGGATTGCAAGATGTGTGGGTACCGCTGTTAGATGGTGTTCGGGTTAGGTACTCCCTATATGGGATACAGGGTCCTGGTGCAGATGGCTGTGCTGGGTGCAAGGGCAGAAGATTTGAAAGGAGCGATTTGGACATTGGAAGGATTTGGCGAAAGGATGGTACATGACACACGGCCGATAGTCAACGGGTTACAGTCTTTCTGGACGATAGTCAGCTCATTCTTAGACAACATTGAAACATCAGGTGTTTACTTCTTCCTAACCCTAATGCTTCGACGTACTGCAATGCATGTCATGTGACTATCGTTCCTAAATCATGCCCCTTCTGGTTTTACGTGTTCTCCGACTCAGTCATGAGGACGGAATAGCAAATTTAGATGCAACTGGTATAAGTGAAGGTAGATATGCGCCTGCTAGCGTCGCTCCCTCGTCCCATCCACTACATAAACTGCTTCTACCTCGCCCTCTCTGCTCTCCCCCTCTCTGCTCTCCCTCACCACGAGCTAACATTGATCGAATTTGCCAACATCCAATCATTCATCCACTTAACCACGATGAAGCTCATGGTAATGATCGCTCTCTTCTATGGCATCTTCGCCGCCTCCGTCATGGCCGCACCCACTACCACCGGTGACGGTGAAGTGACCTTCGTCAACTCCATCCTCAGGGACTCCTCCGCTAACGGCGACTTCGCTGCTCCGAAAGACAGGCCTGTTGTACCACCAAACACCTATCTAGATGTCACGCCAGAGCGCTGCAATGCGCGCCAGGCAGAGTGCATGGAGGTCAGTCGAACTAACTTGCGCGCGTTATGAGAAGGTCACTGATATCAAGTTGGAGAGGATCTACACATGCGTTATCCCTATTTGAGCATAAGGTTGCAAGACGCTTGGGTACAACGACTGCACACATGTCACCGACACTTGGGGAGCCGCCAACGCTGCCGATACTGCTTCTGCCGACACTGCTTTCTCCAACAACACTGAGTCGCAAGCCGCTGCCCGCCTTGTTGGGCCTCCTCCAGGTCAGGCTCCTAGGCCTCTCAACGGTCCTCCTCCTTGCCACTGCTTCCGTACCACAAGCCTAGCAAAGGGAGGTGCCAGGACGCTTTCGACGAGTGCAGGAAGGTAAGTCACCCAGCTCCCTGCCCTTGATCATACTCCTGTTGTGATACTAAACGGCACTAACATGAAAACAGGGCTGAATTTGCAAAGCCGACCCCAAGAACTGCGATAGGCTGTGCGACTGTTATATTGGTATCTGGGACCGCGCGTGCTACGCTGACCGGGGCCTCGGCACTTGTGTGCACGGCCATCGCTTCCCGCAGACCTGAGTCGTTCACAGGCTGCTGTTGAATATAAATCTTGAATAGATTTCTCTTTCAGCTGCATTTCAATGATCTGGGAGAACCGTTATATACGGATTGTGCGCGAGGGTGGGATTGGTGATATCTCCTGAGCGATAGTTAGCTCTTCCTCCCATAATGACATGAATGGGAACGTTCGTCATCCATTTCTTCCACTTTGAACTGAAGCTGTGCTTGATAACATACAGAAGCATACCGAAGAAAATGCTCAAGGGCAGCCAAACAACCCACGCATAACTTGAACCCCCTTCTTTCACCCAAATTCCTCAAACTCTTTCGAGTCGGCAACAATCTTAGCTAAACGTGAGGCGCCATTTCCTTGAGCTGCCTCCCACGAAGCGATGCGGACAGAACTCAAGGATGTGCAGCATCTCGATGCGGCTTCCTTCCTCACCGTTCACGGAGTACTCCTCCACCAACGCCCTCGAAACGCTCAATTACCATTGATATTACCCCTAAGATACCACTCGATGAGACTGTCGTAAGAGCGACTGCAAAAGATCAGAGATAATGTGCGAGTCGCACGGCAGTAGTCGGCGGGCGGCGGGCGGCCGAGTTTACCCCACAACTTACCCCGGATCTGCATGCAAGGCCGCACGCCACATCCTCGGTTTCGAGTCGCGATGATGTGTTCGAAGTTTGCGAAATGCTGTTTTGCAGGCTGTCGCGTGATTCGTATCCACACTTGATCACGTATTGCTTCACCAACGATTGGACAGCACTTCGGAAAGCAAAGAGCTTCTGATTGTGTTACAGAGTGGGGAAGCTAGCCTCTGCCTACATAACACGACTGATAGTGTTGATTCTCACAGCACTTTTGCATATAGGTAAGCCTAAAGTTGACACCTGAGAAGTGAATCTCATTGACACAAAAGCCCCTGAAGCGATCACAACTTTTTGAAAGCCACTTGAGAATATATCAATCATGGCTACAGCAAAGATCGTTGCCCCAGCTCCCATCACAGAAGTCCCCATTCCACTCGCCGACAAGTCAGCAGTAGACATCAAGACAGAAGACATAGCCGAGGCAGAACCACTGCCCTTCGATCCAGTCGCGCTCAAGGAGAAGTACCTTGCCGAACGTGACAGGCGTCTCGCTCGCAATGAGGGTATCGAGCAGTACACGCTTCTCGACGGCAAGCTCTCACACTACCTGAAAGACCCGTGGGTCGAGTCAGGCTTTGAGCGCGATCCGGTTGAGGAAGAGACGGATGTTGTGATCGTGGGAGGAGGGTATGGAGCTCAGGTCGTAGCTGTTAGGTTGATCGAGGCTGGGGTGAAGAACTTCAGGATCATCGAGAAGGCTGGTGAGTTTGGCGGTACTTGGTATGTTCATCGGTACGACTATGCCTGGATTTGGGCTGACTTTTCAGGTACTGGAATCGATATCCAGGTAAGCGTCCAACTCATCTGGTCTTCGGTACTCATAGTACTGATTCAGAACTTAGGTGCACAATGTGACATCGAGTCTTACATCTATATGCCTTTACTCGAGGAGGTTGGCTACATGCCTACTGAGAAGTACGCCAAAGCGAAGGAACTACTCAAGCACTCGCGCATAATCGGCGAGAAGTTTGATCTTTACTCCAAAGCTCTGTTCCAGACTGAGGTTGGCGAGATGCGTTGGAATGAAGAGGAAGGCAAATGGACAACACACACATCGCGCGGCGATGTGATCAAGTCGCAGTTCGTCATTCCTGCAGCAGGACCATTGCATCGACCGAAACTTCCTGGTCTGAAAGGTATCGACGACTTCAAGGGTCACTCCTTCCACTCTTCGCGCTGGGACTTCGACTACACTGGTGGTGGTTCTTCTGGTGATCTGCATAAGCTTAAGGACAAGCGAGTCGGTATCATCGGAACAGGGGCTACTGCAGTCCAGATTGTTCCTCATCTCGGTGAATGGGCAAAGCAAGTCTACGTCTTCCAGCGCACTCCATCGTCAATCGATGTGCGCGGCAACAGACCCACCGACGAAGAGTGGACGAAGGCACTTCAGCCGGGATGGCAAAGACACCGCATGGACAACTTTAACAGCCTCATCAACGGCGGCAACGAGCCTGAAGACCTAGTCGGCGATCGCTGGACAGATATCATCCGGTCCCTCCTCACCGTCAAAGGCGGCCCCATTTCAGATCCAGCTGTGTTTGCCGCCAAGATCCAGCTCGCAGACTTTAAGAAGATGGAAAGCATACGCGCCCGCTGCGATGAGATCGTTAAAGACAAAGACACCGCCGACGCTCTCAAGCCCTGGTACAATCAATTCTGCAAACGCCCCTGCTTCCACGATGAGTATCTTCAGACCTTCAACCGCCCGAACGTCAAGCTTGTCGACACCAAAGGCCAAGGTGTCGATCGACTCACAGAGAAAGGTGTCGTAGCCAACGGCGAAGAGTACGAAATTGACTGCCTAATCTACGCAACCGGCTTCGAACTCGCAAACGACTGGTCGCACAAAACAGGCATCGAAATCTACGGCCGCGACGGCACCACCATCACCGAGAAATGGAAAGACGGTGCCTCCACTCTACACGGCTGGACGAGTCGCAAGTTCCCCAATTGTTTCTGGGTGTCCGTCGTGCAAGCAGCGCTGACGCCGAACTTCATGCACGTCACTGCCGCACAGGCACAGCACTTCGCATATGTCATCTCGGAGTGCAACAAGCGTGGCATCAGGACAATTGAGCCGACGCAAGAGGCAGAGGAGGAGTGGTGTGATATCATCGTTAAGGGCACGGCGATCAGGAGCGACTTCTTCAAGGAGTGTACCCCGGGGTACTATAACAATGAGGGCAAGCCGAGTATGAGTGCGGCGAGGAATGCGACGTATGGGTATGGGTCTCAGGCGTTCATTAAGATCTTAGAGGCGTGGAGGGAGAAGGGAGATTTGGGTGGTTTGGACGTAAAGTACTTTGATAAGGAGGGGCAGAGTATTGCGCACTTGTAGTCTTTAGATTGTCATTAATGCCGTAATGTAACGCCTGCCATATCTCGCAGACATACCCAAACACGTAGTTTTGAGTGCCGAACGCCGAACTCCATAATCGAGACTCAGAACCCACCAACCCTTACTTCCCCGACGAAACTCGGTTTCAAGAAGTCAGTTATCTCACCCTCTTCGGGCGGCGTATGTGGCCCCCCAACCCCCACACTCAGTCCTCCAGCACCTCCTCCCACCCCCACACTACTCGTCTTCCTCCTCTTCCCACTCCCCCTCATCTCACGCTCATAATCCAACTCGTCCTTGAGACTCTCGACTTCTCCTTCTTTCTCCTTCCACAAGCGCAGCACCTTCTCCCTCTCCTCTTCGATCCGCCGCTCCTCCTCTTCGGATTCCAACTTGATGAGGGCGAGCACAGCATCGCGAGCTGCGGCTGCTGCATCCTCACCCTGCAACGAGGTGCCGGTGGAGCAGCCTATTGCGCCGAGGAGGGCGCCGGTGGGGGAGAGAATGGGGAGGCCGCCGGGGAGGGTGCAGAGGCGTTGGGTTGTTAGATTGAGAAGTGGTGTGGTGGGCACCTGATCTGACAGTGCGGAGGTGGGCAGGCGGTTCGAGGCAGATGTAGTGGCCATGGAGATGGAGGTTTCGATTGAGGACAACTTGGCGGTACCCATGCGGGTGAAGGCGAGCAGGTGCGTGTGTGCGTCTACGATGGCGATGCTCATGGGTACGCCGATTTCGGTGGCGTAGAGTTCGGCGGCTTTCAGGGCCACAGATGCGCCGGTTTGGGTGAGTGTGGGAAGGGAGACGACTGCGCTTGATTTTGTCGCCATGGTGGGAGGCAGAGAAGGTAGAAACACTAGTGTGAATGCAGGATCGAAAGAGCTGTTGTAAGCCTACGATGATGTGTAAAAAGTTCAGAGAAGGCCGAAAGCAAACAGCCCAGCCCAAGGAATAATAAAGCAGCAACCATGGAAGGATGAAATACGACATGCGACAGTGGGGACTGCTGCTCTTGTAGCTCACCATGTGGCAAGCTCCGCCGGGTACCCAGTTCAGAATTGGAGAAAACGGTCGGGCCAGGAGCAAGAATCCGGGGCGGAATCAAGCATCATATCTCGTACGCGTACCAGAACTCTGACTAGGGTTATTTGGATGTGCGGTAATCTTGGGTTGTGGCCTTGTGCTGGGCTAGACGAGGCCGGGTACATTGTCCCGAAAGGGAAATACTTTGGTACTGTGGAGAATATGACAGCGGTGCTTAACAGAGTCGAGATGAGCATCCAGCTGGGCTATCGGTCGGTAAGTGATCCGGTGCATCAATTTAGCAGTGGACATGGGAGACGTTGGACGGAGTGCGATGCCGGAGGTAATATCGGCTTCAAATCGTATGCAACTGATGTGAAAGGTTATCATCCTGCATCAAGATTCATCACGCTAACTTATTATGTTCAGAACTACGATGCACCGGAAGACTGGACGGGTAGTCATTACCAAACAGAGATCGTTGTTGAAACATCCAGCAAACGTTGGTGTCGAGCCTGGGAGTCGAGTCGCGCTATTTCAAAAACGCCCTAGCTTCGTTGAGATGTACCATGTCCGTGCACGTGATGTGCACCCCAACCACTTCCACAGTACACACGAAAATGAGGCTGTAGAGCCACACGCAAAGCTTTCATCACAAAAGTTTTGGTGAAGCTTTCTATAGACCTATGCAACCAACTTTGCCTATACAAATCTTCATGGGAGAGTAAAAGTGCAGCCGTGCAATGTGGTTTTGATTGGGGCTGCCAGAAGCAGCTGTTGAAGTCATACTTTAAGCAAAGCCTGTAAGCATGGTTTGATTAGTTCTCAGGGATGATTACAGTTTCTAGAACAGTAGGGTTTATCACTTAAGCAATGCTTGTGATGACAAGGGGTAAATTGTATGGTGGAACACCTTAACAACTTGAGTAACAATGAGTAGTATAGAGTAGACCCTCTTGTAACGCCTTCGACCGAAAGCGCTCCGATAACGTGTGGTCCCTGCGGGACTCAGCACACCGCTCTCCTTCCTGTCGCTAACTACCTCCGTGTCACCTAGACATGGGTAGTTCCAATTCCCCTCCGAACTGTATATTTAATCAGTCCGACACAGTCGTTAGATAGAGCAGTTTTTCTGTATCCTTTCGTACAAGACCTATAGGTGTAGGGAATTCAATCTTAGTGTTCTCAACGTCCCAGCACTCCCATATGCCTCGTAGTGGACTCACACTTACTTCGGACATCTTCCCTACTGGCCTGCGTCGTTACACCTCTAGCTCAAAGGCTGATAAGATTCCAATAACAAAGTTGATTGAAAAGGCTGAACACAATGTCATAAGGGCAATGTATCTACTTGCTATATACTTGAGTGAATGTGTTTGTTGTGCATGATGCTCTGTTGCTCTCTCTGATCTCTAGAGATCAAGAGAACGGGAGAGCATGGGTTTGTTCTCCTGCTCTTATGCCAAAGAGAGGGTGGCAGATTAGGTTGAATTGCTCTCTCAATTGACTTGCTTGATATGTTCGCATCATTGCAAACGATGTTATATCACCGTTGACATCAAGCTGTTGTCGAGCCTCTTAAGGAAAAGTATCTCCCAAGATCGAAATTACTGACAGGTTTCTACAATTCTACAGCGACGCAGATGGTTACGCGGAAGCGTCTCGTTGCACTCAGTATCTACACGACTTTCTCCTTGCTACCACACTTGTATATGAGGTAGTGCATGCTGTAGGCGTGATGCGTCGAGGTAATCTCATGGAGCCTCGCTATCGACTGGACTATTCCGAGGCCGAATGGGGCTATGCTTGGGAGAACTTCATTTTTGGCAGTATCTTCAGCCCGCTAGACAGGACCAAACCTAGTACACACCTATTGATGCGTAAGGTCTGGTCTGACGTGAACTTAAACGCGAAAGGTGGTAAGGAGTGTTGGTGCGTTGCAAAAGTCTGTGGACCCCCTGATTTTAGATATGCACAATACCATACTTCTGATGCCTGAGGAATATGGCAATATGCATACCATTCTACTCGCATCAATGAGCTGAGTCTGATAAAGGGTAAATACTGCCCTAATTGCTGACGGTAACTAGGCTAAAGGATCCTAAAGGATGTTATGGTGGCGGTGCGGTGGTGAAAATGATGGCAACAATGATGTATGTGATCCTAAGCTTGGCAGCAGCAGTGCCTCTGAGTGGTGGTGAAGGTCTGGGTCTGGGTCTGGCACGTGAGAGTCCACTTATATACCTCTAGGCTGCCCCTGACCCATCCTTCCCTATACTACCCCGCCTTAGTTCTTGTTATGACCCAAAACCAGGGGGGTCCACAGACTTTTGCAACGCATAATACTGCGATGTTTCCATGTCTTGGATAGCACATCGGTTCCGTACCGAGACATGGATTATTATCGCAGAGAAGGGTCTAACCGCCATCGCACCACCAACAGCTCACTTCAAAAACCAGGTCGCTCACAAACTTGATGCATGGGTGGTCTACTCAGATAGCACCAATGTACGCAAAGACATCGCAGATCTCTACAGAGAATGGCAACGTATGGCAACTACCTCGCGTTCGAAGAGTCTTTGGATTGCAGATTAGCCTCACATACGATCTACTACAACAATCGTACAAAAGCAGAGCTACAAGAGTTGAACGTGCCACGAACAGGCGACGTGCCCATGTCTTCTCTAATTCAGAGTTTATTGTCGTCGAACAGTTCTGACCACAGCATTAAGAAGCCGCGTTCACTAGCACATAAGCTGCTGCCAACGACAAAAGCGCCTCTTTTTGCCGCTTGTGGCGAATCTTCACCACGCAGCATCCGGCGGAAGCGACGAGTGGATGCAAATGATGATGGCGATTACTTACCGAAAACTACGAAATGCAAGCGTTCAAAGGCATAAATGCGCTGTTTCTCACAATGCCCATATGATCTTAAAGGTGGCAATATGGCCATTGAGCTCCGAGAAGTTTCATGTCTCTGTTGCTCAGTACGAGCGCAGGCTTCATTTTTGTACATATGCATTGTGTCATATAATGTTTATAGTATTGCAAAGTACTCACTGCTTCACCTCCGATGCACTTATGCCTGCCGTTGGAAGATTGAGCACATGACAATGTCCACCGCATACTTCACGCCAGCGAACGAACCGTGACACAGTACACCGCCATTTCGCAAGATCACATGTTCATTATCAGCGATTATCAGCCATCACACCAAGCGTTGTTAGCAAGAATGCTTAATGTCGTTGTTTCTATTTTCGGTCGTTGTACTGCTGTTTCCGGGCCGAGTCTGACACCTGCATGTGCACAGCCTCGCTGTCAGCTGTCACCCGTCAGCCCAAGCCGAGAGCCCGTAACACATGCGACCGCACACCATGTGTAGATCTCCGGCCTTATCTGAGCGGGTTTTGTTGATTGTCGGAGCGGATGCATGCATGAATCGAGGGTATTCAACGTTGATCTGGCTGCAGCTTGAATGTTCTGCGTCGATACGAAGTAGCAACTGCAACATTTCTCGCTCGCTAAAGGCGGCTACACAGCTGAACTTACACAACTCACCGAACATCGAAACACTGTAGATCATAGTTTGCAATTCATCGATAAGGTTTGGTTTCGATGTTTGTGGCTCCCGTGTCTACCTAATCAAGCTTTCCAGCCCCCAATCACCCCGCACTGTACTCGGGCACTTGTAGTAGTGTAAGCGTTTTTGCACTACCGCTGTACCTCTTCTGTGCTTCATCTCCGCCTTGCTATCAATCGAAAATCATCGGCGTCCAATCTTATAGCCGAGTGTTTACAGTGACTTCATCAGTGCCATCTAGAGGGCGAAAGAAGATCGATATGAGCAGTCTCTATATTAAGAACGCAACTTTCACATCGAGTTGAACAAAAGTAGTATTGCCGGAAGATCGACACGAATACGGGCATCCCTTGGCGGCAGATGTCAGCGATGCCTTCTAGCGACCTTCTCAACTGCAGGACATAAGCGAACCCGAATCTGTCCTTCAATCTTAATTTGAACCTTGAAGCCTTCGCTTTGGGGTTCGGAAAGTTCGGTAGTCCACGGAATACATGCAAGACAGGGACGCACATGGTGTGTTGTTCAAGGCTTCTTGCAAGGCATACTGCTGCACATCTACCCATCTGTTCATTCTTGTGTCATTGATAATGAGAATATGTGCTTAGTTGTTTGGCGAAAGTTACCCGTAGGCGACTCCTCATAGTTGATCAATCACTGAGCTGCTAATCTGAAGGATCAAGACTAGGTAGTAAATCATGCATTTGATTATGATCATGGTAACCATTATGTACACTTGTATTCGTAATTGGCCATATACAGAAAGAACAACAGGGCTTAAAATATATCTCAGAAGATGATCAAGCGAGGGTATCTTAGATGCTGAGGTAATTCCCATCAACGCCGTGCTCAAACATGACAATTGTGAATATGCAACGCAGTGCGTATTGGGGCAAGAAATCAATTTCTCCTGCCTCTGGCGCCGCGCCATCTCGCCTCCAAGTCTCTTGCTCTTGCTGCTGCTTCTGCCCGCTTCTTGGCGTTCATTTCTGCTTGGCTTTGTGCATAGTCTGGAAGTTCGTCGTCATCTGGTGTAGCATCCCCATCGAGACCCAACATCTCCAACTCAGCATTTATAGCATTCATATGTGGTGTGAGATTGGCGTAAGATGGTTGAAATGTCTCTTGGCGCAGAACGCTCGACATAGGTGCAGACACAGAGCGTGAAGACGCGAGCGGCGGTTCGAAGCTCTGCCAGCTTGCAGTTTGATGCGTACGATCGGGTATCGGTGCTGGTATGTATTGGGGCGGGACTGGTATTGATCCATTGCTAGGTCTGCGCGCGAAAAGAGAACTCTGCAATCGGTTCGGACCATTAGGAGACCACGGATCCGAATCTTCTGGGAGACCGGTCGTTGCTTCCACGAAAAGATGAAACTGTGAAGGATCGGCGAACGGTTCTGTGGGAGACAGCCAAGTGTGTGGCCGTGGCCTGCTAGACACAACACTACGGGCTGTGGGACTAAGTATTGTAGTATCAGGAAACGTTCGCGCTCGGGTAGGCGAAGCATCAAAGTGTGTGTCCACCGGGCTTACGCGCGATGGGTATTCGTGCATCGCAGGATAGGGCTGGTATCGTGTTGTATCTCGATAGGCCAGGTTTGCTGACTGGATGCGAGCAAGTGGTGGACATAATGGAGTGGGGTCATGACTTTGTCCGTATGGCGAATTCGGCATGCTACGAGAGTATTGCTGTTGGTAGTGGCCGTGTACATCCACACTTAAATGAGCCCCTGCAGACAAATGCCGTTGGCTATGAGAGTGTGGCCCAGGTTGCAGGTACGATGGGTCGAGATGGGTGCTCGAAGATCGACTCCGAAAGAAAGACCGTACTGTGGCTGACTTTCGCCCTGCTTCGGTCGGAGGTGGTGGTAGTGACTTATTGATGTCTGGAGTTGTAGAGATCGTAGGAACTGATAATGGTATTTGAGATGAGGTTGAAGTCAACGAACCCATACTCAGACAAGTTGATGTAGTGCGGTATGCCGACTGTTCAGACTGATAATGTCGGTTAAAACTGGGCATGTTGAACCAAAGCTCGGTGTCATCTTCAGCTGGACCTCTAGACGCTAATCTTGATCGGTTGTCTGCCATTGTACCCTCTTCCTCTTTTTCCGCCACGCGACTCCTAGTCTGGTCGAAAGGGAAAGTCGACGCAATCGACCTCGCTAGCGATAGGTTGTAACGCGTAATTTTAGTAAGTGTCGTTGAAACGGTGAGCAGCTGGTAGCCTGCAAGCACACTCAAGTATGCTAAGGTTGTATCGCGGGAGGGATATCGAGGCTGTAACTGTGCCCTCGGGTACGCAGGGGTAGACAGGCCAGGCAAGTCTAACAGCAGTGGTGTGGTCGTGTCGGGATGGAGCTGCAGCTGTATGGCGTGCGCTAATGCACAGAGGAACCTTCAGCCGATTTAAAGGGTTGAACACCGAATTGAAGCGCAAAATACTAGTCAGAACCAGCGATTCCAGAGCTGCCGGAGTTCCGAGCATGCGATCAGTTCAGGTAGGACGGAAGGAGTGTTTATGGGCGGGATTGACCGAGCGGTCTGCCTCTAAGTGGCTGTGGCAGCCGCGCGCAGAGACAGGGCGCGCGCGACTAGATGGGAGATACTTTGTGTAGAAGTCGGAAGAGGAGATTCTTTGCAGTAGGTTCAAAGATACTTAATACTCCCATGTTAGAGTACTTAGTTCCCAACGGGGCGGAGGCGAAGAAGATGCTGGCCTGACTACACTCGTGCCCGCACGGAGGTAAGTTCCCAGCGAGTGGTTCTATGAAGGATCTCCTTGTCCTAGCCTTGTGCGGTAAACACAAGGATCCGAGGCGCATGCCGACCTCCACAAACTTGGATCATCGCACCAAAAATGCTTGATGTGTTAGGTAGGAGATAAAACGGATACGGAGCACATGCTGCGACCTGAGAGGAGACCCTGCACGTGGAGGGCCTGATACGGAGCCAACTTGTAGTGTCGACACATGCTCGTGCGAGCACCGGGCAGTGAGCCCGTCTCTTCTCAGCAATGACCGGTCTTGAAGCGACCAGAAACAGAATCGTACAAATGGTAAGCTAGACAGAGTGGCAGTGATGTGCGGGACAAGGATCCGCTACGAGAGGTGCACTGCCCTTCCTATTTTTGGAACATATTTTGCGCTAGCGCACACGACAAGGGCAACCGAGGCCAACCCATGTGTTCTCTCCACCACGACACAGTGTATGCCATCATGGCAGCAGCATCATCACACCTGAAGATGTCTGCTCAACACTTTCGTTGCTGTGCAGCTTTCGCTTTCACAAAACTTTGTTGATGTTACTTGCCTTCTTCGGTCTTCTCGACCCGCTCAAACGTAACTGCAGAAGTAGCCCGCTGCACGTCATGTCCCGTGGCGTTTTTTCTGAATCATGGCGTATGCTTGGGGGTTTCTGCTCCACAGCGGACGAGTTATCGAGATGCTACGTCGAGGGATGTTGGCCTCTTTGCTCGTTCGGCGTCTACTGAAGTTTTTTGATTGCGCGACAAGTGAACATACAACATTGTAGCAACCGCGCCACAGCTCTGCACCCTGACGATGTGGAAAACTTCAAAGGCACTCAAGGGAAGCGCGGCAGCAACGTCATCACAAAACGACGCTTTGAACCGCTGACGGTTCCATCCAGGCTTGTTCCACTATAACTTTACATGAAGATAACGTCGATGAAGAACAAGAACAAACCTCGCATCTTGAAACACTGGAAGCCTGACTGCATGTTTGACAGCCGTTACTGCAGGGATCTCGCCAACGTCCAGTACAAGAGTCAAGGCGAAGTCCTGCTTCGAACTTCGAGGTTTAGATACTCGGTGCGCGAGGTGTCTCGATAACCCAGAGCCCAACTGCATTGCAAAAGACTCAACGATTGGTACTCATCAAGGTCATCGGGGCTGCCATGTCAAGAGACCCGTTTCTAACAAGTTCGGACATCGGAAAGCTGGTCTCCGTTGGGAGGCCTAACTCATTTCCACTCAAGTCTGCCCCCTCATGTCGTGAACAGCAACCAGCCGAGGCATCATGGGGCATTTGGTGGACGTCATGGATGACAGACGCGCCTCCACGGAACAGTTCTGCTACGGCCGAAACATAAACTTCCCCACACGATCCATGCAAGGCAGAATCCGTATCGTACGCCGAACTGTGCGGGATCGCCGAGATACAAGCAGCTGAAAGTCAACGCTGGTCGCAAATTCTTTGAATGCCTGCAAAGATGCATCCAGTCCAACGGGACCCGGACTCCTCGGAGGACATCAACCTGCATTCACACGTAACGTCGTTGATTTAGCAACATCACGCCCTCTTGCAAAGGTTCCCGATCGGACGACTGGTGTGAGTTTGCCGGAGCCAGGATTCTCGGAAGGAGGTGGTCGAGGTTACAATCGTGCACAGTTCGTGCTCCGAAAAATTGCACTGGACCGACCGAAATCTGACATTCTGGTCTTGCAAATACAAGCTGTGACACGAAGGTGAGTTCAAGTAGACAAGACTGAAACTCTTCATGATCAGGTTGATACGACGTAAGAGGTACCATACTATTAATTGCTTCTGACAGAAAATTTGCTGTACAACGACTCCTGCATACTCATACGATGCACTCTTCTTTTCTCCGCGACGACTTTGGCCTCAGTATACTGGTATCGCTCGACCAGGTTTCGGACGCATCATCCAACTTCATACCCTTCTCCTGAACACTTGTGTCCTTGCCCTCATTCAGTCTTCGAGCGAGCATGTTCCTCAGCCTAATGGCACCCGAGACCAAGCAGAAGATTGTAATGATGCCAGCTGCATACCCCAGGACATGTAGGATGATGCTGACGTTACCATGGGCTGGGTTCATCCACTCATAGACGTAGAATCCCTGTGTGTACCTGGTCAGGTATGCAAGACCAAGATAGGTCGACAAGACTAGTAGAACGACGCTGAGATGCGAGAATGGCGGTGCCTCTGTGGCAGGCAACAGGATCTCTACAACCGCAAAGACCGAGTTCAGACCGTGGACTGAGAGGTTCATCCATTGTTCGAAGCGACCGGCTGGCCAACCGCTGTTCATGGTTCCCCAAAATACGATCGTAACCAGGAAGGGCATGCTCGTCACACATGAGTAGTACACGGAATGCATAACCTGAAGGGGCTTAGGCCAGTTGTGCAGCCAGGTGCGCTCCTTGAACGCAAACATGAAGGTGTGCATGCTGCTGACGAGGAAGTAGAAGCCCAAAGACCAGAAAGTCAGGTAGGTGAAAAAGCTGAATGACTGGCCGATGGCGGCCTCGCTTTGTTGGATCTTGTATGAGCCGATGTTGACATCCTTCAGGCCGATGGTTGCTGTGTTGGATGCGAGCCAACTGTAGGAGACGGCGATAGTTGTGAAGCTGTATACGCAGAGGATAGCGCGGATGCATGCGAGGAGTAGAGGAGAGACGAAGTGGGAGGTAACGAATGTTTTCGAGGGATCGAAGAAGCCAGTAGAGGGGACGCCCCAGAGCTCGTAGGTGAAGAGCTTCATGTCTCCGGTGTAGGGAATGATGATGTCTGGCAGGGAGTGGACGCAGAACGAGACTGCTACAAGAACTTGATATGAGTAAGAATCGAAGAGGTGCTCCGCGACTTGTCTCTTATTTGGGATCCAGTGCTAATATATGTACTGAGCCATGCGGCATGCTCGAGGTGCATCTTGAGTTCTCGAGTCAATACAATTGTGTAGCCGGAAACCGGTCTCGTACCATCAACGCCATAATCGATAGGTAACGTACCGATTCCAGCACCGCCATGCAGAACCGTTGCTGCACACCCGTTCCTTGTCAGATGTTCTGCCCTATCAAGCCCGACCACGCTTATCACTTATCCATACACAGCATCTCGACCTCTTCCGGCCAGAACATTCATAGCGCCATAGTCTTGCGCCCTACGCCAGCCCCACAACATCGTGTGGGAGAAGTACGCGTTGCTAGGCGCCTACACCGATTTCAGCGCGTGTGGTCACCTCCATTTCGGCGGGAACTATGAAAGTAGCTCGGCGCTCGCGAGATCGTGCTAGAATCTGGTCCGTGTTTAGCTGTTGATTCGACGCCCAGCTGAAAGTGGACAAAGTTTTGGTAGACCAATCAAACATACGGGTGAAGGAGGCCCGATACGGTATAGCAAAGCCTGATGTGATCTAGCGGCCAGCCTTGCGCACGTCTTCAGCCGCATCTTTCAAGCCACGCGTGTCCGGGGCGCGCGATATTCCTGACACATCAAGACCATCAAGTGGGACTTCCAATACGAATATGCGAGACCGATATTGAGAAAAGGGATGGTGAAGCCACATCAGAAAGGCCAGTACGCCAATGCAGAATTTCATACCTGAGCCACGGCAATGCCGAAACGCGTACTTTCCTTCTTCCTCAACAACCCCCCTTTGCTGCCCCAGAGAACTGCAGCTACCAGGATATCGTCGACAGCATATCAAGAACGTCAGTCTCTCCTCATTGTGACTGCGTCTTTCAACGCATTGACGCAAGCTCACACTATCAACGTCATGTTGCACGAAAGCCGAACGTCAGCGACAAACAAACTTACAGAATTCTTGAAGTGGCCAGGTAAAGAAGCATTGCGCACGTCCTGATGTACTCGCGTGGTGGCAACAGTAGAAGTCTTCAACTGGCCATTTTCGTGAGGCAAGGGCCACCACAGTCGCGCAAGAATGCGACCTCCCCAAGGGAAGGTAAGTACCTGCTCACATGGCACTTCCGAGACGAGAAAGATAAGAGTCAGTGGATCTGCTTTGCCAACATACCTCGATTCTGGTACCACTCTTGCCACGACTGCTGGTGTCCTTCCATGTGAGATGAGCATCACCCCTTCCACTCTTTCTTTGGATGCGAACCTGCCAATTCAATGGGGCTACTAAGGCTGCTACATCGACTATAGCAGGAGGAATCTTGCTGGACCTTCCTATGTGGACATCGAAAACATGACCCAGGAGAGCTGTGTCGCTTTCTGTAACGCCAACAACCATCCTTACGCAGGCGTCGAATAGGGTCAGGAGTGCTATTGCTGCCTCGTCATTAGCGCAGGCTCTGAAAGCAAAGACGATTCTGAATGCGACTTCAAGTGTCCCGGTGCTGATGATGAAGCATGCGGTTCTGCTTTTCGACTTAGCGTGTTCTTTACTGGGCTACTGGATTACACACACCAGCCCCGGTCCGTCTGGCACCTCACACATTGGTTGCCTTATGAACAATGTTTGCGTTCGCGCTATATCTTTGTTTAAGCTAGCGAAGACGGTATGGCAGTGCCTCGGTGCACTTCGAACTGTAAAGCCGCTGGGTATAGCCTCGCAGGTCTCGAGTTTGGTCGTGAGTGCTGATGTGGCAATTCCCTGGAGCACAACGCCACCGCAACCGATGAAGCTGCGACATGAGATGCGCTGGCGATTCGACGGGATTCTGCGGTGGAGCTTCGAGACTCGAAGCCTAAGCCAACGTGTTCTTGACTCCTGCTCTGTCATCAGCTGAATGTACGACAGCTATGCACTGAATGCAACTGCTACACCTGAACCTACAAATAGCAGTTCAGTGACACAGACCTGCAACCCCATCACTATAGCAACAATCCATCCGTATATTGCTAATGGCAGATTCGAGCAAGGAGTTGCAGATTGGACGGCTGCAGCGTACAATCCGGATCTGCACCCCTTCGACATAGGGCTTACCAATGATGCATCGGAAGGATGTAATGCTCTGTCAGTCTTTCCCTATCCGGAATGGATAGAGAGGTGATATTATCAATAGTACGGCCGTGCCAAAATCAAGGACGGCATTGTCCCAGCATGTCCAGCTATTGACCACTCTCAACAACCTTGAACCCCTACGCAACTACACGATTGATGTTGCCATTGGACACCGTGAGACTTTCGACAGACGAGATGCTATAGCTGACCCCAAATACACGATTCGGTTATCAGATAGTCTGCTGGATCGCGGGAACGTATGCGGATTTTCGTCAAACCCATGCTCGCTCACTGGTCTCAACAACTCGACATGGGCTCCTTCGACATCACACCCACCAATCAATCCACTGAGGGGGGTTTTCTTTTCGCAGCGCAAGCTTGCCTTCCCTACCGTTTCATCCTCAGCTAATGCCTCAAGCTCCATCAAACCAACCTCCTCCAACATGGGCTCAGAGCGAACATTTACCTTACAACCCCGCATGATGGTGTGCCTGGCGGATGTGAGTTGTTTGGTGCGGATGGCGCGCTGTATCAGAAGTATGGCATGAATACTAGGTCTTTTACAGTACGGGTCATATATATACGAACGCCACGGAGATGGATATCGATCGCAGACTGTATGGCCGGTTGAGGCGCCGGGGATTCCGATTTATGTTGATGGAATGGGAGTGTGGGAGATGGAGTGGGGCACGGTTTCGCGCTGATAGGTAGAGTTTCATTGTGCAATGGCGAGGAAGAGCTTGCAAGTGTCTTTGGACCAGGTGACGACAGGTGTACGGGTATGTTTGAGCAGTATGAAATCGTCTGGACTGCGGATTACAGTTGTGTTCGATTGACATTCTGAATGAGCGACTGATCCTAACGAGCACAAGGTACCCTACACAATTTGCACTCCCAAACAAGCATTTTCGTCGACCTACTGCTAACGTCGACCAATGTATTGACTGGAGTTCCATGCTCACTCAAACGGACTTGAGCAAGAACTGTGAATTCGCACCCTCGGTAGGGGGATACGTAATGATCTCAGTGCCAGACTCCTTCCCACCACCACGGACATTGAGCTGTTTACCGGTAACAACACTGTTAATGCTGCACTCACGTCAGTACTCATACAACTCAAATGGCATGTGAACGTACTAGAAAGCTCCATTTCCAGCGTGCTGTAGCTTCCAGCGGATACTTGCCTCCAGAGGCGAGCGTAGCTCGGTCGTGACTTGGATGGCGTCTGTCGCGTATGTTGCTTAGTCTGTTCTTCGAGGAAGAAGGAGAACTGATGTGCTCAACGTACCATTGGAAGCCACGTAGAGCCCGGAGTTGACAGCGATGATGTGATACTCGCGGTCGCCCTTCTCGGGCTTGCCTTGGGTGCCGCCGGCTGCTACAATGGCGAACTGACTGTTCCTAGCACCTGGAGTTCGTGAGCTAGGAGTGGCTGGTTAGTGCTGCTTTTCGGAACGAATGTTGCGAGATGTAAAGACACACTAGAGCTTCACCTGCGTGCCGGCGGTGTTGGCCCCGGCCCAGACGTTCAAGCTCATATCTTGAGCATGTTTTGGGAGGATCTCGTAGATGCCGGGCCCAGTGTAGTCAGACATAATGGTGAAACTTAAGGAAGCAATGGAAGAAGATCTTGCTTTGACTTTGACGCTTCAGCTTTGATGGGGTTGTGTTGACCCCTGTCTGGGAGAAGTGGGCGGCTTTATAAAGCGTACGCAGGCCGCAAGGTGTCTTCCCTTGCTCGTTCCACCACGCTGCGTGGCCATCTTACAGAAACTGAGCCTGCAAGCCAGCTCGCCGACCCCTCATTTGCAACAGATCGTGCTACATACAATGACAGAGCGAGCCAGCAGCCATAATTGTACCGTACTAGGCACTGAACCGGCCTTGATCGGTCTGTTAGGATCGCAGGTCCAACATCCTAGGTGCGTCGTCAGTCTGTCGTTCCGACACTGTCTGTTCCTGGAGTCGACCATGATACATGCTTCGGGGTATTGTGCAAAGGCGTTGGGAAGCTCAGTGCCCCGATCGTCCGTCAACCGGTACAGGCTCCGCTTACATTGTGAGACGCGAACCCGTTAAGCCCTTTTCGTCCAACTGTTGAATTTGGTGGGATCGATGTTTCGACCACACGGCGCGGCCCGAGGGTGTCACTACAGCCGCCATGTGGCTTGGGAATCTACGACTACTACCTCTCTGTGTTCTTTAACCGCGAACGCTGTGTCATATCGCCCGAGATCGATTTTCGACGCGGTGTCCTGCTGCGGAGTGACGTGACAAGGCATTGTGGATATCCTCGGGTCGTCCACACTTTCATCTTTGGACGTCGTTAACCCAGGGCAGGGCTCTGAACATTTTGAAGGCTTGGTCTTGGTTTGAATAGAACAATGAAAACAGCTAACTGACCCACCAGCCCGTCAACGTTGGTCAGCCAAGCAAGTTCCTGAGAATCTGAACATGTTCATCGTCGCCCAACTGTCCCTCGTTTGCTAATTGCTCGTACATCCCCAGTGCACCAGTACGGTCAGGCGCATTCATGTCCGATTCCTGAAACAGTTCCACCAGCATGCTGGGCATGATGTCTACTCTAGGTGTGTTCTCATCTTTACTCTTGTCATTAGCGCCATTGGAATCGTCTGGTGCTTGGATCGGTCCCATCATCTTGCGAATGACGTCGAGCGCTGCTGCACCGACCTCAATCGGGTCGTCTGTAGGTTCTTCTCCTCTGGCTAGCATACCGATCAGAGTCATAGGATTGCAGAACTGCCCATCGTGTCTTTGGCTGACTTTGACTGTCTGTCGCCTCATCAGCTTGCTTGTGCAGAGACACATCTGATGTATTGCACCTGTTGCTGCATAGCGCCGATTGTCCACTTGTCCAGCCATATGGGACTCAGATTAGCCAGCCATATGAGATCCAGATTAGCCAGCCACCTGTTCTGCTCAGACAGTGACCAGTTGGGCTCCTTCTTCAGCTTGCCATTTGTTGTGAGGCTCCAAGCCCACCTTGCGCATGCAAGATTAATCCCTAGATCATCGCCAAGCTGACGGGTCTCACGAGGGTCGCAAACAGGATCCGTGCTGCGCGCTGCTCAAGGATACGGTCAGGCTTGGCCGCGGCCAGGAAGCCAGATGCGTCGCCATTGGCAGCTACTGAAGTCCACTTCAAGTGTTTACCATGATCCAACAGAGCCGGGGTCCATGGTTCGCACTTGCTCACTGCTGACGGACTCAAACAGAAAGGTACGTTGAAGGAGTCCAGGGGACGATGGCGACCGGCGAGTTCGCAATGACCACCGCACCTCGGCGAGACTCAAGAGTCGAGGTTGCTGGCTCCATGATGAGCTGTGCAGGGGTGACGCGTCTCCACGCGTCGAGGATGGAAGGTGGTGTTGGTGGAGGGAAACACCGACCAGCCGAGGTCTGCGAGTTTTGTTTCTGTCATGCAGCATTTCTCCTCCACAACCGCAAGCACTCGCGCGACTCACCACTCACACCAGCGACAGTATCATAGTCCAATCCGCGACCGGCAGACGATGCAATGAGCGACCCCGCTTCCCACACCGGGCGTCTTGTCCCACTGCGGACCAAAGATGAAGTGCGCGCCAGCCTGGAAACGCACGTCGTCTATGTTGTCGAAGTACCTGCGAAGCATGCCAACGTGGTCAAGGAGTGAGCTGCTCACTCCAGGTACAGCCAACTGGTGTCTGACTAAGCGTGCAGTGTCGTGCAAGCAGCCATCCCGGACTTCAAGACGTCCGAGATCTCCCACCTGCGCCGCGTAGTGCAGTTCAAATACCTGCCGGCCCATCTGCAGAAGCAGTTCTATCCGCCCGCGAGGCTTCCGAGAGGTGATGAGGATGATCCTGCACCAGCGTCATTGTCCCCATCCCCTGCATCGCTGCCTTCTCTCCCATCTCCTCCGTCCACGTCCACGCCCACGGTCGACGAAGCCACTGCTGGTGAGGACGTTGCTAAAGACATGGATTTAGTGCGCTACTTCCTCCTGTGTCCCTCGAAGCATATCCAGCATGCCGACCTGTTCGCCCTCCTGCGCAAGTGCCCTCCCTTCGACAACGGCAAGACCACACCGAGGATCCTGTACGTTACCGTCCCGTCGCTGGCGCCCATATCCGCCGAGCAGTCGGAGCAATGGAGCGAGCAGTACTGGCCCATCTCCTACAAGAACACCAACCCATACGGGCCGCACCCAAGCCTTGTTGCACGCAACCAAGCAGAGATCGAGGACAGGGTGGGCAACTGGCTTGGGCTCGCACGGTCAGCAGGAAGGTGCATCTCCGAGCAGTGCCTGGGAGAGTCGCTCGGCGTTGTGGTAGTCGACCAGACGAAGGGCACGCCGGAGGTAATCGTCGTTGCGGGCGACTGTCGCTGGAGGTCACCGACAGGCACCATCGAGCAGCACAAGGGCACTGGCAACGTCATGGCACACGCTGTCCAGCGCGCCATCGCCATGGTCGCGAAGAAGCGGCTTCGCGCTGCCGGCACCGACCCTGCACTGCTCGACCGCTCGCTCTTCTGCGACATACCCCTCACCGACATGGAGAGAGAGTACTACGTCAAGGACAACATCAATCAGAGCGGCTACCTGTGCGTCGATCTCGACATCTACCTGACGAACGAGCCCTGCGTCATGTGCTCGATGGCAATCCTGCACTCGAGGTTTCGGCGCTGTATCTTCGCAAAGCGCATGCCCCTCACTGGCGGTATGACGTCGGACACTGCCGAAGGCAGCGCACCGTTGCAAGGCGGATTGAAGCATGGCATGTTCTGGCGACCGAGCGAGTTGAACTGGAAGTTCCTGGCGTGGGAGTACAAGGAGGACGGGCATGAGCCACAGCACGACGGCATCAAGGACACTCTGCATGTCTAGAACGGCATGAGGATGGGAATGGGTTGCATTGGATATGAAGCATTACACGGCGCTTTGGATTACATGTGGTGTCGATTACAGTCAGAGGGATACAGGGTTATGAGACATGAGATACCCATACATAGATACACGCACGACCAGGAGAGGAATGAACCGCATCGACATCTTCGGCTACATTTTCATTGCTTGTATCAGGACTTTGGTGCTCATGCACGTGCCTTCGCGTTTGGCTGCACCGTAGCGCGTCAATGACCGTGTTGAACGTTGACGCTCGGCCATCAACGACCAACGCTACCAGACAACGACGATGCTGCCAGATGAGATCATTGCGCAACTGACTGGCGAATTTGCCTGTCGCGACCAGCAGATTCAGCACCTGGCTGCTTTGTACACTGTTTGTTGCCTTTTGATCGCGGCACCCGCACGACTAACAACAAAGCCAGGCGCATCTCCCCTCACCACCCTTCATCAACATCCATGGCCTGACGGCGACGGGCAAGTCGTCCATCCTGCGTGCATACTTCCATTCTGCGCAGATACCGCACACCATCGTCAACGTGCGCGAATGCATAACCACCCGGCATCTTCTCGAGCGCATTGTGGCAGCATCTCTCGATGCATTGGAGGAGCTGGACGACGAGAAGATCGATAGAAGACCATACGCGCGGACAGAGAACCTAAGCGCACTATGCGTCAACCTCCAGAAGATGTTGGAAGGGAGAGAGAAGTTCGTGTTGGTACTGGATGCAATCGACAAGCTTAGAGAAGGTGGTGGCACGCTCATTGCAGCGCTGGGCAGATTGGGCGAAACGGTACGTTCAGCGCAGTCCCATGTCGAGATCCCATGCTGACAACACCACTGCAGATACCGACTCTCTCCCTCATCGTTGCAACCACCCTCCCCATCGCGCCCTCGCTACGACTTTCCTCTTCCATACCCTACATCGCCTTCCCGCCCTACACCCGCCCACAACTCCTCACCATCCTCGGCAAGAACCCCCCAAAAGTCTTCCTCACGCCTCCCTCCGCAGAAAAGTACCCAGACGGCACGCCTGACCCCGCCGCCGAAGACGACGCCTGGCTGTGGAACCGCTTCCTCGGCGCCGTCTACGACAGCATCAGCAAACACACCGGGCGCGACCTGCTCAGCTTCCGTTCCACCGCTCTGCGCCTATGGCGAGAATTTGTCGCGCCCATCGTCAAATGCGAATTTGGCACACGAGACTTCTCGCGCCTCATGGTAAATCGACGGCATTTATTCCAGGGCGAGGAGGCGGTGCTGGACCGCATCGTCACGCCCAAACCCGCGGTCACAAATGGCGATAGTGGATCGGTAGTGAAGAGGAAAGCAGTACCAGGCGTCGTGCAGAATCTCCCGTTCTACACAACGCACCTCCTCATCGCTGCCTACCTTGCGAGTTACAATCCCGCGAGGACGGATGTAACGTATTTCATGAAGCACACTGATAAGCGCAAGAACAAACGTCGCGCTCCTGGCGTTGCGAGCTTGTCTACAACGTCCAAAGGCGGTGTGAAGCACCGCCGTGTCCCGAGGCATCTACTTACGCCGAGTCCATTTACGCTTGATAGGCTGTTCGCGATTTTCAGAGCGCTGCTCGTGGATGGCGTGCCTCAGACTGCGGATCTGTACACGAGTGTGGCGACGCTGACGAGTTTGAAGTTGCTTGTTAGGACGGGTGTGGGCGGCGCGAGTGATGCGCTTGAGGCTGGGGGCAGGTGGAGGGTGGGCTTTGGGTGGGAGTTTGTGAGGGGGTTGGGGAGGAGTGTGGGTGTTGAGGTGGGTGAGTATCTGGTTGGTGGTGTGGATTAAAGGGCTACAATACTATCGAGGGTATCTATGTGAGGTTTACGGATGGTGTGCAAGGCTGCTGAATGGGCTGGCTACCAGGAGAATGCGGCGATGTCCCCGCCCCAAGTTGACCATAGACTCATAACGCCGTCTGAGTCGTCCATCCATCGAAGGCTCCGTATCTTCTGCTGCGTCGCCCCTTTCTTCCCGAACGGATCGAACTCCCTCACCAACTTGCCCGTCCACAGATTACTCACCCTGATCGCCTTGTCGCTGTGCTCCATATTCTGGCTCGCAGCAATTAGTCCCAGTCTGGAGTTGACCGCAACATCGAGGTCCGGGTCATCCAGGTTCGTATGCGAATAGCTCAGCACAGGTTGACTCCACTTCGCAAACGCTCTCCGATTCATAAGTTTCCTCCGCTTGTGATCGTGGTCCCCCGGGCAGAGGGTCTTGAAGTACGCCTCGTTGTAGTGGTGGTCGCGCATGTTGAGTTTCCCGTCTCTGTCGCGCCGGCTTGAGAGGCGTGGCATGCGCAGGTCGTACAGGAAGAGCGTGTCTTGCAACCCGGAGGATACTATCCGCGTCGCGTCGTCTGCGCGTCTCAGTTTGCTGATCGCGAACGGGTGCGTGAGGACGTGTGAGCTCCCACCGGAGCGTGCGTCGTAGAGGTGGATTTTCCCGTTCCGACACCCCACGGCGATGGTGCTGTGGTTCAGCCATTCTAGTGCGAGGACGTCGGCATTGAGGTCTGGGAGGATGGTCTGGCTGTCCCAGCTCCCAGAGGGTGAGCGGGTGAAGAGAAGGAGAGACCGTTGGGCGCCGACGGCGAGGTGCTCGGTCTCGTTCGCGGCAACGCTATTCGAATGGCCTGATGATGGGGAGAACGAAGGTGGGCGCGCAGAAGATGTCCAGATTGCGGCGCAGGATTTCGGTGTGAATTGTTGTGAGATGTGCGGTCCGTCGCGTTCGGGGTCGCTGAGTTGGACGATTGGCGGCCGGTCTGAACCGATTGTTGTTACTGCGAGAGCGCCGGAAGTGGGCATGTATTGGAAAGAGGAGACGGTGGAGGTCGTGCGGCCTATCTCGTCCCAAGGAAAGTAGCCGTATCTCGACTGGGTGTCGAGAGCTCTCAGTTTCTTCCGCGACTGTGGATTCTGCAGGTTTGCCGCTTGATCATTGCCGAGATAGTGACGTCTTTTGATTTTGTTCTCACCACAGACAGCATAGATGGTTCTCGAGACTGGATCTCGGTCGAAGAAGCGAATCACTCCATGTTCGTCGCTGCTAGTGACAGGTTCTGGCGCAGCATTCACACCTGACATGCAGGCACCAGGCCATATACTCTGCAAGTAGACCGACCGCCTCTTGAAGCCTATCTCTCTGTCAAGGTCGGTCTGGATGAAGCTGCTGGCATGTCGGCGGACGACTCGCTCTTTTTGTGCCCTGGCCTTCTTTGCAGTTGCGGCTCTCTTTACACTTTCTTTCCTCCGCTCCTTGACCAGGTTCGAGGTTGAGTATTTGAGGTTAAGGCCCCTTGACTGCGACTGGCTCTGGATCTTGAAGTACTTTCCCTTCTCTTGATCATAATAGAAGCCTGGTATATGCTGGCCGTTCATCCTGAGATTTTCGAGATGTGAAGTTTCGTGATTGGTTGAAGCTTCAGCAGCGCAGACATTATTTACGCGAGTCAGTTGCGGCGGCTACCCTATCGATAAGCAAACCAATTCGCCACAGTATGACGCCACCTCGGTGATAGTCCAGACACGTCGCTGTGACAGATGCTCGACGCGATGGGAGTTTTCGCCCTTCCCCTCCTTTCCTTTCCATTCCTACGGATGTTAAATACCTACACGTCTTGACATCTCATGCTTCGCCTCTCACAACTCTCGAAGCCCCTGATATCCGGCATAATACCTTCCACAGCAAGACAGTTCCATACTTCGAATCGCCTCAGCCAAGTCATGGCGCACCTCAATGGCTCCCAGTCCAAGGGCGAGCACACACTGCAATCGCTGCCCAAGTCCAGCGTCTTCACACAGAACCTGCCTCCGGACGCCGCCTTCCCCACGCCGAAAGACTCGCACGATGCGCCACGGCAGACTCTCGGACCGCGCATGGTGAAGGAGGCGCTCTACACATACGTGAGGCCAGATGCTCAAGGCGAGGCTGAGATATTGGGTGTCAGTCAGCGAGCCCTGCAGGATCTTGGGCTCAAAGAGGAAGAGGCACAGACAGAAGCGTTCAAGCAGCTGGTTTCCGGCGGCAAGATCCTTACATGGGACGCCGAGAAGCCAGACGAGGGTATCTACCCTTGGGCGCAATGCTATGGTGGCTACCAATTTGGGCAATGGGCCGGCCAGCTAGGTGATGGACGCGCCATCTCGCTGTTCGAGTCTACAAACCCTTCGACAGGCACGCGTTACGAGATTCAGCTCAAAGGCGCCGGACGTACACCGTACTCGCGCTTTGCGGACGGAAGAGCAGTCCTGCGGTCATCGATCCGTGAGTTCGTTGTCTCAGAGTACCTCAATGCGATTGGCATCCCTTCGACGAGAGCGTTGGCGCTCACGCTGAACAATGGTACCAAGATCATGCGCGAGCGAGTCGAGCCTGGTGCTATCGTCACACGCTTTGCGCAGAGTTGGATTCGATTCGGTACCTTTGACCTCCAGCGCATGCGCGGCGACCGCGAGACACTCCGAAAGCTGACTGACTACACTGCCGAGCACGTCTACGGAGGGTGGGACAAGCTGCCGTCGAAGCTGCCAGCTGGTGAGGCAAAGACCACACATACCGACGTCAAGACAGGCGTAGCAAAGGACACAATTGAAGGCTCTGGGCCAGAAGAAGAGAATCGCTACACACGTCTTTACCGCGCCGTGGTGCGCAATAACGCTGCAACAGTCGCCAAGTGGCAAGCGTACGGCTTCATGAACGGTGTGCTCAACACAGACAACACATCGATCCTCGGTCTGAGTATCGACTTCGGGCCTTTCGCGTTCCTCGACACCTTCGACCCTACCTACACACCCAACCACGATGACCACATGCTGCGCTACAGCTACCGCAACCAGCCAACCATCATCTGGTGGAACCTTGTCCGGCTAGGAGAGGCTTTTGGTGAGCTGATGGGCGCCGGCTCGAACGTTGACAACGCCGAGTTTGTCGAGAAGGGTGTCAGTGAAGCAGACGCCAGCGATCTGGTCAAGCGCGCAGAAGGCATCATCGAGCGGGCAGGCGAGGAGTACAAGGCCGTCTTCCTGTCCGAGTACAAGCGTCTTATGACCGCACGTCTTGGACTGAAGTCGCAACAAAACAGCGACTTTGACACATTGTTCTCTGAACTACTGGACTTCCTCGAGGCGTATGAGCTCGACTTCCACCATGCGTTCCGCAGACTGTCCAACTTGAGCCTATCGAAACTGCATTCGGATGAGGGCAGGCAGAATTCTGCGGATATTTTCTTCCGCAACGACAACCTGCCGAAGGATGGTGCGGATTCGCGGGTGCGAATCGCCAAGTGGCTCGAGAAGTGGTCAGCGAGAGTGAAGGAGGATTGGGGTGAGGATGATCATGGGCGGCAGGAAGCCATGAGGGCTGTCAACCCCAGTGTAAGTACCTCTTTACTATTCACTAAGGATCTGTGCTAACTCCGTTCGCAGTTTGTTCCTCGATCGTGGATTCTTGACGAGTTGATTGACAGAGTAGAGAAGAAGGGCGAGCGCGAGATTCTATCACAGGTCATGCAGCTGAACCTCAATCCATTCTCGGAAGAGTGGGGTTGGAATGCGGAAGAGGAACAGAGGTTCATCGGCGACGTACCGAAGTACAAGGGAATGATGCAGTGTAGCTGCAGTTCGTAGAAAGGTGTGTGCCGTGGATCAACCAAAGTTGTGGCCAATGATCTCTCATCGTTGTACGGATCATGTGTACCTCCCAGCGTGCGATTGGGGCTCTCATGACAGACTTTGGAGCATGTGAGATGAGGCTGAGCATTGCGGCTTCCGCCTAATCTTTGGATTATGATGAAGAAGTAGCACGTTTGGAGGGACCGTGTTTATCGTATTCAGCTAGCTTCAGGCTTCACAGTTGCTACCGATGACTTTTAGCGAGCCGAAGCTGGAAATAGAGTGACCGTCGAGTTTGGAAACGCGTAATGGACAGTCGTTCTGGCACAAGGCTGAAGTTTGTGCGGCATAGCCACGACTTGAAGTCATTGAGAGTGTGCAGCCTCTCGATGGTGGCTTGTAACTGCTTCCCATCTGTGTTGAGGAACTGCTCCCCGATCTTCTTTGGAGAGTCGGCACCACTCAGTTTTGTGCCTTTATCTAAGCAGACACAAATGAGTCCGTCAGATATGGCATGTATTACGATATCGATACCGACCTCATGCACTATGACTCAAAAGGGGCCGTGTTTGACTCAACCACATCAATATCTGGCTTGATATTGGAGTCCTGTAGGCAATACTACGAGCGTGTAGGAGCCTTCTTTGGGCGGACAATGATTGTATATGTCCAGTCTCACGTGGAGTGCTACCCAATGCCGGATGGGTACACAGCTACGTTAATTTGCAAAACTAGCTGTATCAAGCGCAGAACCTTAAGTCAAGCCACGTCTACCAATGATTGGTCGTACGACAAGCTCGTGATGAACCGGCCACATCTTACAACCGAGTCAAAGACTTGCGAAATTCTTCCATCATCTTGCTTGCCGGGGGCCATTGGGGTGCAAAGTAGCGTACCTAGGTAGGCTTGGAATTCCGTGTCACTCGGCCATGCACAGGTTCACCGATAAGTATCAGACTATACAATGCGGAACAGCAGTTTAGTTGACACTGATACCGGATATCAAATCACGTCTACCCTATCGGTCTATGCAATCTAATGTTCGGTCTTGAGTTGTATGGTGGTCGACCACGAGTGGGTATGGGAAAGAGTGGAGGTTAATCGCGCTGGCGGGTGGTGGGTGGTCGCGAGGCCGTTGGTGTTGGGCTTGCTGCAGCTTGGGTGGTCGAATAGTGTGAAGGGGTTGTGAGAGGAGGCGAGGAGGAGGGTGGTGGAGGAGAGGGCTGCGGCTCAGGACTTGTAGCGCGGTGTGCGGCTCACTTGGTCTACCACTCTCTGGGTTCGAAGCATAGAGTTGTCTCCATCATCCTACCATCCAAAGAAATTATCGAGTGCCGTATGAATATTTGAATCGATGCTATATCCACGGCCATACGCATTATAAACGTATTCCAGCTCTACGCCGCCATCGTTTGTCAGAGCGTGTAGCCAGGTTTCATATAATAATGGGGCGAATTATGTTTCACCCGCACTTACGCACATTGCTTCAATCACTGGAGATAGCACTTTTGCTGTTAGAGTGTCGTTCTTGAGATCCTATAATATTGGATAAGCCTGGAATTCAAAAAGATGGAGGTCAGGGTACTTCAGGTTGAACCTGAGATACCGAGCAGCTGCTGCTATACCTGTGGAAGGATTGAGATGGTTGATTGATCTTTTGAGCTATTGGCTGGAATCGATCAAGACTATATAGTAGAAGGGGATAGCAGTGAAGGCTTGGGGAAGCAAACCAGACTAACCGAATGAGCTGGACAATCAGTGCAGCGGGCCGTTGGCAAACACTGCAACGGGCTGCTGGTAGACACTGCAACGGACCGCTGGTAAACAATGCCTCTGTGCAGTATTGCTATAGTGACCTTGTTCACTAGCCTTTAGTTAACGCCACACGACACACTGAGGTCCGTCAGCGATCATTACTAACCGATTCGATCATCTCAGGCCTCGTTAGTCACACTGAGTGTTGCCGTAAAGACTTTGATCTTGTTTTCTAGTGTCGTGGTGATGGACGGGTGTACCGATATGGATATGCTGTTTCGTTGGGGGTGCTCCCAAGTCTCCACGTAGTCATTAAAGTTGTTACCGCAAGCTGAAGCAAGCTTTCGCTCCACACAGAGTTCTCCCTCTATGAAATCCTAGCCGAAAATGACTGTAGAATTGCAGGTTTACTCGAGATGGACTACATTCGCGAAAAGGGCAGACACTTCTCCTACAAGTACCTTGTGTTCCGCTGGTGGCAGCCGCAGCTGCGGTTGAATTAGGTACAACAAGCTAAGAACTCCACAACTGCTTATGTAATGGCGTACCGAGTGGCTGTGGTGTACAAGGTGAGATTACTGCGGCAGTGAGAGAAAGTAACCCGATGGGGCTGAGATCCATACCATTGTGTGATAAGTGCCTCGTTGCCTTAAATGACTTAGTCAGGTCAGCTGCGTAGGTTGGAAATAGCATACAGTATCCAAGATCGCATGGCAGCACAAGCCCGGCTGATGCCTTTTCGGCGGCCTGCGCATCTGGACAAGATTTGACCCAGGAATACCAGGAACGTCATTACGAAGGTCACTTCAATAGTCTTGGCCAGAAACGCCGTCAGTAAGGTGGCTGAAGACGGAGAAAACGCTCCTGGGTTCGAGATTATGAGGCCACATCGTGGTTGTACAATGGCAATGACAAGGGACAAACCAGATAGGAGTGTCGTGTAAATGGATCCAACGAAGAGCCCGATAGACGTGGCGCTCTCGGTCTTCAAATGGCTTTGTAGACTGACGAGAAGAGCCTGGAGAATGTGTAAGCATACTCGTTCCGGCGGATAGGAAGCTGGCTAGCCTTTCAGGATTCTAGTCGTAGAGCGCGCATCGTCTTCGGGTTGAAAGAAGCTCGTTCCCTCGCGATCATCAGTCATGGTGTCTTTGTTCTCTTGGGAGGGGGTATTTCCATTTTGTGCAGATGCATTGCGAGGGATCTAAGCCTCTCATCGTGTCAGCTGTGCTATAATCGGAAGGAAGACCCAAGAGATAAACATCATGGGTTAATTACCGTATCTAAGAAAACTGCGCTGAAGAAGGACAACGGATCAATCGAGCTAATGAATCTCGCGTAGTGTCCTCTATCACGACATAGAACACTGATAATTCTGGTCTTGATTGGAGAAGGCTGAGAAGTACTTTGGTCAAATTGTGCAGCTCGATATATCTGTTGTCTAGGGCAATGCTGAGTGCACGATGTCGTGCAACCGCCTTTCGCTCCTGAAACAACCCAATGTTCTCCGGAATATCGCGAATAGATTCCCGAAAGTACTCGACATGTCCTTTGCGACCAAGTCGTTTCCCGCGACGTCCAGTCCCACATCAGCGGTTGCAGTTTACAATCCAGAAACACCTAGAGCCAGCGCCGTAAGCAGGGAGTCCAGTAGCGCGATGACACCAATGAGAACCACGTTTAGCACCAGCTCGACCGCAAGGATGAGCGCCGATATGGCACCCGTCAAAGGGTTCAGGAATATCAATAGTCCGGCAAGCCCCAGGATGGCGACCGCAGTAGTAATAGTAGCAAAGATCTCGACGATGATGAGTGCAAGTAGTGCACCTACAGCGACAAGTTGACGCTTTTCCTTGGGCTGAGAATCGATGTCGAGGGTGGTGTCTACGAAGCGCTTTTCCGAAGTTGAGTTGGCGGGCGAGAGCGATTTAATCTCGTTGGTGGTCGCTGTGACCGCGGCTGTGATGAAGTTGATTTGGGCGCCGACTTCGGCCGTTGCGGCGGTTTTCTCGAGGAGAGGAGAGGAAGCGGAGAGAGGGGCAAGAGTGGCATCTGAAGATATTAGTGTTAGGGCTCGAAGATGGAGGGGAGGCTTACTGATAGCCCCAGTGTAGATTTGAACGGTGGCGTAGAGGTCAGTCAGAAGACTGACAGCATCCACACGTTTTGAGAGAACGGGACTGGCAATGGACAAGCCGCTAAGGGCAAAGGTTGAGAAGTGAGAGAAGCGCATCGTGATGGCCGAGAGTAGAGACGATTGTGATAAACTTGGGGGAGCGAAGAAGCGAAAGACTGCGGTGAGTATGAGAGATAACAAAGAAGCCTTGGGGAGCTTATATACAGACAAACGTATGTGATTCTTACCTCGCGTTTGAATAGCCAGTATAACCGTTGGTGGGCATCACACTTGATTGAGACAAAGTTCCGTAGAACGCATCATAGTGGATTGTCAATGCTGCCTATGAGAGCGAATTGTCGTGGGAATCGAGGCGGTAACACGGAACTAGTAATATTGTTATTATTTACCCTTGCCATACAACGCGCCACGGCCTGCTCGGTGGCGCAGCCCCTCTGTGAATGTTGTCGCAAAAGACTTAGTAAGTCGACTGAAAATTATCCTGAGATGGGCAAATTCTGGAAAGGGGATAAATGCATAATAGACTCAGAATACGCAAGGTGGTTCCATCCGGGGCAAGTAAGAGCTGCGATGTCATTCAGCCCCAACGTCAGGTGCCGTTCGCCGCTTTGCAGGACCTTTAGCTATCCATGATAGAAATCTTGAATGTTTACCGCAGACGTCATTAATAATGACAGGAGTGGAGGGCACGGTTACCCTTGATTGTCAGGCAACCCGAATCGAGACTGGAAACGGCCACCGGGTCGACAAATCTATGAAAGCACCGCGAAAAGTGGCATATGTAATGGCAGAAGTTGCTTGTACGCGCCCTGGCTAAATTCAAGAAAAAAAAAACAGAAGTCGAAAAAAAGTGATTGTTTGGGGTATGATGAGCAAGGGACCCTACAAGCCGCCACCCATCTTTCTGGTCTTGCTAAGGTCGTGCGCTTTATGTTCGACAGAGCGCCTCCTGGTTTGATGTTCGAGGGAAGAAGAACTCGAATTATACATACGTAATAATGTTGAAGTCGATATGCGTTTCTGACTAAGCCACGCTAGCACGCACGCAGTCGCCTGGCGCGTTGCTTCTGACCATTTCCAGCGACTCCTTGTCGATATCGTGTCATTGCAAGAACGATGGTCTTGCAACTCGCGAATTGTGTAGAATTGTCAACTTTCTATCTCGCCTTCCTATCCGCCTTATCGATGCCAGAAGACAAGCCCCGCAGCCACGCGTGTACCTGCCAAAGAGGGGTAAGTGTTGGTCTTTAGCATTGCCGAAGAGCAGCAGCCGCGGGCGCATAAGGCGTATATACCAGCTCTACTATCTCCTTGACAACTGCTGCAGCTTTCTATTATCCCGAATGGTCTCAACTTCTTCTCTGTAGATACGATTCACCCTGTCTGAGCGTTCAAAATGCCACTATCACCCGAGATCACCAAGTCCATCGAGGATGCCGTAGCGAAAAACTTCAAAGATGAGATTGCGTTTGTCCAAAAGATGGTGCAGTATGGTGGGCAAAGAGGCGAGGAACATGAAGCCTTAGATGAGCTTTACCACCAATACACCTCCCGTGGGTACGACACCACCAGACTCGAGATGGATCAACAGGTTCTGTCGCAACATTCAGGTGCAGGTAGATTCAGCGACACGCATTCCAAAGCCCCAGTTGTCATTGGCGTACACAAACCAAAGTCATCAATACCAGGCGGGAAGAGTCTGATCTTGAACGGTCACATCGATATTGTACCTAACGGACCAAAAGAACTATGGACGCATGACCCGTACTCCGGAATCATCGAAGGCGACTGGCTGTACGGTCGAGGAAGTGGCGACATGCGTGCTGGCGCGGTCGCGAACCTCTATGCACTAGATGCTTTGCGCAGTATTGGCAAGCAACCGGCGTCAAAGGTCATCATCGAATCTGTACCCGAAGAGGAGTCGACTGGTAACGGTACAATGGCCACACATCTTGCTGGATATACTGCAGATGCAGTCCTGATCCCTGAGCCTACAAACGAAGAGCTTGTTCGTGCCAATGTGGGTGTCGTTTGGTTCAAGGTCGCGGTTGCGGGTCGACCAGTCCACGTTTTGAAGGCCAAAGAAGGATCCAATGCCATCGAGTCGATATGGAAGATTGTGGGCGGCTTGAAAGAGTTGGAAAAAGAGATGAACGATCAGAAGAAAGGGAGACTGTACTTCGAACACATGGCTTCACCCATCAATCTCAATGTCGCTATGATTCAGGGTGGAGACTGGGCCAGCTCAGTGCCAGCTTGGTGCACGATCGATTGTCGCGTAGCGCTCTTTCCCGGCGTCACTGCACAAGAAGTGGCAGATAAGATTGAGCGTAAGGTTGCCGAGGTATCGAAAACAGACTCTTTCCTGCGCGACTCACCAGCGAAGGTGTCGTGGAACGGCTTCTTCGCGGAAGGCTATGTGTTGGAACCTGGTAGCGAAGCAGAAGAATTGCTGAAGACGGTGCATCAGCAGGTGACTGGCGCAGAGTTGACAAGCATGACCATGCCTGCTTATCTCGACACCAGAATCTTTGCTCTAGAACAGAAGATACCTGCGTTATGCTACGGACCGATCGGGGAGAGTCTACATGGGTTTGACGAGAGGGTGAGCATCAGCAGTATCCAGCGAGTCACAACCACGATCGCCCTGTTCATCGCAGAGTGGTGTGGTCTGGAAGACATCGCAAGTTAGGCGTTTGTATGCTCAAATCCAATGCGCAATACTGATCTGGAACTGCAACAACATCTGCTCTGCCTTACTAACATCAATCGAATATTTGGGTCTTCATACTTATCGTCGACAGGTGCGGGCCTTTCGAACTCTTGAGGCTAAATTATATACGAACTTCAACCGTAGTCTGCTGCCCGACATTCCGCGAGCGCTGATTAGTCCCGCCTTCATTTAATCATTCAGAGCAGAATATGGTACTTGAAGTCCGACATTTCCCTCCTCTACAATTCATACGTACGACACGAGCCCATGGAACCCCCGCGAAAACATACAGCTCCCACGAGCTGCGGCGGCTCCACTTACCCTAGGAAGCGGGCCGTCGCTGCATGTCAAATCTGTCGCGCACGAAGGACGAAATGCCACCAAAAGAAGCCGAAGTGTTCGTTTTTCGAAAAGACTGGTGCGCAATGTGCGTCAGATCCGCAAGACTCGTCTTCATTCGATCCCGCCAGTCTTGCTATCCTCGAACGTCTGGAGCAGTTTGAGTGGAAACTGGATGCTGCGCATACAATGCCTACTCGAGAGCAGACCAACAATGCAAGCCCCTTGTCAGCGCAGTCACATCCTGTATGTGAGCCACGACTGCAGTTGGGCAGCTGTTTACCGGACAACTTGGAGAGCGTCTTGAAATGGCCAGTATTCAGGGAGTACGGTCAGGCGAAGAGATAAGTTCACCGTTCTCGAACAACGCTCGGGACATCACAGCAGGTCGCTCGTCGTCAGTTTCCGTTGGAGGGAACTTGAGTGTTGTGACATGCGCTCCGTGGCTCGAGGGCATCTTTGACGGGGTGCACCGAAGAATCCAGTTCCCGAAGAAAACACTGCTCGCGCACTGGTGCGGCGTATCTGCGGAAATTGTTCAGGGTGGGACATTAAATCGTGTCTGGTCCTCTTGATCTGCGCAAACGGTGCTCTTATCCGCCCTTTCTCGGAGCGATCGATCCCGCAAGCCGCGCTTGTGAATTGGATTGCTGTGGCACTACACTCGGCAGCCCAAAAGCGCTTCGGCACTCTCTTCATGCTCGGGAATTCTTGTCGAAGCTCAATGCGTACTGTTCGCAGGTATATTTCCGATGTCGATCCTTCGCCCTGTCGACGCGTGGTGCATGTTCCTGCAAGCCCTTGCGATCTACCAGGGCTTCAAGCAGGATGGCCACAGCGCGGAAGAAAAAAAATATTTATTGGTCGTGTTGGAAGTCAGACCACAAATTGAGGTGGGAGCTTGGCCTTCCTTAGGAAACGGCGAGCCTCCGCGATGTTTCCTGAATCTTACCAGTGGTTGTGAAGGTCAGAACGTGCGTGCGTGGTACTTTTACCTCTCAGAAATCTCGCTCTGGCGGCTAGGAACGAAGGCCAAAGCTGAAACTATCGAAGTTGTAGAAAGAGAAATTCCGCGTGAAAAAGCTCTCCGGTACCTTGCTGAGACCGGCGATGATGCACTTCACCAAGTGGAGGCCTAGAAGAAGTTATTGGCCCCAGCAGTGTCGTTGTGAAGGCTCCTACCACAGGCACCATGGCACATGGCTGATGCTACATTCATCAGCGCGGAGTGCTTGCATCATACTCGCGTTCGCCTCGAACTCATTCACGATCGACCTCCTGCCCATCGGCTGGAGGGCGGCAGTTGAGGCGACCTTACAGACACTCCACTTTTTGGCCTGGCGAACTTAACGCGCTTCGCAGACCTGCCGAACTCATCTAGGAGGTGCTGGGCCAGACAGAGATACTAAGGGAGAAGATCGATGCAACAAGGACTATAGACCATAGAATGTAATTGCTCATCATTGTCCAGGTACGATGGGCGAAGAGTGAAAGTTGTAGACGGTTGCGTTGATATTACACGTGGGATGGGGAAGGAAGAAAGAGAAGAGAAGAGAAGAGAAGAAGAAGCTATGGAGAGGGAAGCATTGTGGCTTGCCTACCAAAACAGCGTTTGAGAATGGGAAGGCGCGCAGCTGCCCGAGTGTCCTCGCGAAAGGAGCACGTGACGATCGACGACGTGTTCGCGAATACCATGCATTTACAAGCCCTCAAGGCGCTCGCAAAAGGTGCAAACCAATTGGGCTGCTCATTGAAATGCCTACGATGTTCCTTGACGTCACTGGCAGTCGGTATGGCATCCAATCTATTTGCCGCAAGCAATATAGATATATTACCCGAGGCGACCGCAACCCAAGCTTCACAACTAGAGCCTCAAACTAGGATAGCTGATGTATCGTTAACACCAGCAATATGTTACGGTTTTCCCAGTCATGACACGAGGCTCGCTGGCGATAATTCACCTATGCAGCATCAGCGCACTGTGGTCCTTGGTTGCTTACCGTTGCCCCAGATCTGGCCTCAAACCTGCGGCGGACCAAGACCGAGTCCAAGGGCCCCAAGCCTCGCTATCCTAATACTACCCACCGAGCCTCCTCTTTACTACCTTGGCTGGTACCAAGAGGTTCTTCTTCCTTCTCGGCGGCGGAACGTATGTCCTAGACTCCGCTGAAGGTCAACAATAATTCCAGTAGGTGAGCTGTTGTACTTGTCAAATGACCGACTTTGCCATCCGGGGAGATCTGAGCCTCATCAAAGAGCGGGTTCGCGGTATGAAGACTAAATGGTTCAATATGGATATAGATGAGAGGCTCTTGGACAATGATCTGCCAGTTGTCGTGTTGAAGTACAAATATGACCTACAACTCACCAAAGTGCTCTTTCGTCACGCCGCCATCCACTCATTGAGCTTCTCCACTTCCTCCTAACGATGCTGTCTACCATCCTCCACATCGCTGGCTTCGCAGCTGGCCTAGCACAGGCTCTTCCCCAGCCTACGCCAGTACCAAACGCAGCAACCCCCGTTCGCGCTGAAACAACTGTCGCACCTCAGCCTGAGGCTCGCCAGGCTGCTGTCAACCCATTCGCTGGCTACAGCTTCTACGCCAATCCATACTACTCTTCGGAGGTGCACAGCTTGGCCATCCCTTCACTCCCGGCGTCCCTGCGCCCGGGTGCTTCAGCTGTCGCCAAGGTCGGATCATTCGTATGGCTCGACACTCGTGCGAAGGTGCCTACACTGGACACCTACCTGGCCGAAATCAAGCAAAAAAATGCTGCTGGCGCCAAGCTGATGGCTACCTTTGTCGTTTACAACCTGCCTGACCGCGACTGTGCTGCTCTTGCATCAAATGGCGAACTGCTTATCGACCAGGATGGAGCGGACAAGTACAAGGTTGAGTACATTGACAAGATTGAAGCGATTCTCAAGAAATACCCTGACGTGAAGATCAATCTTGCTATTGGTAAGTATCCATTCATAACAACAGTCAATCTTAGTCTTTGTGGTTGATGTTGAACAGAGCCTGACTCGCTTGCCAACATGGTCACCAACATGGGTGTCCAGAAGTGCTCTCGTGCTGCACCCTACTACAGGGATCTGACTGCTTATGCTCTACGCAAGCTCAACCTTGCGAACGTGGACATGTACCTGGATGGTGGTCACGCTGGATGGCTAGGCTGGGATGCCAACATTGGCCCTGCGGCCAAGCTGTTCGCTGAGGTGTACAAAGCTGCGGGATCTCCTCGTGCTGTCCGTGGTATTGTTACGAATGTCTCCAACTACAACGCCTTCAGAATTGGATCATGCCCTGCGATTACAAGCCCCAACGCCAACTGCGATGAGGAGCGTTTCATCAAGGCATTTGCCCCACTGTTGCAGGCTCAAGGCTTCCCCGCACGCTTCATTGTCGATGTTGGACGATCTGGCAAGCAGCCTACTGGCCAGCAGGCATGGGGTGACTGGTGCAATGTCCAGGGTGCTGGGTTCGGTCCTCGTCCTACCACCAATACTGGCAACTCGCTCGTCGATGCTTTCGTTTGGGTCAAGCCTGGCGGTGAGGTAAGTCAACATGCTCCTGCTCACTCTTTATCAACAATTTGCTAACAAAACGCGGTCTGATGGTACCTCGGACACTTCTGCTGTTCGTTACGATGCTGCCTGTGGCCGTGCTTCTGCTTTCAAGCCAGCACCTGAGGCTGGTACGTGGTTCAATGCGTACTTCGAGATGCTTCTCAAGAACGCCAATCCTGTTCTTGCTTGAACAGTTGTAAAAACGAATGGCGTGCGCGAGCAGTGAGGGTGAATGCGATAGCTGCTTTATACCGATATACAGAATGGTGGCGCTTCATAGGATTTGAACATAAGCTTGAATATATGCAGATTGTTCAATTGAGTTGATTTTGGAATGCATGCAGTGTGATGTGTGTGACACAAGGAACGGTCCGGCGAACGTTGAGCACGGCAGCAACGCAACGTGGCTTGGCGGGGTCCACTAGTGCCGATCCTATCTTTGGGAACTGCGACCCTGACATTGACAAACGATATTGACAGATGACATTGTACCTTTTATATACACCTTTAGAGATAACTCGACACTCAATACGCCCTCGAACACTCGCGGCGTGCCCTATGACATAATCGCGTCTGCCGAGCTCTTATCGATACCTCTGCGCCTCGTCTGCGCCGCATTCACTCTCCATGCATCCTCCAATCCGTCGATAGGCCAGCGGAGAGGGCAATGCAACCCCGAATACCCATACACGTGCAGTCGAAGCTGTTCGCCTACATCGCAGCTGCCTGTCTCCTCCTCATCACGTACTCGTCGACCCAAACGTCCTTCGCAAAGGCTGTCGAAATCCCTACTGCACCTGAACGAGAGCACCTCTCTCCAACCGAACTGCCCTTACTCGTCGTCGCCGACCCCGTACGCATTGATGATGGCGCTGTTGAAGAGGAGCAGAGCGGTGGCTATGCGCCAGACTTCGCATACTTCGCGCGCAGTCTGCTTGGACGCCAAGCTGAGGAGGTGGGCAAGCTGAAGAATGACGAGAAGGCGGGATTCGACATCTCGCCCGAGACCACCGTCCACTTTGTGCTGGAGAAGAGCCAATTGCAAGCTCGAAACGACCCAAGTGGCTTACTGAATGCGCTGAACGCAAGGCGCCCAGACGACGCTTTCGAGAACGAGCAACAAGAGGAAATTGACTCCATAAGTGAGGCTGTGGGATCTGGGCTCGCAGGCGAGACACTGGAGGTGCGGCAAGCAGCATCAAAGAAGGTGTGGGTGTCAGCGAACACCTGTAAACAGCCTCTGCCGGGAAACAACGCATCTTCCACAGGGGCACCTCAGCTTACCCTTTACGTCTCGACATCAGCTCAGAACCAGAAGCCAGGTCCAAACTTCACAGAGAACCTTGCCACGAATAAGACTGGCATACCCTTCGATAATGGCTATATATCGTTCGAAGTCAACGCTACGTCAGACGTCTATATTGGAATCTCTGCGCCGAAGTTGAACGAAAATTGGTTTGGGAGCTGGCACTTTGAAGTCGCTGCGAGTACCCACGGCTCTTATCACAGCTACAACCGGACAAATCCCTTCCTCTTCATGGTTGACACTGACAGCGAGTCTACACTGTTCATTACCTACAACCTTACCGACTCCAATAAAGAGGAGGACATCGCAAAATGGAACAACTCAAATCCATTTGCCATGTATGCCTTTCCAGCTGGCCGATCACCGGTTACGGGCATGGAGAACTCATACTGCGCACTCAAGCAACAGTTCAACTCGACTAACAATATCACCGTCAAGACGCAGATCACGACCAAATTCGGTGCCGGCTTTCCCAAAAGCCAGTTCAACGTCCACAATTTGAGCAATGCCCAGACATACAATGGGTATCTAGTAGTTGAAGGCAATCAGGACACAGTAGACTTGCCCGGTGTCGGCAGAGTGCGTGCTGGCGGCAAGGTCTTTCAGCAGTTCAATTGGACCACAAAAGCAGGTAAGTCAAGGCATTCAAACAGATGTCCATTGCGACTCAGTGCTGACTTCATACCAGACGATTCATGCCAAGTCTTAACGGACCTTGACTTTTGCGACACCGTTGCTTATGCTGTTCCATCATCTCCTGAATTCAAATTTGATGACGACAAGTTGAAAGCGCTGTACGATGGGCAGGCGAAGAAGTACTTCAAGAACTTCTCGAACTCGCTCGATCAAATTGCTTGCGACGCACCCTCGACTGCTCAGTATTCACTTGCTCGAAACTGCACTAACTGCCGAGAGGATTATAAAGCATGGCTTTGCTCTGTCTTGATTCCAAGATGTGAGGATTGGACAGCCAACGATGGATGGCTCATACCCCGGAACATCAATGCCAACTTTTCGGACGGAACCTACCCTTTTGCGGACAACATGACCGCCGAGTTCAACGCGACTATGCGTGACCGTTTCGGATACAGCAAAAGCCGTAATCCTATGATCGATGAAAAGATCAAGCCAGGTCCTTACAAGGAGATGCTCCCGTGCGAGGATCTGTGTTTCGACATAGTCAGAAGTTGTCCTGCACAACTTGGTTTTTCATGCCCTAACATCCCTGCGAGGGCTCTGCAGTACGGCACGCGGGATCCAAACGGGAATGTTTTGCAGTGCAGTTTCCCTGGGGCTGTCGTCAAGCTGAACGTGCAAAGCGATGCTAATTTCCCTAGCGTCCCGTCAGGCAACGTCGCGCTTGTCGCTCTGATGCTCCTGACAATGTTTGTCATCTCGTGGTAAGCCGATTAAACGCGGGAAAAGGCATGGGTTTGGCGTAATGGTTTAGTGGAGCGGGAGTCAGTGCATTTCTAGGCGTTTGAGGACAGGCGAGTGTATGTAAGCGATATGAAACGTGTTGTAAGAACCCTAGTCGCCTCCACGCTGGATAGACGCATTGGAAGAACTATTACCATGCTCATGTACCTATACGAACACCTGAAACATCTACGTTTGCAATGTTGTGAGGTAGCGCTATTTCGTCTCTAGTCTAATTCGCCTTAGTCGATCCTGATATGCAGGGACTGCTTAGCTTCCTCCATCAGAGATTCTAGCAAATCCCCCACGAGGATATCAGGTATCCTATTGTTCTCTTGATCCCACGATGCAAATCGTGGCCCCCCGCCAACGCCCACCTAGTGATAATTGCAATTTTGCCGGATGAGCTAACTTTGAGCGTCCGAACCTGCTACAAGGACCTCCGGCCATTCGTCGGTCGCAATGGCCGAAATTACTGGGCCTCGACCTCCGAGCACATCCACACGCGCAGCAAACGCGCACCGCGTCCACAGTAGCTGTGATCGGTGTCGGAGTAGAAAAACTAAGGTATGGCGGAACCCCTCCGTTGTTCGAAGCCAAGACATCATTGACTAGCTGTGCAGTGTATCGATCCCGGTATGTACGACTCGACTCATTGGTGTGGTCCTTCGGGGCAACACACGCTGACGTCTGGCAGTTCCCGGCCCATGTCGTTATTGTGCCCGCACGGGAGCTGTTTGTACTACCGCTACCCCGCGGAGGAAGCGGCCATTTTACCATGTGACCGAAGAGGAGTATCAACTGTCTATGAGTATCCTCTCACGTGTGTTCCATGGCCAGCAGCTGAACCTCGAGTCGTTGCGCAATATATCGAAAGCTATAAAGGACGGTTCGCTGGTATTGCCGACCCTAAACGCAGACAGCTACATCGAACCACATCAGTCGCCAGAAGATGACGATGATGACTCCAGTGCAGGCACCCCGGGTAAGTGGTCCGTCGATGGTGACAACCTACACGAGCCATTGGGCAGCATGATGAAAGACTCCAAGAATGTCTTACGCTACGTCGGCGCCCAGAGTGATATTCCGTTCAATGGAGCAGTTGCGAACTTTTGCAGGCCACCCCAGAAGTCTGATATCATTCCACCAGCCAGGGTTGGTAAATACCCACCGATGGAAGAGAGCAGAGAAGAAATCTTTTGGCTCCCACCGAAAGACGAGTGCTTTCATTACGTTCAAAGATATCGAGAACAGGTACATTGTATGTATTGGCTCTATCCGGAAGCAAAGCTTTTGCAGCGGATTGAGAATACATACGCATGGAATGAGTCAGCGCCTCCACATGTTACAATCAAGCGGGAGCATGCTGGCATGCTTACTCCGCCTCCCAGAAGGGGTCAACAACCGTCGACCTCGTGGATATGCTCGCTGTACGCTATGTGTGCCATCGGGGCATCGCCTCGCGACCCATTCGATAAATCGCCTTCGCCCGGACCTCATTCTCACAAAAACACTAGGACTTCGGAAGACTACATCGCCCTAGTCAAACAGCTCAAATCCAAGGTGGAGGACAATGCCGACATCGACAGCATACGAGCATTGGCCATAGCGGTATGTCGAGCAAGGAATTGAAGTCATTGGACTAACGTTATCAGGCCATTGCTCTTGAAAACGCCTTATCCCGGGTCACAGCATACTTATATATCGGGACTGCAGTCCAAATAGCATGGTCGCTCGGGCTGCATCGAGACCAGCTACCAATGTCAGGTTCAGAGGAAGAACGAGAAGAAAATCGCCGCATATGGTGGACATTAACCACCCTCGACCTGGAGATTGGGATGAGAGGTGGTAGTCCGACCTTGATTGACGATCGATATCTCAAGATTACAACTTCATCGCCGCTTGAGAGAATTGGACATGAGCCGGTAAGCTCTGGGGCAGCTCACTGTTGCCACAACATCAACACACGCTAACTGCTTGTAGGTCAAACCCGAGTTCTTAGGACTTTTCACGCCGACCAAGTGGCTGACAACATTCACGGAACTTGGCGGTCTGAAGCGCAACGTCATTCGAGAAATATATACGGAGCGAGAGTCGAAGTTGATATCATTCTCCACAGTATCAGACTTGCTCCTGCGGCTTCGGAAATGGCATTCAAAGTTACCTGTTCATCTCAGGCTCGATTCTTGGAATGCAGCACCGGATTTTCACAGGCGCGCGATAACAGTGCTTCACCTTCACTACTGGAGTACTAAGATACTCCTCACAAGACCGTTCTTACTCAATCTTGTTCTGAAGCGCGCGGACCTAGCGCCGAGTAGCAAGATCGGATACGAAAAGATGGCCATGGTGTCTATCGATGCTGCACGGAGAAGTGTGGAACTATTCCAGAGGATGAAGGAGGACGGAACTTTGTCCGCTTTGACGACTTTCGACAGTACGACCGTGCTCCGCTGCATTACCATCTTCATGTGCGCCTTTGGCTACTACCAAACGCCCGACTTCAAGAAAGATGCCAATGATTGTATAACTATCGCCAGACATATGGAACAGATCGGATTTGCAAAGATGATCGTAGAAGAGACACCTATCCATCTTCACAACCTCGGCATGAGCTACGAGCCTGTACCCGACTATCCTCAGGAGAGCTACATACCGGGCGAACAAACATTTGCTGATACAATGTGGCACAATCTGCAACTCACCTCACTGCAAAATCAACAAAGCCTGCGTCTGGATTTTGACGACAATGGCGCGCTCGAATCTAACGAATATCTCTTGGCGTTCGACCCAGAAGAGTATACAAACCCGGTTTTCCAGCGTCCGCAGCAATATTCGAACTTCAATCAACACTGGCAATAACCTCTGTAGATTAGCACACAGAAGTGATGTCCCTACAGGGGGCAAAGACATCAGTACATATACACTTATAATAGATGGTCGAATAAGCCAAGCAGACTTCACGAGGCATTTGCCACCCAGACTTACAATACCACCCTTCATTCGCACTTCGATTTGCGTCATACAATTGAAATTCTGACAAGCAGAAAACTTTAGATGATGTGAGTACCTTGCCAACCCGGGCTGCACCTACTCTAGACCCTCGCGCAAGCGCGCCTCACAAAGCGCCTAAACCCATTTCGATCTAGCCTTCCACCACCCACGCACCTTCCACCTCTCTTCCATCACCTCCCACACCTCACCATGTCCAACAACTTCTCAGGCAGCCACACTCTTCGCAACAGAAAACTACAAACTAATCTGGACGGCCCTCCTGTTCCAACAAAACTCGACACAAAACCCTCGCTCTTCCAACGGCGTGGTCTCCAACTCCCAGATCCACCTAGACAGTTGAAGCCACTGCCCGCTGTTCCTCTACCTGATTCAGTCGAGTACAAGCCTCTGCCACGGCCTCCGGAAAGCATCAAGTTGGGTACTACCTTACTTTGGATCGCGGGATTTGCTGTTTGGTTTATGGTCGTTGTGGTCATGTTGCCGGTCATCATGGAAAGAGAGGCAATGATTGGGGTGAATGCTTGGTTGAGGGGGAAATGGCGAGACGATGGAGAGGCTGCATGTGCTATATGCTGAAAACTCACGTTCTGTGAGCCAAGAGAGACCGAAAATGCTCGCGGACACACCCGTCGATTCAAAGCCGTTTCATAATGGATACACCGCAGTACAGCAACAGCATCTTCATTTATTATTTCAATTTAGAGGACAGGTTACAGCTTCGACTCCTGCTTCGTCGCATCTACCAAACTCTTCCGCCCACCAAAACCAAACAGATACGCCGCGATCTTGCGCATCTGGATCTCCTCACTCCCCTCGGTAATCCTGTACCGTCGGTGGTGCCGCCAAATGTGCTCGAAAGGGTAGTGTCTCGAATACCCATTGCCGCCGTGGACCTGGATCGCCCGATCGGCCGCCTGTGTACATAGTCTGTTTGACCAGTAGTTGCACATGGACACCTTATCGCCGATCTTCTTCTCGATCTCGTTGTGCGGCATCGAATCCATTTCGAGCGCGGTCTTGCGGATGAGTTGTCGCAACATCTCGCATTGTGTCGCCAGCTCGACGAGTGGGAACTGGATGCCCTGGTTGTGCGAGAGCGGTGTGCCGAAGGGAGCACGTTCGTTAGCGTATTCGACAGATTGCTGGACACAATATACGGCTGCACCGAGGGAGGACGCGGCTTGACGGATGCGATTTTCGTGTACGAAGGCTTGTGCTACGCCGAGACCGTTGTGAATCGGTCCTAGTGCTGCGCTTTCAGGAACCCAAACATCTTTGATCGAAACAGTGGCATGGTCGGTTGGCATGTTGAGCGTCCTGCACAACATTAGCAGAAACTCCTCACTCCAATAGCTCTGGTATCTTACCATTCATACGACTCCGCCTTCAAACCCGGCGTATCCCTCGGCACGATAAAGCAACTTATTCCCCTCACCTCGCCATCCTTTCCACTCGTCCTCGCAAAAATCGAGCAATGCGTCGCATGATGCATTCCCGTCTGCCACTTCTTATGCCCATTCAGCAGCCACCCATCAACGCCATTCCTCCTCTCCGGCACGCCCTTGGTCGCCATATGCGTCGCGTCACTCCCGTGCCCGGGCTCCGTCAACCCAAACGTCATCCTGAACTCGCCTCTCAGCCGCGCAGGAATCAACTCCTCCTTCTGCTTCTCGGACCCGAAGTTCATCAACATGATCACGTCTGGGAAGTTGCCCACCATGCTATGCTCATTCTGCAGATCATTGAACAACCCCAGTCCTTTCGCCGCCAAATGCTCCCTGATGACCGCCATCCACAGATTACTCCCCCGTCCGTCCTCGCTGTTCTGCCCGCCGTACTTCTTGGGTAAAGAAAGCCTGTAGAAGCCAGCTTCGTCGGCGAGCCGCCGCGATTCGGCGAGCAGGTCTTCCCATTCTTTGCGCGGCAGGCCGCCGGCGTCCCAGTCTGTGCGTGAGTGCTCCCGCCGGTGGTCGAAGAAGCGGTTGTTGTCGTCTTTGTATTGGAGCGGGAGGATGGTGGTTTCGATGAAGGTATCAAGGGCGGCGAGGTAGGCTTTGAGGTCGGAGGGAATGGAGAAGTTCATGGGTTGCGACATGATGTCGTCCTTAGTTTTGCAGGTTGGTAGGTGTAGGCGTACGAAGATGTAGGTATATGTGAGACGTCGAGGTGCCCGTCGACGAGGTTCAGCGGTCTGGGTAGTTCGTAGGTATCTGCAAGACAGAACCACGATCCTGAAAAGATATATTTTCAATCGGTTGGAACATGATGATGACTCGCGACGTCTTGTCGCAGTGAGCTTCCATCGAGAGCTGTGTTTGCGGGGAAAGCCCGCACGGGCCCTCATGTCATTTCGACCTCGGCCTTTCTCACAGCTCAGCATCTTTGATGGCGGCGTTTCTCGGCAACTTCCTTCCTCAACTTCAATATGATACATATCTTGACTGCTTCTTCTTTCTCCTTCTCAATTGAAGAATTGCCGGCCTCTAGCGATGTGACAGATCGCAGCAACCCTCCTCCTAGGTTTTTATTTCCTCTTCTGCATGCCCTGTGTGAATGATAAAACAAACGCCCTCCCATGATGATTGCGGCTTCGACTTATACGTTGATGAAGATTCATGTGATTCAACTCTCGCTGAAGACTTGAATTCTCATGTCATATGTTGCCTGGATCTGCTTTTTGCCACTGAGAATAATCCAGCGGTCCCTCGAAGCGCTGGAAATAGTGGGTCACGCTCATTAAATGGTCATGGCACAGGCGTGTCATCGACGCCCGTTACCCAAACCTCAGGACGGTTACAGGCATGGACGATCGACGTGTCAGGAAGCGTGGGCCACCTTCTGCCTCTCGAGATCTACTCACTGAAGATGACACGGAAAGCCATTCGCGAGATATTAGCCCACTCTTCTGGCGAGTCGTATCGTCTGCACGAGGCCATGACAGAGCTTAATGTGCATCAGCAGAGTATGGTCAATGAACATGTCAAGGACTCCGGTTCGGTGTTGCTCTACGTAGCTGTCTGGCACAAAGAAACGGTGGCCTGCGTTTTTGGAGATCCCACAATTGACATTCTAATCTAGATCACCGTTCCCGACACTGTATCTGCAGAGTCACCACCTACACAAATCGCAAGCCTACAACAAACGTCCAAGGTCAGCAGGTCATTTGGAAAGCTGGAACTGCTCAAACGGCTATTCCATAGATACGTTCTGAGGAAGAGTTATGTCACGATGAGACCACCTGACAGAAGGATGTATGATTATAGAATGGATCCCGACATGGAAATCGAATCGCGCGACGCAACTTTGGGTGAGGAAGCGCACGGCAAGATTCTGAATGAGCAAGCTCGTGACAAGATTGTAGATGGGCTGGTATCCAAGTGGATGACGGTAGGGGAGCATCTAGAGTTCGCTGGATGTAGCGCATTTCAGGTTGTAGTCATTATATCATAACTGATTGTGGCACTTACTCGTTTGTCGTTGTTCTTCCTCAACTCTCGAGCTAGCCTGAGATGTCAACGAAAAAATTAGAGTGTGACATGGGTACCACGCGAGTTGGTTCGAGTTCGGATCCCCTCCCCATAGTCACGATAGGAGGGTACATAGATTCCCGGGACCTTGGAAGGTGTATTTGACACTTGGCCAGGTCTAGGAGATGAAAGGAGGATGAGAAGCGACTGCAATCAAACATCATCAACTGCAGAATGCCACTACGAATGGTACTCTCTATGTCACAACAGTTATCTCTCAAATTATCTTGCACAATAATGCCGTTGCAGCGAACCACGTTAACCCACCTACGCGCCCACGATGGTCATGGGCTCGCATTGACATGCATCTTTTTGGAAGGCCGTAAAGATATTCAGGTTGAGATTGCAACGTAAAGGGATGCGTTCTATTGCAGTGTTATGTTCGTAGGAAGGTTGCAGTATAGATCGTTCCCAACATAGGGCGTTGTCGTGTAAGCAAACAACATTCTTATAGCCACTGCGTACAAGACTTTAAGCCAGTGGGCGTATGCCTCCAGGCTTGGGTGATCATTAAAGGCTAAGAAGATCGATTGATCACATGGTCTCCGTACCTCGCAGCTTTCATCCTAGCTTCTTCTGCTGTCCCAGTAATGGTATCTGCAATCCATCCGTAAGTCTCAACCGCGGTCCTGGAGTCTCATCTACATCCTTCCTCTTCGGGAGTTCTCCAATCTTGTTCCACACCAACAGCAGCTGGATGTGCCCAGGAGTGATGCCCATCTGATCCGAGCCCCAGTGATACTGCCACAGCGATAGCCTCTCATCGCGTGCAGGTGCCTTCTTGCCATCATAGTAACACGCTACGTCACCGAAGCAAAGGAACACGTACGGGAAGCCGTCCTGTGAACCTGTGAGCAGAAGGACGTGAATGGTGTAGGTTTGGACTTACGATCGTATACAATTGGTCGTAGATGGTCGACACGTATGTCGCGTTGCAGTTCCATGCATTATCTAACGCACCATACTTGCTATCCGTGTTGCGCTCTTGCGACTCATCGTTGAACGTGCAGTTTCCCTTTTTGGTCGACAGGGTGTATGGAAACACATCGCTCCTCAAGAAGGTGCCGCATGCTGCTTTGTTGTTTGCTGTGATGAGCTTCCCGTTCTCGTTCAGGCATCCGATCTTGTCTGCGGTAGGTGATGCGGTGCGCCAGTCATTAGAGTTCAAGACGTAGATGTTGCCGATGCCGGTGAAGTCTTTCTGGGTGACGCCGGCGTTTGCACTGAGTGCAAGGATAAAATAGGTGAGGATGCTGATGAGCGCGTGCATCTTGATAGTTGTTTTGCAGGCTATGGTAGAGCACCGAAGATTTTTGACAGATTGGGGGATGCGCGACTCTTTATGGCGACCTCGTAAAGCGTCGTAGTCCTGAAGTCGCGAGGGTACACAAGGGAGAACGCAGGCCGCCGCTATCAGATTGTCCGCTCAGGATGAGCCTTCCTCTTCACCCTTGTCCTGGCCGCGCCTTCTGCAGGTTAGATGAAATAAACTTTGGCAAGCCAATTGCATTCGTCTTTCCGTGCTCACTCTACACCGTACGCAGCTTCGAAACAAACAAAGAGTGGAGTCTCAATCAAGTAGCCGGCCTGATATCTGCGACGTGCATCTCTTGAGGCGACGGGCGATGCTGACAGGATGGAATGCTTGCTGTAATCAGCGAATCGGCAGATGGACGTAGTACAGATCTGCCGGTTTAGGTGCGCCACGTGCCACAACAATATGGTTGAGCGAACGAGATGCCGAATGGAGATGAGAAGAGTGAGCGATGGATCAAAGAAGATGTCTAATGCATATGATGTGCTTCAGATAAGTCAATTGAGGAAGGCAGCAGTTCTTGGTCAGTTGCTTGTCAGCGAGAAGCGTCAGATTCGGAGTCGGACACGGGGGAGATGCAAGCTTTAGCGAAGCTAATCACTACCGTGTCTGTGCACCGAACGCCCAGAGTCACCAAATGCCCGCTCCGACCCCTTCACACCCACCACAAAAATGAGGCTATAGAGCCCCATACAATAGTTATTATTGTGAGATAGTTTGTAGTAATAGACTATGGATCTATGCAATTAATTTGCTGCCTCCTACTGCTTTTTGGTACAAGTTTGCGGCCGCGGCCGCTCTGTTTTGCCTCAGGTGTTGGGGAACGCACACAAACAACAGATTGACTATGGGCAGCTGCACCACCACAATGTTGCTTTTTTCTGGGTGGTGTAGACTGTGAGGCCATGTGCTTGCCTATTTTAGGCAATTGTATAGTTTTTTGAGTGTTGCAAGCTTGTTTCTGATGCTCTCTTTCAGCCTTGCATTTAGCTGCTTCTTAGGACTTCACAGCTTTCAGCTGGTCTTGCTCTTCCTTCTCCCTCACCCGTGCCACACGCTTTTCTTCTGCAATCTTAATCTTATAGAGCCTATTAGCAGCTGCTAACTCCTTCATCTCTGCCTTCTTTAACTCTTCCGCTTGCCTCTCCTGTTCTACAACAGCCATGCAAGCGCGCACCTTGTGGAGGGCACTGTTACAATCAAATGTAAGGGGTGGAGTCCAAAAGACAATATGCACGGCTATATCCACCAGCCTTGTGTGAGAGGGGGCCAGCTAGGGATACCAACTGCTCTCTGAGATGGATGAATAGGGGGAAGGAAGGTTCAGGCTTGTTGGAGATAAGGGTGTGGAAGAGATCAAGTGTGGGGATACCACAAAGGATCAGTGAGGAGTGAGTTGAGGAATGAGTTGTGGTTAGCTTATACAAGTTTCGCTCCCAGCTTTAGTGCATCAATCTGATCAAGCGCATTTTTAATCCTGGCATGGTTATTGAGTTATTATGCGTTGAAATATTGTGTAGATGTTGTGCTCTGGGCATTGGGTGACTCCGGGCGTTCGGTGCATAGACACGGTAGTGCTCCGTCTGCACTTGCCTTTCATTGCACAAAATTGTGGAGATTACTTTACATGCCAAGTCTTGCGCTTATAGATGGTGTCGAACGCTGTGATGTATTGCTCCAATTGTAACATTAGAGAGACCTGCTGCTCACTCGCCGGAGCCACCTGCTCTTCCACATCAGGAGAAGAAGAGGCCGAGAAGAGGTACGATTTGTTCAGAACCCTGTTCAGACCAGCCTCGTAACTCGAATTCCTAGTTCCCCCATGAGACTATCGTCAACAACTGCATCTTCTTGCGCATGCACGGAGATATTAAGTGCTTGAACTAAACGTATGCCCTGCTTCTCTTCACGTGTACTTCAAAGTACCGTCACATTGGATGCGGCAGCCCGGACGATCCTCACCAAGCTCTATTTACTTGACACAATCGAAGCAAACTCCCTTTACTGCATCACAGATCTGAGTAACGCTCGCGAGCATAGTTTCTTCGGAAATTTGTTGTTCGGTATCTTTTCGAGATGAGTCTTGAGTTCGGCGACAGAGAGCGTCTTTAGCGGCCATACTCCACTCCTACGAATCTCATTGAAGAAGAAGACCATGTCCTGCTGAAAGTTCTCGCACCCATTACTTGGCACGATTGGACCGGGAGCCCCTAACGCGCGCTTCTGAGTCTAGTGCTGTTCTTTCACGATGCGCCCGAGAAGCGGAATTGGAAGGAAGTCCTGGCCGTCCGACATGGCGGAGATGCTCAAGAGATCGGAACGGTCTCGGATCAAACTCTTAGAAATGTTGCGAAACTCTGACACCATGTCAAGGAGGTACGCGGCGACACGAGTTTTCGCGAAGTCTGCAGCACTCGGCTTCTGCAGAATATCCGCAACCTAGATGATGCTCCATACTCAAATTGCTTCCACACAGTCGTGCTTGTAAGAAATCATAGCAATGCTCGCTAACTGGGTGGGAGTCGTGGTGATGCTGACATCTGCCGACTGAGCATGAACGATCTTGCAGATAACAGCCATGGAATCCGCATCATCCTCTGGAAACGGGACAACTCGGGGTGAGGTCGCAGTCAGAGCTTCGCCTCAGCGAAGTAGCCATCGAACATGGCTGCAAAGACTGGAGAGACGTGGCTGAGCAGCACCGATGAGACAAGAAGCTTGCGCTCAGTCTGAGGTGTTTTGCTCACATGAGGATCACGTCGCCGCGCTTGGATAAAACTTCTGCAGTCGTGGACCTAGCTTCCATTGTGGCAAATACTGGCGGTACTCAGCGGTACGTACAGAATACCAACGTGTTGACGTACCTTCGTGCGTGCATTTGCGTGTACCGTCTGGCATACGAGCTTCGGCGAACGTTGTCGGCGTCGAACGGCGGTCGAGGAAAAGTAATCGTCTTCGAGATTCGTGCCTAAAGTGAAATTGTCACAAAAGCTTGGTGAGTGCGTAGTCTCGAGTTTAGAATCATGGGTGAGAAAGACGATGATCCCTATCTCTTCTTCGCCTTCACCTGCTGCTGTCGAGACACCCAGCCGACGGTGCGCGTGTAAACTTACCCCACCATACAGCGCATGTTCAAGCCTATTATGTATACCGATTTACGGTCGGTCATCTTCGTGGCAATCCATCAATGTGGCAGGATTGCGTTGCTGCCCTGAGCTCATTCACATTCGTGGTCGCGCGCTCAGCTCTTGCTGGGTTCTGTCGATTGCGCCTTCCAACCCAAACTGAGAATTTTGTCCAACTTCCCATGAAGTCGCTCGCCAATTCAATCTTTTGAGCATGTAGCTAGATCATCCTAGCGACATCTTTCTCGTACCTTCAAGACGTCATTTCAATGTTCGTGACGTCTAAACTTACTTGTGACGTTGTCCTGCAGTCCCTAGAACTCAGAAGTCAAACGCGCGCATTGCGCGTTTCTGCACATTCGATGCGGCTTCGTTGGACCTCTGCCTTCGCCTTCTTACGTCTTTACAGCCGGTTCATTGTTCACTCAACTGCCCGAGTATCAAGGCGGACGCGTTGTTTCCGTCGGTTCACGCTAATCGTCATTCGTGCACTGGCTCGCTGTTGGCTCGATGTTGGGGCGACTGCAGCGGGGATTCGATCTCTCGATTGCTGGCATGGTGCCGCGCAGGCCTCGCCCACTTCTGGCTCTCATCGCGCAATGCGATCTTCTGACTGACGAAAGCGCAATGGCATTTCAAAGAAGCTTGCTGAGCAATCGCGAGACCAAGACGGGGTAGAGTTGCAAAAGAGATGGAACAATGTTGAGCAGGAGCATCCTGAGCAGCTGGAGCATCAAGACTGGGGCTCCAAGCTTCGAGCAGGAGCTACCTTCCACCTTGAGGACGTTGACGGGACCAGAAGCGACCTTGAAGGTCTCCTCGGGCTGAAGGACGACGGCATCCATTGTCTCAAATGGAACGCAACTGCCGTTACCGGATACCTCGCCCGTAAGGAGCGATTTAATGCGACAACCATCGTTAACTGCGAGCTGATGATCTGAAACGCGAGACGCGCGCTTGCTCGCACTTGGTTCGGCCCTTTCGGCGCATTCGGCCGACCTCGCAGCGAGCTTTTCCAGGCCATCTCCTATCTTCTCAGTCAATCGCCGAGCTACGACCCGTCAAATCTGCGACCATTCTGCGAACTTCGCGGTGACATCTCGCGTCCGCAACACCTCCGTCTGCTCACCCCGCCGCGGGCAGCCTTCCAACGCGCTCGGGCGTCTAGAATGCTCGGCCACTACCCCACCTTCAGTAGTCGCGATAGAGCTGCTGAACACCTTGGTGATGGTGTGGTGGTTGTCAGGCCGTGTCAGCATGCATCCACCAGGTTGATGTGCTCATCCGGAGCTGCTAGAGCTGCACAGCAAGCAATTCGAAGCTTCGACGCAGCCAGATTAGCACAATTGGTTGGCAAATCCAGGTAAACAGAGCTTCGTCTCGAGCTGAGGTCCATTGTTCCGCAAACATTTGGCATTGTCCGTCCGCATTCGGAACGGAAGCGCTGCCGACAGCTCTACAGCCCCAGATTGTAGCTCAACCGTCTCAGGAGGCAGGGACCACTTGTTGCGAGGCGATTCTGCATCACAAAGTGGGGAGATGAGCTCCGAATGACCCAATGTTTGCAGACTTTCGAGCTGAAAGCATCACGCGGTAGGTACCCTTATGTATATATAAACCCCTCACGACCCCTCAACTGCACTCAGCATCAAACATTCCAAAACACCAAAAAGAGTTCGACGTCACTTCGAACTACTTTAGGTATTGAATCCCCGAACCCCCTCTTCCGCTTGGGCCAGGAACGACAGGCTGACAGATCGTGCGTCAGATACACGTACCGAAGTACCTTTTACCCGGACGTGACTATATATCTACTCTACGGAGTCTTGTTTATTCGAACAATAACTATTCACAATGGTATTTCTCCGCTCAGCCTCCCGCCTTGTGCGCCCCGCGTCCTCCCTCCTCACAACTCGTGCTGGTTCACGGTTAACATCGGGCGCCTCCCTCCTACGACAACCGAATCAGTTCAGAACGCTAACCGCGACCGCTTCACAACAGGGCAAGGTTCTTCTCGTTCTCTACGATGTAAGTTGAACAACCTCCAATGGCTCGGAAACAGCGGCTGACAACGTCATAGGGTGGTGTCCACGCTGAGCAGGAGCCCCGTCTTCTCGGTACCACCGAGAACGAGCTTGGTCTGAGGAAGTGGATCGAGGAGCAGGGCCACGAGCTCATTACCACTTCCAACAAGGAAGGCGAGAACTCTGAATTCGACAAGCACCTCGTTGACGCCGAAGTCATCATCACCACACCGTATGTCGGAGCTACCCCGCATAGCCGCTAGACCGCCCCGCTTCCACGCGTAAGCTTGTTGCTTTAGCGCGCGACAACATGGAAATAAGTGACAAGGCTGACAATTATTGACAGTTTCCACCCCGGTTACCTCACAGCAGAGCGCCTCGCTAAGGCCAAGAACCTGAAGCTTGCCGTCACTGCTGGTATCGGATCCGACCACATCGATCTCGATGTTGCCAACAAGACCAACGGCGGTATCACCGTTGCTGAGGTCACTGGCTCCAACGTCGTCTCCGTCGCTGAGCACGTCGTCATGACCATCCTTACCCTCGTCCGCAACTTCATCCCTGCCCACGAGCAGATCGCCCGTGGTGACTGGAACGTCGCCGAGGTCGCCAAGAACGAGTATGACCTCGAAAACAAGGTTGTCGGTACCGTCGCTGTTGGCCGTATCGGTGAGCGTGTCCTCCGCCGTCTCAAGCCCTTCGACTGCAAGGAGCTCCTCTACTTCGACTACCAGCCCCTGCGCCCTGAGGTCGAGAAGGAGATTGGCTGCCGTCGCGTCGAGAACCTCGAGGAGATGCTGGCACAGTGCGATGTTGTAACCATCAACTGCCCTCTCCACGAGAAGACCCGCGGTCTCTTCAACAAGGATCTCATCTCCAAGATGAAGAAGGGCTCATGGCTCATCAACACCGCCCGTGGTGCCATTGTTGTCAAGGAGGACGTCGCCGATGCTCTCAAGAGCGGCCACCTGCGCGGATACGGTGGTGATGTTTGGTTCCCCCAGCCCGCGCCCAAGGACCACCCTCTGCGCTACGCCCAGAACCCCTGGGGCGGAGGCAACGCCATGGTCCCTCACATGTCCGGTACCTCGATCGACGCTCAGGAGCGCTACGCCGCCGGTACCAAGGCTATCCTCGAATCATACTGGTCTGGCCGCGAGGACTACAGGCCCGAGGACCTTATCGTCTACAAGGGCGACTACGCTACCAAGTCGTACGGCCAGCGCACTAACGCTGAGCGCACCACTGCTCCCAAATAAGCGGTTGATGTTAGCATGTTAAAACGAATTTCCTTTTCTTGACGAGGCAAAGAGCTAACGGGTACTTTGGGCTTTGTGTAAATCAGTATATCCATTGAACTTCACTGAATGTCTTCTGCGGTTGTGACATGTTATCATTCAAGTTTTACTAACCAACATCACTTCTCGACGTCCACTTTTCCAACGTGGCACTGGATACCTTGCGACTGCCCCGTTGACAAACGCCATACAGATGATGGTAGCCTTATGACCTGTCTGGTTCACGGGGTATTACCGCACTTGCCACAGCTACAGTCAAAACTAGCAAGTCGACATAAAAAGTGTGGGTAGACAGCCAATCAAGTATAAAGAGATCGAGGGAATGCATCGGTACTTCAGTCGCCGATCGACAATCTATGGGTATTGAGTGAAGCTCTTTAAACGTGTGCAGCGTTGTACATCCACCCGCCAACCAGGTATAGCAAATCACATGACAGCCTTGTCTTAACCCCTCGACCCTGACAAACTCCGCCGCGTCTCATCCACGTCTTCATCCTCGCTATCGTCCTTGAACCCCTGCTCCAGCTCCCTCCCCAACCGCGTCTCCTCCTCCACCATGCTCCTCCGTTGCTCGAGCGCCTCCCTTCTTCGTTCATCCACAGGATCAAACCCCACCATGCCCTCGCCTTCCTCGTCGTCGAAGTCGGACGACGAATCGTCGTGCACGTGTATAGCGGGCTGGCGCGTCCAGGTCGAGGGCATGAAGAGGGTGTAGAGGGCATCGGAGAGCTTGGTGCGCCAGGATGTGGCGTGCTCGGCCATGGAAGTCGGCATGGGAAGGTACTGCGAGTAGCGGGTGCGGTGGCGGCGGATGAAGGGGAGGATGAAGAGGGTGGCGGAGAGGTAGAGGACGAGGGCTATGAAGAGCGGGATGAGGATGCCCTAGTGCCGTTAGTTGTGGCTTCGTGAGAGACGCAAGGGGCACGCCTACCCTCAGGAAGTGCGTGAAGCCTGCCATCTGGCAGGACCCTTTGGGGAACTGTCAACGAAGTCTGACGGCTGTTTGCTGAGCGGCTGAGCTGGAAGGCCTCTCTGGGCGTCTTATGGAGCCCCGGCCGCCGACGCAGGCTGGGAGGGGGGGTGGGGGGGGGGGGTTTATAGCAAATGTGCGCTCCTCTTAGTGACAGCGAAGCATGTATATACACAGCAAACTCATCTGCGAGGCCAGCATCCAACACCGGCAAGCAGCGCAGATGTTCGTGAAGAAGACATGGGGCAAGGCTGAGCGATGGCTGTCGCTGACGTTCACTGCCAATCGGACACCCCAGTGCCCCGTTCGCAGGCGCAAGCCACAACGCACGCGTCCGGGCGACCAGGGGCAGGTCTCAGGAGAAGACGGCGCGGCATTTGCACGGCCGACTAGCCACCCCACGCCTCGAAACACGGTGGAGCAGACTTCTGCACGCTCCCTGTGTTCACGACAATCGCTGTACATCTACAGTTGTTCAGCACGTGAAATAGTCGGTCGATGCAGAGGCACGCCATGCACGAGAGCCGCTAGTCACTACTACTCGGCACCTTCCCGCACCCACCTGCAGCCCGCACCGCCCGTGACCCGTGACCGCCGAACCCTTTTACGCAGCCCGGGCAGGAAGAAGTGCCAGGAGAGTGTCGCGCCCCGCCCGTCGTTTCAGCACCGCAGAGCCAGGGCAGGCCTCACGCGCGCCGCATCGCCCGCAGCCAGCCTCTCGACCGAGACCAGGAGGGACACGTTGGGCAGAACGAGAGAGCGACACAGACAGGAGGAGCTCGTGACAGCGGGAGACGGCGAGCACCCGCGAGGACGACGCGGTGCATGCGATGGACAGCAAAGGGCGGCAGTCGTCTACGTCCAAGTTCTTTGGGCGACGACACAAGGACAAACCCAGCGGCAGCGGCAGCGGCAGCGACACGCGCCCGCCCGCAGAGTCGCCGCCGGGGAGCGCCCATGGCTCGCAGTCGTCACGACACTCGCACCGTCACTCCAGCAGCCAGGCCTCCGTCGACCGCCCCGTGTCTCTGAGCGCCGAGGGCATCTTCGCCAAGGCCGGCCCCATCAGCAACTTCGACTACACCCAGCAGGTCGAGCCGCACCACCTCAACAAGGGCGGCGGCGACTTCCACCAGTACCCCGTCTTCGACCCGTCTTCCATGCCGTCGGCCGGCTACGAACGCGGCGGCGGCGGCGGCGGCAGCGGCGGCGGCGGCAGCACCAGCAGCACCAGCAGAGATGGGCCGCCACGCCCCCCGCCGCACTCGGGGACCACCATGACCTCGCAGGGCGCCGGCCAGGGCAGCGACCGCGGCGTGAGCATCCAGCAATGGGGCGCCCGCGACAGCAGCCGGAACGCCAACACCAACACCAACACGTCGTACTACGCCGCCACCGACTCGTCCGCCTACACACGCGCCTCGTCCGACCAGGCCTCGGTCTACTCAAACGACTCGCGCACCCGCGGCAACAGCATCTACTACCCCAAGACCAACTCCAACTCGCAGACGACCTTCTCCTCCATCGGGCTCGACTCTGGCAGTCTGCTGCCCATGGCCGCCTCCACCCCGCGCGACTCGCACCGCCACAATCTGCTGCATTCAGGCCAGTCTTCCCCCTTCGGCTCCAGCGCAAACCTCGGGCAGAAAGGGTTCGACATCGAGCGACCGGCCGACCATGTGGTCGAGAAGGAGTTCATGAACCTCATGGTGAAGCGTGGGTGGAAGAGCCTGCCCGAGCAGGCGCGGCGGCAGATGGAAGCATACAAGATCGACAAGAAGTGGACGCTCGTCTACCAGGACAAGCTCGCCGAGCACAAGCACGAGGAGAAGAAGCGTCAGACCCAGCGCAACACGTATGGCGGCGGCGCAAACCCAGACATCCTGATCCGCGCAGAAGAGGAGGGCTCGCCGGAATGGTACGTCAAGAAGGTCATGGACAACTCCATCACCAACAAGCAGATGTCGAGTCTCGAGATCAGTCTGCGCACTCAGCCCATTGCCTGGGTCCGTGGTTTCATCGAGGCGCAGGGTCAGATCGCGCTCACGAACGTCTTGACGAAGATCAACCGCAGAAAAGGAACAGGCCCAGCGCTTCCACCGAGTGCCTTCAACCAAAAGGCCGAGAACGACGTCGAGCGCGAGTACGAGATCGTCAAGTGTCTGAAGGCGCTGATGAACAACAAGTATGGTGCAGATAACGCTCTGAACCATCCATCCATCATCCAGGCCCTGGCAGGCTCTTTGATCTCCTCTCGATTGAACACAAGGAAACTCGTCTCAGACGTCCTGACCTTTTTGTGCCATTGGGGTGAAGGCGGCGGGCACGAGAAAGTGCTGAACGCACTTGATAACCTCAAGTCGCAGTACGGCGAAAACAGCCGCTTCGATGCATGGATGCGCGTTGTCGAGGTTACCGTTGACGGGCGCGGCAAGATGGGATCCATGGTCGGCGCCTCCGACGAGGTCCGCAGTGGTGGAATCGGTGTCGAGAACCTGCTGATGGAATACGCCATTGCAACACTGTTCTTCATCAACATGATTGTCGACGCACCCAAGCGCGACCTGCAGCTCAGGATACACATCCGCGCCCAGTTTACAGGATGCGGCCTCAAGCGCATCTTCAAGAAGATGGAGGGCTTCCAGTACGATGTCATCGACAAGCAGATCGAGCAGTACATGGCCAACGAAGCCGTCGACTACGAAGACTTCCTCGAGCGCGAGAACAGCTCGATGGTGGACAGTGTCGATGGCGGCGAGACCAAGGATCTGAACGACCCCTCTCAGATCGCAGAGGCGATCATGACCAAGGTCGGCGGTACTCGTGCGCAAGACTACTTCTTGTCCGCCATGCAGCATCTGCTGCTCATCCGGGACACCGAGAGCGAAGACCGCAACAGGATGTTCCAGCTTGTGGATTCGATGCTGAGCTACGTGGCTATGGACCGCCGACTGCCAGACATGGATCTGAAGCAGAGCCTGAACTTCACTGTTCAGTCTTTGCTCGACAAGCTGTACACCGATGGAGAGGCTCGTCAGATCCGGGATGAAGCCAACGCGGCACGACAGATTGCAGACTCGGCCATTGCTGAGCGTGATGAAGTCAAGGCAGAACTCGAGCTCGGTGCAGATGGCCTCGTGCAGAAGCTGCAGAAGCAGGTCGCAGAGCAACAGCGTATCATTGATCTGCGTGGCAGGCAGGTCGAGCAGATGAAGGCCGAGCTTGCGGAGATGCAGAGGATACGAGCACAAGAACTGCAGCGCAACGAATTGGAAACCCGCGAGCTGTACCTCATGCTTAGAGATGCTCAAGATGTTGCTGCCTCCGCTTCGAAGAAGTCTGGCAAAGACGGGCTGGGCGCTTCAGATCCCGCGCAGATGCAGGGCATCATGGATCGCGAACGCTTAATGAACAGACTTGAAATCCAGCTTCAGCGAGCTAAGACTCAGGCTACTCTCGAGGGCAAGACTCTTCAGATGGTGCAGCCCAGTGAGAAGCTGAGGGAGCTCAGAGAAAAGATGGAAGGTACTGCGGGCGAAATGCCGGAAGGCTACGGTGACGGTCTGCAGCCCAACTCCTTCGGCTCTGTACGAGCGAAGAGTGGTGTACCTCGCAGGAAGCCTGTACCTGGTGGAGCTGGTGGCGACGACGAGATCATGTACGATGTCAACGAGGATGACGAGGATGTGATCATCGAGAAGCCGCGTCTCGTCCAGATGCACAAGCCAAAGCTCAGCGCATCCACCGCCAACGCTCTCGTGGGAGAGATCGCATCGACTGTGCCAAAGTACGAGGACGACGAAGCACAAGCGAATGGTGCTCCTGCTGGAGCGATTCCACCACCACCACCACCGCCTCCTGGTGCCCTCGGGTTCCCTGCTGGTCCCGCTGGGATACCTCCCCCACCTCCCCCACCCCCAGGTGCCCTTGGATTCCCCGCTAATATACCTCCGCCGCCGCCTATGCCTGGCACTAATGCTAATATCCCTCCACCTCCACCACCACCTCCTCCGGGCAAGCTTGGCTTTGGCGCGCCCGGTATCCCACCACCTCCGCCAATGCCTGGCGCTCCTCCGATGCCAGGCGATGGCAGCATGCCGCCTCCGCCTCCACCACCGCCGCCTATGCCGGGTATGAAGCGGCCTGGTTTCCTGCCCAAGGCTTCTTTCAACGGTCCGGGATCTATGGCTCTGTCCGGACCTCGACCGAAGAAGAAGATGAAGGCTCTCCATTGGGACAAGGTTGATTCGCCAAACTCGACCGTGTGGGCCACTCATGGCCTCACTGCGGAAGAGAAGGAGGAAAAGTACCAAGAGCTTTCGAAGAAGGGTGTACTCGATGAAGTCGAGAAGCTCTTCTTGGCCAAGGAGATCAAGGCGATTGGCAAGAAGGGCGCAAAGAAGGAAGAGAAGAAGCAGGTCATCTCGCGCGACCTGATGCACAACTTCCAAATCAGTATGGCGAAGTTCTCGTCATACTCGGTGGAAGAGTTGGTTCAGATGATCATCCACTGTGATAAGAGAATTTTGGATGATGGTGTCGTCATGGAGTTCTTGCAGAAGAACGACTTCTGCGATGTCCCCGACAACACGGCGAAGCTCATAGCACCATACTCGAAGGACTGGACCGGACCCAACCCCGCTGAGAGCAAGCGCGAGCAAGATCCCAACGAGCTTACACGAGAGGACCAAATCTACCTGTACACGGCGTACGAGCTGCACTTCTACTGGAAGAGTAGGATGAGGGCGCTCGCTCTGACGCGCACGTACGAAAACGAGTACGATGAGATTTCGAACAAGCTTCTTGAGATCTCGCGTGTTGCAGACAGCTTGAGGAGCTCGTCCAGTTTGATCAGTGTCCTGGGTCTCATTCTGGATATCGGTAACTTCATGAACGATGCCAACAAGCAGGCCAATGGTTTCAAGCTCTCCACACTTTCTCGTCTGGGCATGCTGAAGGATGACAAGAACGAGTCCACCTTCGCCGATGTGGTTGAGCGTATTGTGCGCAACCAGTACCCCGGCTGGGAAGGCTTCACTGACGAGATCGGCGGCGTCATCACGGCGCAGAAGATCAACGTCGAGCAGCTGCAGACCGATGCGAAGAAGTACATCGACAACATCAAGAACATCCAGATGTCGCTTGACGCAGGTAACCTGTCTGACCCAAGCAAGTTCCATCCCGAAGACAAGGTGTCCATCGTGGTGCAGAGAAGCATGAAGGAAGCCAGGAGAAAGGCCGAGCAGCTGCAGGTGTTCCTCGAGGACATGCAGAAGAGCTATGATGATATCATGTCGTTCTACGGTGAAGATCCCACCGACGACTCCTCGCGCCGCGACTTCTTCGCCAAGCTGGCCAACTTCGTCCAGGAGTGGAAGGTAGGTCACACCCTGCTTTCACAACGTCAAGCGCATGCTAACAAGATTGCAGAAATCAAAGGAGAAGAACACCGCCCTCGAAGAACAGCATCGCCGCAACGAGATCTCCATGCGCCGCAAGCAGCAACAAGCCGGCCCACTATCACCCTCTGCTACCTCCGACGACGGCGCCCCCAAGTCACCCGCCAGCACCGGCGCCATGGACGACCTCCTCCAGAAGCTGCGCGCCGCGAAACCCGAAGCGCGAGACCAGCGTGACCGCCGCCGACGTGCCCGTCTCAAGGACCGCCACCAAGTGCGCGTCGCGTCTGGCCAGCAGATCCCCGAGATCGGCGTCAACATTGAGGACGACGCAGCTGCTGGAGACGAGGACGGTGAAGGGAGTGCAGAGAAGACGAAGTTGCTTAGCCCCACCAGCGAGACGAACGAGAACGAGCCAGGTATTGGTGCGCTGACCAGCCCCACGACGCCGGGCGCCGATGTTGCGGACCGTGCGGCTGCGATGCTGGAAGGATTGCAGCGCCCGGATAGCATGAATAAAGACGGCAGTCTCTCTGTACGTCGACGCCGCGAGTCAGCGGACACTGAGCGCGAGAGGAGGAGACGCAGAAGACAGCAGGCGACCAGCAAGGCTAGCGACGACGGCGGGCTGATGAGTCCGAGTATCCCCGAAGAGAGGGAGTTGGATGGCGCGAGTGATGCGGGCGGTAGCATCGCCGGCGATAGACCAGGGACGAGAGATGGGAATGTTGACGAGAGACCGGTTACGAGGGGTAGTGATGAGATGCCTACCACGCCGACGACGGTTGTCGTGCCGCCGAGTCCGGAGCAGAAGGGGAGGGAGTTGCCTACGCCGCCGCCTGATGAGGTTTGAAAGTTTTTGAACTTCAGCATGAGGTGGCTTTTTTGAGGGTTTGGGATTGTGGATGCTTGGGAGGGCAGGGAGGTGTCTGATTTCGCAAATACCCGTTCCGTTGTTGTGGGACATTTTCCATGTATACCTTTAACTTGAACGTTTGGGCTAGACTATCTCAGCATTGTTGGTTCTGTAGTTGCGGAGTTGAGCGGGCTGCATGCATGCATTGTAGCGCGCATATGTTGGAAGACGGCTAGGATATTTGCATTGCATACACTACTGTTTGTCTCTCCTTGAGTATTTCGTATCCTGCATCTTTGTCCTTCAAGCCACGCGCGACTTTTTGCTGATCATCTGGAGCGCACACAGGTCACCATCGCAACGTCTTCAGCGTCTTCCGTATCGACATAATCTACCGAAACCCGGCCAAGGATACCGTGTCCGTGCGCGTGACGACCGGATTCGCGTGACTAACCGGGTTTTACTAGCCTCACCAGCACAACAAGACTATGGTAAAGAGCAGAGTGCTCTGCATCTATGTGTATTGCAGAGAGACATGTTGGTACTGCTGTCTCCACAGCATGGCGTTTGGCAGCTGAGGAAATTACCTCTCACGATTGAGAATCAATTGCATCATCTTCTGTCACGGTTCAGGGCGCTCTTGCCTGTCGAACCTCACCTCCATGAGAGTGACTGCCACGTCACACTAGCGTTGTTTACAGCTACTCACCTATATGTACTGTCCGTAGCTTCACCCAATACAACCTCAGTTCAATCCTTCAATTCTTCCCACAGCGTACTGATCACTCACGATACACGACATTTTCTTATGGGTACATAATATACACTATTGCTATTTTCTTTCACATACGACCATAGGACGTTGAAAACAAGGCTTCCCGTTCGCTCAGCCCTATTTAAGCAACGTACCGGCGGATTAGTAGTTAGGTGGGTGACCACTAGCGAATACCCGCTGTTGTATGTTTTTCATTCTTTTTTTTTTTTTTTTTTTTTTTTTTTTTTTTTTTTTTTTCTCCTTCCAGTCTGCGATCAACATCAGGCTCGCTGGCCAGAAGAGAGCACATGGCATTTTGGCACGATGCACCTTTGTTCACTTCCTAAGCTTCACATGATTTATGTCCATACTATGATTTCCCAGCCTCACCAGCGCAACAAGACTATGGTACAAGGGGCAGAATCAAGAAAGGTGTCCGTCACATGCGCGCACAGGCCGCTATCGATAGGAAGGTTTGATGAGTCATCACAATTGTGGCCTGTGCTCAAGCTCGATTGCAACACCAATTGTACTATCGTGAGCTTCCCAAAACAACAACCACCCAAACATGCCCCGCCAACAACACCTAGCCACTCGTTCTGATCGCAGCAATCTCACTGATGCTCAGAAGGCTGCTATCGTCGTTCTCCGCGTCGAAAACAAGCTCGAATTCACCCAGATTGGCCCCAAACTCTCCATCAACGATTCAGCAGCTGGAAAGGCCTTCCGCAAGGTCAAAAAAGCCTCCGTAGGACCTCGCTTACCAAGCTCCTCGATGGAGTGCACAAGACCAGCCCCAGCATCCCTGGCCGCCCCCCAAAGGTACGCAACGGCTCCACACTATCAGCTCTTGTCCGGAAGGCTATTATTGACTTTGGGTACTACGATATAGAGGATTTAGTCGGGATTGATAACCTTCCTTAGGGTGCGATCTCCATATTGGTGTTGTGCAGAGTGTGGTGAGCCTCCCTGCAAGAGCGCTGTCTTCCGAATAGCAACGGAAGGTCCGTGATAAGATGAAGCAGCGCACCCAGGACCACCAGGCCAAACACGCATATGGGCCCTAGGATGGCAAAAACAGTGAAGCCGTACGATGCCTGCTGGAAGGCGGCGTCGTCTTTAAACCGCTCCGTCGCGAGGCCGACCTGCATCGCAGTCAGCATCAGGACTGCAAAGACGGTGACAATGGCCATCCACGCAAGATTGTCGCCGAAGAGGCTTCCATAGTTGTACCGACTGCGAAGGTAGGGATCGAAATGTGGGAGGCGCGTGAAGCGGTGGATGGTGTTGATGCGCGAGAGGCGGAGCTCGGCGCGCAGAAAACGTGGGTGCATCATGTTCGGTTCGCGCTCGTGCGCTCGGAGCAACTCTCTGGCCAGGGTTTTCCAGTCAGTCCATTCGATTGATTTGCCATCTTCCCTGCAAGGCAGAAGGCGCTTTTCATTGGCAATGTGGAAGTCACTTTCTGACGATACAAGACAGGCGTAGGTGTGAAGGAAGCCGAGGGCGATTTTCCGCGGGTTTGTCCGGCATGTCTCTGTAGGAGTATCGCACGGGCAGGCATCAGGGCACTGTAGGTTAGTCCGGCAAAAAGCTGGATCGAGGAGAAACCGCGGGACAGGCTTGACAAAGAGTCTTCCCTTGTTTGTCCAGAGGAGGTGCAGGTCCATCCGGTCGACGACGATGATCTCCCTGCTCAAGACCATTTGAAAATGCAGCGGCTTGGCAGGACGCTTCGCGCCAGCAAACCCCAGATGCCTCAGCATGTCGGCCAGGCTGCCGAGGGACAATTCCCTCCGTAAGAACGCCGTTGTGTCCTCCGCCGGGTCGCCAACGACTCTCTTGCCAGCGGCCTCGTGGTAGTGATAGGGGAGATACATGCGATCACATAGCGATGCCGCAGCGGGATTGACTGATGAGCGTGACGCATGTTCGCGTATCGCGCCCCCAACCACCAAAACACTCAGACTTCACTTAGAGAAACTCCCCACTATGATTTCCTTATTAGGAAAGTGGGACGTGACATAGACCCCGCCTAACGACTGACCCGATGTCTCGACTAGTACACCACGCACCTCTGCGATCTGCAACTGTCAAGAGAGCACTTCTCTCAATCATCATCAAGGCGCCAGATGCAGCAGCTCTCGTTCCGAGGTCTGCGTCGCAAAGCATTACTTAGCGCTGAACGCTCGTGCGGCTTCGCCGGTGCACGCTAGACTGTGTCTTATGCCAACGCAATGAACTTAGTCAACATCAGCCAGGTCATCTTCTTGGACGAATGGACCATGGTCTTTCATCTCGTCCTAACCGCAGGGATAATCATCTCTTGTCTGTGGCTCGTTCGCACACTTGCGCCTGCAAATGCAGCGCCACAGTGTCGGCCAGAGGGCAGTTCGCGCCAGACGCATCGCGGCCAAAACCCGATACCATCCACGCAACGCGGAGCCCACCTCCACCAGGTATACCCCACGAAGGGTGGCCCTGAGGAGGACGGACCCGACCCAGACGTCGACATTATCGCCATCCATGGCCTCGATACGGACTCGGAAAAGACATGGACGTGGGAAGACCGCAAGGATCCCACGTCCAAAGTCAACTGGCTGAAACATCCCAAAATGCTCCCGAGCAAGGTCGAGCGCGTTCGGATCTTCACGTGCTACTGGCCTGCTGACCTGCTGCAACCGTCAAATCTAGTTCAGAAGACAGAAGAGGAACTTGCCTTGCTCCTATTCGAGGATATTCAGAGAGAGCTTCAGGTTGAGAGGAACCACGCAAGAAGCAAGAACCGGTCCATTCTCTTCATTGCATCCTGCCTTGGAGGCATCATCTTGATGAAGGCACTTGTGGGCGCCAAGGCGGATCACCCTGTCCGGAGAGCGACACGCGGTATTATCTTCCTTGCCACACCGTTTCGAGGGACCTCGTTCCAAGATGTAGCCGCCTTTGCGGAGCCAGGTTTACAGGCCTGGGCTTCATTCCAGGGTGGACAAGTGAGTAGCCTGCTCAGCATTGTGAAGGGATCGACTTTCAGTCTGGAAAACCTTGTGCGGCGCTTCGTTTCGTTGTGCCGAGACAGCGATCCTCCCTACCAAGTTTTTAACTTTTACGAGAAGGGAAAAACAAGTCTTCCGAGTAAAACTTTTCCTTGGCTACCCGCCTGGTTTCGCAAAGAAAAACAAGTAAGTTCGGGAACCATCCGCTATTTGACCTTATTCCAATTTTTTCTAAAGTTACTAACAATCACCAGCTGGTGGACGAGTCCTCTGCGACCTTGGATATAGTTCCAGACCCACTGCCGTTGAGTCGACCTCATGCCCTCATGAACAAGTTCTCCCACAGTCAGTGCACAGACCAGTGCAAGATCCAATGCGCTGAGCGCGAAGATTTTGAGCTTGTTTCAGGGAGAATCCAGGGTATGCTTCAGAAGATTCGCAAGGGCACTCCACTTGAGCAAGCAGACGCCTGGATACGCACCGAACACTATGCCGCAAAAAGACTCAGGATCGAACGACTCTCGGGCGACAAACTTCCGCTCGAGAACTGCTATATCAATCTCGCCATTGTCGAGCAGTCCGCAAAGAAAGCTTCGCCCGCAGAGGATGGGTCGGAAGAGGGTGCTGCACCACATGTGTCCCCCTTTTCACTTTCCGCACGGCTAAAGGTTGAGACGCCGGACAAGAATATCCAGGTAGAATTGTCGTCTCTTTTCGATCCGCGGGAAGACTCCAACGGCCAGACGATACAACCAAGAAGAATCTTAATCCGCGGACGTGCCGGAATCGGGAAGACCACCCTGTGTAAGAAGATGGTCGATGAGTTTGTCCACTCTTACCAAGACTTTGACAGGTGGACAAAATTATTCGACCGTGTGCTTTGGGTGTCGTTACGGAGGCTGAAGGAATGGTCATCAACGATATACGATCTCGAAGGCCTATTTACCCGCGAATATTTCGCTCAACGGGACCATGATACACGCAAAATCCTCGCCAAAGAGTTACGGCTTGTTGTCGAAAGGGGAAGAACTCTATTTCTTCTCGATGGTCTGGACGAAGTAGCCCAAGAATTGGCTATCGAAGACTCCAAGTCCACATTCCTTGAGGCTCTTCTAAATCAGCCAAACGTTATCATCACATCCCGGCCTCACGTGTTACTTCCAGCAAAGGTCTCGTCTCCTGACCTTGAACTGGAAACTATTGGATTTTACCCGGATCAAGTGAAGGCATACCTTCAAGCTACATTTACCGCCGATCCGAAAAAGGTGGAAGCTGTTCAGTCATACCTCCAAACGCATCAATTAATCCAGGATCTTGTGCGGATTCCCATTCAGCTGGATGCGCTCTGTTACACCTGGGACCATCTCAAAGGGAAAGCCGTGCCGCAGACTATGACTGCCACTTACAAAGCCATTGAGGAAAGCTTGTGGAAGAAGGATATCCTGCGATTAGAGACGAAGAATAGAGACCGTCTGCTGACGAAGGACGATATTAAACACGATAAGATGAACAAGATCGAAATCCTTGTCAAAAATGAGGTGTCTCTTCTCGAAGGCCTTGCGTTTACCGGCCTGTACAACGACGTGATAAACTTTGAGTTGGAACATTGGGAAGCTGTTTCCAAGGAGTTTGAGCAATCTAATGAGTGGATCCCTTGGAACACAAGACTTCCGCGCCTCTCTTTCCTGCGAACTTCAGAACTCTCGGAGGACGACCACAAGCGAGATTATCACTTCTTGCACCTCACTTTTCAGGAATATTTTGCAGCACGATATTTTGTACGACAGTGGAAAACTCAAAAACCTCTCACCTGCCTGCAACTTAGCGACGGAGAATGCAACGAGATCGAACCTGCCTCTTTTCTCCGAAAACACAAGTACGATCCTCGCTACGATATCTGCTGGCGCTTTGTCGCTGGCTTACTCGATGGTGACAAAAGGGCACTACGTTTTGTCCAAGCAATTGAAAACCAGCCACGCGACCTCCTGGGCCCTACGCATCAGCGTTTAGTTATGCATTGCCTGAGCGAAATCGAGTGGAAGGATACAGGTTTTATGGTACTTCGAACGAAGCTGGAAAATCAGCTGGGCCAGTGGCTGTTGTTCGAGTGCAACTCGACGCAAGATTGCTGGTTAGCTAGCGAAATGGAGTGTCCAGAGCAGGTCCTGGTCAATGCACTAAATGAAGCATCTGAGGATGCAAGACTGATCCTTCTGGAACGTCTAAACAGGCGAGCAGCAGTTCCGTCGAGCGTTATAGACGCTGTGGTCCCCTGGCTGAAAAACTGTGCCTCTAAGAAGCTGAGCATTGCCATATTGGACATCTTAAGACACCAGCATAAAGCCTTGCCAGATGAGTTACTGCAAGACATCACAGCACGGCTCGACCATGAAGATGGGGACTTTCGACTGGCAGCAGCTGAGGCGCTTCAAGGCCGGGCCGACCTTAGAGTGGAGGTGCTGCAACGCATCGCAGCACAACTCGGGGATGGAGACGATTATGTCAGATGGGCAGTAACTATGGCGCTTCGTGGCCAGTCCAACCTTACAGAGGAGGTGCTGCAACGCATTGCAGCATGGCTCGAGCACGAAAAGTGGCTTGTGCGACAGGCAGCAGTTCACGCGCTTCAAGGCCAGGCAGGCCTCACAGACAAGTTGCTAGAACGCATCGCAGCACGGCTCGAGGACAATCACGCATACGTCCGACTGGCAGCAGCTGAGGTGCTTCAAGACCAGGCAGACCTCACAGACAAGTTGCTGCAAAGCATTGTAGCACGGCTCGAAGATCAATACCAGAACGTCCGACGGGCTGCAGTTGAAACGCTTCAAGGCCGGGCCGACCTTACAGAGGAGGTGCTGCAACGCATTGCAGCACGGCTTGAGGATAAAGACGAGCACGTTCGACTAGCAGCAAGTAAGAAGCTTCAAGACCAGGCCAACCTTACAAAGGAGGTACTGGAAAGTATTGCAGCGCGGCTTGAGGATGAGGATAGGGACGTCCGACTAGCAGCAGCTAAGACGCTTCAAGGCCGGGCTGACCTTACAGAGGAGGCGCTGCTCAGCATCACAGCGCGGTTCGAGCATAAAGACAAGGGTGTTCAATTGGCAGCAGCTGAGGCGCTTCAAGGCCGGGGCAACTTTACAAACAGGTTGCAGCAAGGTATCGCAGCACGGCTCAAGCATAAAGATAGGGACGTCCAACTGGCAGCAGCTAAGGCGCTCCAAGGCCAGACCAACCTTGCAGAGGAGGTGCTGCAACGCATCGCAGCACGGCTCGAGGATGAAGATAGGGACGTCCAACTGGCATCAGCTAAGACGCTTCAAAGCCAGGCCAGATTTACAGACAGGTTGCTGCCAGCCATTGCAGCGCGGCTCGAGCATAAAGATCGGTACGTCCGTCAGAGAGCATTTGGGATGCTTAAATTATGGCTTGGCCCCACAGACAAGTTGCTGCAAAACATTGCAGCACGGCTCGAGGATGAAGACGAGCACGTCCGAATAGCAGCAGTCAAGACGCTTCAAGGCCGGGCTAGTCTTACAGGGGATGTGCTGCAACGCATTGCAGCGCGGCTCAAGGATGGAGATAGCGACGTCCGATTAGCAGCAGCTAAGACGCTTCAAGGCCGGGCTAACCTTACAGAAGATGTACTGCAACGCATTGCAGCGCGGCTCGAGGATGAGTACGGGCACGTCCGACTAGCAGCAGTCAAGACGCTTCAAGGCCGGGCTAATCTTACAGAGGATGTGCTGCAACGCATTGCAGCGCTGCTCAAGCATAAAGACAGGGACGTCCGACTGGCAGCAACTCAGACGCTTCAAGGCCGGGCTAACCTTATGGAGGATGTGCTGAAACGCATCGCAGCACGGCTCGAGGATACATACAAGGACGTCCGACAGGCAGCAGTTGAGGTGCTTGTAAATCAAGCGGCGCTATCGTCAGACGTCCTAGGCATGTCTTTGAAACCCTTGTACCTAGCTTTGCGAGAGAAAAGCTTTAAGGAACACCTGTACTGGACCGCTTTAGATAGAGATTCCATAGGAGTTGGTCTCAGACATGTTTCTTTGAGTTGCAAGCAGGGAAATCAGCCTAGTGATGGGATCTGGGAACTACCGAACTGCCTGGATGTCCCTGTTTCTAGCACTTAGATTACGGTGTAACGCCTTAACAAGATATCGATCACTGTGGCGGAGTGGTCCGCTGTAGTACACTGATATCTACGGTCAACGAAATTGTAGGACTATTGGGTCGATGAAATGCTGCGCTGAGTTGCTATCTAGTGAGGAGAAGACCACTATATACTGACTCTGGAACGTGCTAGTCCAGAACAGTCTAAGCAAGGGTTGCATGGACCAACTAATACCGCAACAACCACTCTTCCTCTTTCTTTTTCTTTTTCTCTTTCTCCTCTTTGCTCTTCAAGGGTCAAAGAGCAGCTATAAATATGTGCCCTTCGCGTTCCAGCTCTTTCGTTTCAAATAATCTTAATTGTCACTTAATAAAAGAGAAGGCTTAAAGATGACGGTATCTTAACGCCGCGGAGGGTCAACCAGGTGGTAAAGCTGATATTCGCAGCTAGCGGTTAAATGTTGATGGACTGATTAGTTCCTAATTACCCGATCCCAGCCTACGGTGTATCCGCGCCAACCCAGTACGTTCATGTAAACAAGAGCCGTTTGTCTCTAGCAGCATGCTGTTTTGCCGCTATCTACATCTGCTTTCGAAGCATATTGTACACACATAAAACTGTTTTTGATTTTCTAAGGTGTGTAGAGGCGCGCTATCTTGTGTGTTGCATCCGCAAAACCTTTAGTCTCCTCTAGTGTTCAACTGTCGAGTATGCTAGCTTGCCCTTATACCCTCAGGGTTTTAGCATTTGCTCTCTACTTTCCATCATCCTTTAGTGTTGTGGTGCTGCCCGCTGGGTATGATGCTTTTGGGATGAAGTTTTTACAGGTTGAGTTCTTGCTGTTTGTTGTGTTTCGTTTATAGCAGGTACACGTGAGTGCTTCTAGAAAACCACTAGTATGCGCCACAGTTATCTTTAGCAGTTCTTCTATTCCAGGGAAAGCACCAGATTGATTATAATCGTTTACAGCGATATTTTAGCACGCTACTGCAGGCTGCCTGCATGCTAAGTACATCAGGCAAGTTCCGACACCTGGAACGCTTTTCACAGTTCTTCATTGTTGACTGGCGAAACTCCCGGACTGCGCACTCCACATATCAAAACACCTCTTAGAGCCAAGAGATACAACGTTCCTCAATTGCACCTTCCATCACATCCTCCAATTCTTACACAGCGCCCCTAGGTTGCGAAAGGACAGGGGGTAAGCGACAAAAGGTTGATTGACGGCGCTGGCAAAACGATCAACAGCAAGGTCAACATCACCGCAGTCCTTGCCGGAAACTGATAAACTGATAGGGAAGAGGCTGCATAGCATTGTTACATCGACCATAGGTCTGCGCACTTGCAAATAAGAGATAACGAAGCTCTGAAGTGCAAAACGTCCCGTTACACTGTGCATCCCTGCACGCTTGGATGGACGTTAACTGAACACTGTGCTTCTAGGCTCGTAGAGGCGCGTTGCCCCGTGCTCTACGGCTGCAATACCTTCAGTCTCCCCCCAGCGCTCGGCTGTCGTCTATGCCCATTTTGCCCAAGGATCTGCGTTTGCTCTACATACTCGATGGCTTCGGTGGCTAGCCGTGGCGTGCTTAGGATGGTCCGGAGGCTGTCTCGTCCAGACAGGTTGCCAAAGATGCGGTTCCGGAGATCCTTGTACGTTTTGCAGTGGAGGATGTAGGCGACGGTCTGCCGCCTCTCCCCGTACTCGCAGCGAGGGCTGGTGACGTCCAGAACTCTTTAAGCGAAGAGGAAGTCGTTGAGGCCGACCTTCTCAGTCTGCAGCTGCACCAGCAGCGCACTCTCCCGTTTGCTGAGCCCCTTGTGAAACTGGAGTACCTTTTAGAGCGCACCGGTGTGTGTCTGTAGGTTGCTTGGCCTTTGGTCTCTGTCATCCATGTGTGAATCCATGCCCACTTCGTCTGTAGCCTGCACCGTCTTCTGAGTGTCTATTTGAGTGGGTGTAGCTTCGGAGGTGTGTCTGCTGGCTGGCGTCTGCGGCCATCCTCTCTCCATCCGGTGGCTTCCTAGGCAGCCGTGTCGGCCACTTCGTTTCCTGGAATGCCCACGTGCGCTGGGATCCACCTGACTGTGACTGGCCGTCCTATATCCTGGGGCTCTTGAACTTGTCGTGCGATCTCGTCGAGGATGTAGGTGCCCAATCGCCCCTCGGCCTTGGCTATGGACCAGATGGCTGCTCAGTGCTTGAGCAGGCGAAATGTCACCCAGAAGTGGGACGGGCGGTCCGCGTGCTCCGATGCCTTACAGCTGGCCATATGATGAGAGGAAAGAGGTACCTACTGTCTGCTGAGATACGTTCGATCGCCGTCACCAGCGTGCGCTTAACGTCGGCGCCTCTATAGTTAAGCGTATAAGCTCGGGCATATACTTTCCGCACAATCGGGTTTCCGCGCACACCGATCACACCCACTGCAGGGTATACTGCTTTTTCCTAAGGTCAGACTTCACGAGGCTCCAGCGACTACTGAACCTTTGCATTTATATCTCAGCGATCGGCTAAAGATTTTTGTTTCATAACTCACGTCTTGACTCATTGTGGTCATTTGGCTTTTGTCAACAACTCTTCAAAGTTTACTCGATACACATTACTCCCATGCATACTGGGCTCTATTATGCTTTCTTCCCAAAATGGAGCAGCTTCTGGCAAGGACAATTGAATTCCAATTGCAGCAAGGAATTAGCAACATACCATGATTGGGTCGATCTAAGGGATCCTAATGGACACAGCAACACTTGTTGCGCAGTAGCACTTTGCTTGTTAAAGACCACGGACAAGAACATGGAAACCCAGACAGCTAGCACCAGAGTCTTACTCGGCCTTCTGCCCACCATTCTGTCAATTCTGGGATCAAGCCCGGTGGAGCTTGGTCTGCTCAGCACACATCGGCTAGTTCTGAGCTTCTGCTTGCCATAGCTGCACCTGTGGTCAACCCAATCCGCCTCTTTGATTTTGCTAACCCCAAGACCATACTGAAGAATGTGAAAGGCAGAGTTTACGCAACATCGAAAAACCCTGGAAGGAAACTGTCAGGGACCATTGTCATTTTCAAATATCTACTTGCAGGTGCCGCAGTGTTCAATGTTACATTTGTGGCGTTCCAACAGTTCACAGAAGCATGGTTGGTCATCTTAGCCTGCAGACATCGTTATCACATATTCATATGGAATGTTCTTGTTGCCGTACTGTGCTGGGCGGGTTCTCTTATTCTCAGACTCCAAGCGCGTTGGGAAGATCAACAAGGAGGGAGTGTTACAAACATCACGTACAAAAAGCTCAATTGGGCTCAACTCTTTGCCTGGTGGAAGGAAGTTCCAGGCAAAGAGCTTGCATGGGTAAAGAAATTGCCAGGTTGATTAATGCGATTCCCAGCAGCTGCCGACAACAAAATCACGGTGTGCAAACGCCATAGTACGCGATGGTTTTACTGGGATCCTGAGAACCAACGGTTCTTCTGGTTTTCCAAGTACTGACTCTCGATGCGCGTTCGAAAATGCACTCGAATCCCCACACAATCCCATCTGACTCCGTCTAGCTTACCGGAAACCCCCCCCCCCAAATGTTTTGTCCCGTCAGTGAAGACCTCGTTAGCGCGGTACTGCTTGTTCATCCCCACACCCGAGTCCGAAACTCCCTGCACATCTGTCAATCGCCCGCCCGTGCGCCGGATCGGCGTCCATGCTAGGCTGTGCTGACAGCTCCGAGCCAATGCAGGACACACCGGTCGGCACTGCGTGACGGGGGGGGGGGGGCGTGTCTTTGGTGCGGGTACCTGCATCAACGGCATCGTGGGATGACGTACAGAAGCAACAATTTTGCGCTCGAGCTCGCTACGAAATGGTAGCCAAGTGTAGGAAAGTAACGGTCGTCGGGTGAAGTGCAACTTGTGATAGCTTTCCGGGAGAGCAACGATTCATCCGTTCGGGGGGCTCATGATTGGAGGTCAAGCAGAGGGATAAACCACTTGGCATATAGGAGAACAACCAAAAGGATGTAAGCAGAACGGAGAAGATAGTGTGATGTTTCATCATCGACGACATCATGGCCACTGGCCCATAATTATATAAAACTGGTATCGTGCAACTCATAAGCAGAGTGAGTGTAAGAAGAATAAGTAGCCCAACCCGATCCCCCACTTTTGATATCAGGCAAACTCCAAGAAATGCTAAACAACCAACAAGCTCAACGTCTAAAACCTGAAGCGGTCAAAGACATTGCTGTTCTTAACGTCCCTCTTCTTGCTACCACCGGGCAGCGCACTCGTGCAGTCAATAAGATCCTTCTGGTCAACACCGAGCATGCTCAACTTCGTCATCGCGCTGACGAATGCGAGATCCCATGCGCCCTTGCTGAGTGCGAAGGTGTTAAAAGGCAACATGGTAAGAGGGTTTTGAGCAACGCTCTTGTCCGCGGGAAGGGTGTACGGCGCCTTGCCGCTCTTGGTCTCGGAGTAGTACTTGTTGTCCCATGTACCGACAGAGGTGTCAAGTTCCTGAGGCTGGTCGGGAGCGGTGATGCGCTGCTTGGCGGCTGTGTGAGCGCCGAGGACGGCGGCGAGATCGACGGGGGAGAAGCCCTTGGATGCTGAGATTTGTTAGTGCAGGTTCTAAGTGTGTTTTTTGACATTGCTTACCGAAGAGTTTGATGAGATCGCCACCCTTGGCGAAGCCAGAGGGAAGGACACCGAGAGCATTTGCAGTGCTCGAGTCCTTGCGACCGACCTTGACGGGGATGGTAGGTCCTCCAGGGCAGGTCTTGACGCCATGTGCAGCGGCGAACTGGATGAGATCGGCCATACCGACACCAGTGTTGGCCTGAACGGTCTTGAGGTTACCGCAGAGACGCTCGAGACCCCTGTTTTCGGTGTTGGAGCATTCGTCGGCGAGGATCAGAGATCCGTCACAGGCACCGTTGAAGCAGTCGTGGAAGGATGAACGGATGGCTGCGCGAGCAGCATCTGTACACTGACCGTCTGCGAGGAATTGTGCGGTGAGTTGGGTGGAGATCTCACTCCAGACAGCAGGGCATTGCTCTGACGCTGTGTTGATTCCGAGGATTCCAGAGAGGGTACCGAAGAGCTTTCCAAGTGTGCGCTTGGAGACCTCACCGGCGTTGTGGGCCTTCTCCTTGAGGGTGAAGGCTTGCGCAGTGCTGGTGGCCGCCAGGGCGGTGACGAAGAAGTTCGAGATATACATTATGTAAGGTAGATGATGACCAGATCTTCTTGAATGAAAGCGGGGAGATGGAGTATCGAAGGATGCTGGAGAAGTGAACGACTGTGTGCTGCTGATGGTGTTTCGAGAGCAACGACTGCTGAGCTTTATATCTTTAGGCAACTCAACGGCTACTCAGGCAGAGTGGCCAAAAATGGAAGTAATCGATGGAAGCCATGGCTGTGGCGTAGGTTCACAACCCAGGCACCATGCCAAATGTGTCAAAGAAGTGCTGAAATAGACCCGCCAGCCGCTAGTATGGTGTACCAGATGGTGAGGATACTGGCTCGAGCTCTTCACTGTGGTGGAGCACGGAGTAGCGCCAAGCACGACCAACAGCCATTTGCAGTCTGACAGGCAGTCGATTACACGGACTCTGCAGTGCGATGGAGTGACAACAGCATCGTGAGTTGGGTGATAGCGTTGAACCGGTCGAGCCCGGCTTCTTGATTGCACCTAGCAGACTTGGTGTTTTCTTCATTTTCGAAGCCGCACAAAGTACAGTTGCTGCCACGAGGTTTGCACAGCATGATCCCGCATACCCAGTAAACCTCAGCCTGGCAGTGTAACGGAAGGGTCTGTTGTGGTTCCTGATAGATCACGTTAGCTTCAGAAGCCGCTGTCTGGTACCTGAGCGTCACCAATTCGAAACGAACTGCTTCTAAAGAAAGCGCTGAAGATCTTGTTTCGACAGTGGTTAAGTTTGATGAGCGTGGAGGATGAGTTCAAACGACGATCGTTACGGCCCGCGCATGCAATCCCCTGCGCCAGCCGCTTTAGACGAGGACGAAGCCTTCGCTAGGCTTGCAGTTAACCACATGAGGTTTAACCCAGCCGGATGACCTGCATCATAGCCGTGCATGGCACTCGATAGCCTCAGGGCTGGAGATCTTTTCGAGCCTTGCGACTGAACGAAGATGTGCCAACTGTGCGCAAACACGGCCGAGGCTGTGTGGCTCTGGATTGTTCAATGCCGGGGTACTGGTCACTTCGTATCGCGGACTTGCTGCAGAGACCAACGCGGCCTGTAGATCTTCATGGAGCTTCGTCGAACCCGTTCCGCCAAAACAACATGTCTTTTCCTGCGGTGGTGACATCTCAGGGGCTCACAAACGCTACTGCTGACTGACAGAAGTTACAAGGCTGCTCAGGGTCTTCTTCCAATAATGTGGTGGGTATTTGAACGTGCATGTCGCTAGATGGAACGTTTAGGTGGGTGATACGGAGTTTCGAGGGGACCCGAAGCGCAGGAGCTTGGATGTAAAGGCGCGAGCGGCCACCGTTTAGCGAGAGCTTGTCCGCAGAATGAAACACCCGTCATCATTCTCTCTTTCCCCCTCAAGCGACGCCCCAGCCTTGCCGCGATACGGTAGGAACGAGCGGACGCGCGCACCAACTGAAGGTGCGACCTGGGAAGACGGCGTTCCGAGAATGTGGAGGGTGATCGGTCAAGGCGACACCGCTCTTGCCAACAGAGCGCATTGTTAGGGCAGTGGGCGCCAAAGACATGGGCATTGGAATAGTGGTGTCGTAGTACCAAGGACTTGGCCGACATCTCGCGAATGCCGTACTTCGAGCGGCCGATTTCGACTCTGTTTGCGATGTTACAATGTGGTTGTGTTCGCGATCACCGCGGCTGCAACTCGGAAAATCTTCCCTCGTGCGTACGGTTGTGCGGCATGCTGGAAAGTCGTACACTGTACTTGAGTTTGCGAGCAAGAGACGGATAGTTAGCCATGAATGAGGCTGGATTCGCGCAATACGAACAGGACAGCATGGGCTTAGACGCGGAATGCTGTTCCAGAGAAGGACCTGTACACGGCATCACTTAGGTGGTTCGCCTATTTGATGCAGATGCTAAAGCGAAGGAGAGACGCATCCACGTTCGACGCCTGTAGCAATGGCAGTGTTTCTCGTGGTTTGGCAGAAGCTGGAAGCGAGGAGCGGTCTGGATCTCAGTTGCTAGGGGATGCAACAAGAAGGCTGTTGCTGACTGCATAAGAAGTTGTTGGTACAGCCCTGAGTAATTGGTCGGCACAGGGAGCTGCGAAGTAAGCATTGTGCTCCAACGACAAGAACGTTGCTTACTGTGTGGAGTTCTGCAGTCAGCGTTGTAGCATTTGGCCGTGTCTCGCGCTCGTTGGCGAAGAGGTGAGTGCTGCGCAATGCGCGCAATGCGGAAGGTCGCAACGACGAGAGTTGAGGCACTTGACCTTGTGTGTAGAGAAGAAGGAGCGAGCGAGGACGCTACCACACCTCAAGTTTGAAAGGATGTAGCTCAGCATCATGATCGCCCCCAGTAAGCATCACATAGGCTTTCTAGACAATAACTAGGCTCACTAGCTACTCCCGCTCTTCTCGTACGAGCCCAGTCAACATTAGTGGCAACCACTCCTCTCCTACGAGCTCAGTCAACCTCAGCGGCAACCACTCCTCAATCCTCTTCGCGCTCCACGCATCCCACAATCTCTCCAATCTCCCAAGATCTCTCCCCGACCGACGCTCATCATTTGCCGCACTACTCTGCACCCACTGTTGAACAGAGAGAAAGAGTGTTAATTTATATTTTATCTAAGAGCGGGGGAGTTGCCTATTATATAGGCAAGAGACCAGCACTAGCGTGTTGGCGCTGGTGCGGAGCGAGTGAAAAAGTATGGGTCACGTGGCAGGAATCCCAAACAACACCCACCCCTCCCTGTCACCAGCAACCATCACCATCCGTCTCCATCACCATTCCATATTCCCCCCACGGCGCCTTTCCGTTCGCAGACTCGATCCACATCCGGCTGTTTGTCACTGACGTCTTTCAACTTTCAACTCGGAAGGCGAAACTGCAGTGTCCGAAAGAGAAGGTACACATCCACCCAATGACGCGCCACCTTGTGAAGCCGCGCACCGATGAACGGAGTTTTAACGTTGAAAATGTATCTGTGCACTTTCTTGTCCGTGGGTGTGTGTGGAGAGGTAGTTGCAGAGCGCGTGGATCGGGGCGTCGAAGATGATGTCGCCGAGCCAGCGCGTTGCGGCGTTGACCAATCCGTAACGGCGAAGGTGCTGAGCGTGAACAACATGGTGAGGAGGGTGACAATGATCATGCAGTTGACAAGATGACATGCAATGTCTGCGTGGCTTTTGGATTCTGCCCAACATTGTCTCTGGGCATCCTGACACAGGACCATGATGTGATCACCTTTTGAGCAACCTGACGCCTTCCATCGAGAGACAAATGACGCAATATCATGCTGGCACTTTCCTTGCAATAGCAATCAGCTCCCATGCTTTACCGCCTACTGCATCTGCGCCTTGTGTTTGCACCTCCCAGCCCGCAGCGAAACAGCCCTGGTAGTCATCCCAATCAGCCTGTGGCCCTACCCAGATAATTGTGTTGACCCTGTCGCGTCCATAGGCTGCCACATACTCGCCGACAAGACCGACGCGCCGTGGATAGACGAACAGCCACCCGGTGGCTTGTGCTGCGAGCGGTTCGAGGAAGCGCGTCCCATATACGATGCGATGGTGTGGCGCAGACAAGTATGTGTTGGCACTCGGCTCGACCTCGACGCCGATTATGTTGGAAGCGTAGGGCGGCGCGATGAGGAGTGCTTCGAGCAGGCCGAAGCCGCTGCCGATGGAGAGCGTCAGGGCTGGCGGGGGCGGAAGGAGCGAGTGCACGTGGGCGACGAGGGGTGCGCTGAGGGCGAGACAGCAGCCCGAGTAGACATTGGCCTTGTCCGTTAGCTGTGGTAGAGACGGCAACCCTCCAGCAGGAAGGAACGATTCTGCATCGTCTTCTGAGTCCCTGTCACTGCTGCTGTCGTCGCGGCGCCTACACCTGCAGTGCGTCATCTAGTAGCGCCGACCAGATGGCTAGTGGGCTTTGAGACGGTACTGCACAAGACAACTGATGCGCAGCAGAGCGTAGTTGTGAGCCTTGTAGTGTGACAGAGCGCAGCGAGATGGTCTTGGTATTGCCGGTAATGTGGATGTGCGCCCCATGCCGCGAGCCGCATAACATCATCGCGCATGGGCGGCCATAGCTCGCCGCATAAGCCTTCACCCCGCAGCTGCGACCATTCCAACCATCACGCGCCGCGACAAGCCACCGACATCTCCTCCCTCAGGAAGCTTGCAGAGCTCGAGCTGGTGCCGCTACATCACCACCGTGCGACATGGCTCGCTACAACCCTTTCTCATTCACCCCCGGGCCTGTCAACTTCTTCACAAGCCTGACTTACATAGCTCTGTTCGCTGCCTTGCTCGTCGTGCATCTGAGTGTACCCAACTACCCATCCAAGAGTGCTCAAGGAACCAACCTCACCGAGGCCTGGGCCGATCTTCAGCATATCACTCGCCACTTCCATCCCTACAACAGCCGTGCCAACGATCATGTTCGCGACTACCTTCTGGCACGTGTCAAGCATGTGATACAGTCCAAGAAATTGAGCAAGAACGACGTTGAGATCATAGACGACAATGTTTCGAATGCAACCTTCTCGTCCAGCAACACCACGGTCTACTTCGAGGGAACCAACATCATCGTCGCTATTCGTGGATCTGAAGACGATGAGCCATTCTACACACTCAACCAGAGCTCACTGGCGACCTCGCGGCGATCAAATAATGGCGGCGTGCTCGTCAATGCCCACTACGACTCCGTGAGCAGTGGTTACGGCGCTACGGACGACGGCGTGGGAGTCGTCTGCGTGCTGCAGCTGCTGTCCTACTTTACCGAGGAGGAGAACTGGCCGAAGCGAACAGTCCTTCTCCTGCTGAACAACGGCGAGGAAGACTTCCTAAATGGAGCCAAAGCTTTCATGCGCCACCCAATCTCTCAGGTGCCTCACACCTTCCTCAACCTCGAGGGCGCTGGCGCGGGTGGAAGGGCGACCCTGTTCCGCAGCACCGACACCGAGGTGACCAAATACTACAGCGCGTCCAAGCATCCGTTCGGTACCGTCGTTAGCGGAGATGGCTTCAAGAAGGGCCTCATTCGCAGCGAGACGGACTACAGAGTCTTCCATGGCGAGCTTGGGCTTCGTGGGTTGGATGTTGCCTTTATGGAACCCAGGGCTCGATACCACACCGTTGAAGACTCAACACGTGAGACTTCGCTCAAGTCAGTGTGGCACATGCTCTCCGCTTCCATTGCAACAGTGTCTGGCTTGGCCTCGGACACCAGCGACAAGTTCAGTGGCAGCGAAGAGAGGGGCGAAGATGGCAAGGTCGACGCTGGCACCGGTACCGATGCAGTGTGGTTCGATCTGCTTGGCCGAGCCTTCGTTGTGTTTCGTCTACATACGTTCTTTGCTCTCTGCGTGACCTTGCTCATCGTTGCGCCGCTCACGCTGATCGGTCTTACCTTTGGCCTGAGCAAAGCTGACAAGAACTACCTCTTCGCACGCAAGGCTTATGTTTACTCGTCTGACGACGATGAGCCTATATACCTATATGGCTGGCGAGGATTCTTCCGCCTGCCGATTGTCTTCGTCATCGCGACAGCCGCCGTGATTGGGCTTGCGTACCTCGTTGTCCGTGTCAACCCACTCATCGTTTACAGCAGTCCTTATGCTGTCTGGAGGTACGTAATAGCATTTTTATCTGCGACTGTCTCCGAACACTACTGACATATGTATAGCATGATGATATCGACTTGGATCTCGTTCGCTTGGTTCTTCTCACGTGGGGCGAGCGCAATGCGCCCGTCAGCGCTCCAGCGAATTTACGGCCTAATTTGGCTCTTTGTCGGAAGCTTCATACTTCTGGCATTCGTCACCGTACTTGCAAACAACTACCAACTGGCTGGCGGCTACTGGGCTTTGTTTTACTTCGCGGCAGTATTCGCTGCCCTTTTGTTGTCGTACTTGGAGCTGTTCTTCGCACCAAAGAAGTCTGCCTATGCGCAGACCTTCGGCCTCATCGAGGAGGACGCTCAGCCTGCCAGTCGACCGCTCACTGGAAACAGCGCCTCGCGCTCTGAGGACCGCCCTCTTCCCGACGACGAAGCCACCGAGACGACTTCCCTTCTGCGCGGCGATCAACGAAGCTTCGCAAGGGCAAGGCACGGCAGCAGGCGAGGATCTTCCACCGAGGAAGAAGAGCCTCGACCATTGGATCTTGGACATCCGTACCCCGGAGAACAAGAGTGGAGTGGAAAACTGCCAAGCTGGATCTGGATCCTACAATTCTTGCTCCTGGTCCCCATCACCGTCATTCTGGTCGGCCAAATTGCCCTCCTCTTGACATCGGCCCTCTACCAGACGCCGTCGGATGGAAACTCGTCACTTTTCATTTACTTGTCCTTCGCCGCACTCACTACTCTGCTAATTGCGCCGGCCGGACCATTCGCTCACCGAATCACCTACCACATACCCACCTTTTTGTTCCTGGTTTGCGTGGGAACCGTCATTTACAACCTCGTGGCATTTCCTTTCAGCAGGGAACATCGCTTGAAAGTCTACTTTGTCCAACAAGTCAATCTTGAGACTGGCGTGAACACGGTATCCCTGACAGGTGTGGATGGCTACGTCCAGCATGTTATCGGGCAGCTGCCAAGCGCGCAGGGAAAGAGCGTGAACTGCTCCACACCTGACGTGGTGACGCGCAAAGAGCTCAGGAAGTGCGAGTGGGAAGGGCTTCCCGCTAAAGTGGTTGCAGATGCATCACCCTTCAGCAACAAGACTCGCTCCGATAGCTGGCTTGACTACATGATCACGAAGAGTAATAAGACGAACGAGGCCACGATTCGTGTTGTAGGGCAGAACACGCGAGCATGTCGCGTCCTGTTTGACACGTCGATCCGGGATCTGACGGTTGCCGGGGGTGTCTCAGATCCCCGCTTCAAACGCACCGGCGAGCACGGCTCCCGCGAGGTGCGCCTTTGGCATCGCGAGTGGTCGCAACCCTGGAACGTGAGCGTTTCATGGGACGCTAAGGAGAATTCGAAGCTTTCTGGAAGGGTGGTCTGCCTTTGGTCGGATGCAAATGCAGGCGGCATCCCTGCTTTCGATGAGGTACAACATTATCTACCCATCTGGGCCATCCCATCAAAGATCAGCGACGGGCTGGTTGAAGGCTACAAGCATTTCGAGATATAAGGCCTGTTAAGAGCTTGGGCATCCAGTCGCCCAAGCTGCTACTTATCCTTGTTGTCGCAAATTTTGTTTTGCTGCGATATCCTGACCGGAAGCATTTCAGCACGGCGTCTCTGGTCATTTGCTTCTTCAAGCGTCATTTGGTGCTTCATGCGTGTTTGTTGTGGCTTCAAATAATGCTTGCTCGCAGCCTTTCCTTGGTGCTGCATCGTCTCCTTCTCTTTTGGCGTTCGCAATTGCAGTTCATATCATAGTGTATGGCATGTGCATCCTCATGTTCAACCTAATGGCAACGATTAACACGACTTGTCTTACACATAATGCCCGGAGTGTTTGACGACATCCAAGACTACATACAAAACCGTTCACTTTCTGCCTACTCCATCACGGCCAGCTTGATCATCATCTTCCCTGGAACGATTCTCCACATCAGCGGACGGCCCTTTTTGTATACCCCAGGTTTCGCGGACTTCTCCCTCCGGTATTACCACCAGCAGTCGGGTGACCACGGTGCAACAGTTTTCGATTCCTAGCAGCTTTTCGTGCAACAACTTCAAACCTCGGTGTGCAGTTTGAACGATCACGCTGCGAGAACATTCCTCCATATCGGTGAGCGGACACGCGAGATCAGGCCTTTGTTTATCGCACTTGCAGACCGCCTCACAACAGAAGCGCGCCGTCTCTTGGAACATCCCTGGATAGCGCGGATACCCATATTTCAGGTCCTCACCGTATTTGCACTCGCAGCATTTCTGCTTCTCATCCGCCGATTGTTCGCGTCCTGGGTTGGGAGATATCGAGCAGCGACGGCAAACACGCTGCACTTTGTTGCATTTGCCAGTTTCGTAGGTCAGGGGTTCAGCTCGGGTGATTGGCTTGTGGCTGCGCTAGTCATGGTCAGCTTCGACGTGTTCCAGCGTGCTCTGGATGGGGACGCTACCGCGAACAACGAATCACAACACCAACACAATGCACCGTCGTCGGCTGTTGAAACTCTTCTGGAGCAGACGCATACCCTTCTGGCCGAATCGCAAATTGTCGATCTGCCTAGGCGATCACTTTCCCGATCTCAAAAAGGGGACCCCACTTCTATTATAGGGCCCTACGACTCGAAGGACCGTGAGATCGTGCGACTACAGTGGTCCCTCACCGACTTGCAGACCGCAAACAAAGCCAAGGACCTGGAGTTGGGCGTTGCCCGGCAAGAGCTTCTTAACGCCAAAGATGCGCTCACAAAGTCGTTTGCAGACATTTCGGCCCTACGCGATGATATGAAGACTATGAAGCAAACCCTCGGAAAGGATCACCAAGCCATTGTTTACCGGAAGGACATCGAATTGTTTGCTCTACGCAAAGGAAACGAGCAGAAAGAAAGATTTATGCAAGAGAAGGACGTACAGCTGAACGAGACATTCCGGCAACAACACGCCACCTTGGAGTTAAAGGAAGCACAACTCAACGTACTCAAAGAACGACTCGCTGCGATGGAGCGCCAGGCCAGCCCCAAATTCGGTCACGATGCCGGATTCGAAGAGAACGGCAATGGTGACCACGCACTGGAGGTCCGTCTATTACGGGTCAAGAAGGGTCGACAACCGCTATCCGGCTCTGAGGAGGAAAAGGAGGCCATCATCGAGCAGCTGAGGCGCGAGCTTGCTGCCGCCACGAAGTCCGCCGATGACGTCGTGAACCAACAAGCGGAACTGCAAAGAGCTTGGGACATCAGCAAGAAGATTCAGAACGCACTCAAAGAAGAGCGGGAACGACATGAACAGACGAAAGCGTATCTGCAGGAAGCAAGTGCTGAGTTGGAAGACACCCAATCGGGCAGGAAGAGGAGCAGAAGTGACCCCTCAGGCCGTCTCCCCACCATAGAGGAGAACGATCAAAATGAGCTGGAGGCTATGTTCGACACGGCTCAACAAGACAATCTGCGCTTACACATGGAAGTTGAAACACTTGAGAAGCGGGTTCGCGATGCCAATGCACGTGTCTTCCTTGCAGATCAGGACATTGAGGCGCTGCGTGCACAGTTGCGATTGGAGCACGCCATCAATGAAGACATGGAGACTGCTCGGCCCAGTGTTGTGCACCGTGTCCATTTCCAGCGCATGGAGGGCCAGCTCAAAGAGAGCAGAGATGACCTGGCTAAGAAAGAGGCGGAAGTACAGAAATTGAGGACCACCTTAGCTGAGAAGGACCGTCAGCTGGAAACACTCCGGGTACATATGCAAGCCGCTATGAAGAAGAGCGAGTCGGTCCGGGACGAGATCGAGCAGCTGAAGCAATCCGTTGTGGACCTCGAGGCAGCAAAGGAGAGGCTTATGCAAGACCACGAGCGTCTCGCGGCGCAGAGTTCTAAGCACCGCGTACCTTCAGCCGAGTACACCTCAGCGCGAACAAGTGGTGCGACGCTCATCAACGAACATAGCCCGCCACCATGGCTGACGCCCTCAGATGAAGTCCCACCTGTACCTGTTGCGCCTATGCTTGGTAGTCCTATCTTGGGCAGCGTACAGCAAAGAGACACGGCACGTGGTCACCGCAGAAACCAGAGCGACTCGCAGAGGCACAGCATGATCAGCAATGCCCCTGCAGCAGACATGCGTCATCTGAAGAGAAGAAGCGGACTGGGGCTACGGGACATGGTGAAGCGCATCGTCAAGAAGGACACCAGTATTGAAGGCGCAGTTCGCAGCCCGACCATCTCTGAGCCTCAGTGGGGCAACACATCCACTTCACCAGTCAACAATGCGACTCCGAAGGCCGTCGCAGCACCTCTCCGCGAGCGCCCATTGCCTCTCCAATCTCACCCGCCAGTGCCGAAGAAAGACGACGACCCAATGCCCCGACCGATCCCTCGCCCCATCTCAGGTCCCCAAAACCTAGCAAACCGCCCAAGGACAAGCACAGCACCCACTGCCTCCATTCCTCGACGCTTTCCCAGCAGGAAAGAACTAGATGAGCAGCACCTGCAACGGCCACGCACAGCAACACAACCAGTCATCGGAACTCAAACAGCCGTGCTTTCGAAAGCTGTACGCCCGCCAAACCCAAGGAGGAGCTCACAGCCGAGATACTATACAAGTCCTGCGGCGATGGCGGTTGATAGTAAGGAGGATTTGAGGCTGCAGGATGTTAGGCCGCAGACCGCTGTTACGGCGCCTTTGGTGGGGGGAGGGAAGGGGGATAGGCATGCAAAGCATGATTCAGGGGTTGGTGCTATTACAGATGGTGAGAAGAGCAAGCTTAGTAGATTGAGTTGGGGGAACACAGCGTAAGTCAGCCATCGCATCCGTGGTTGAAGTATTGAAGCTAACGCATAGCAGGAATAAGCTGAAGCGGAGAAGTCTGTATTGAAGCACATGACTTGGATGTGTTGACGGGCATGATGTTGTACGGGGCAACGATAGATTTACGGGTTTATACGAGCATTGAAGGAGCATGATAAAGTTCTTCGCATCATCATGCTTCGGGCGTTTGACTGAGTGTAGCATTACATATATACAGCATTGCAATCGAAGGTCTACATCTCATCTGGGAGCAGCCTGTCGCACTCGAATCCTAGAAGACTGACTTATCCGCAAGTTCTGAGCACTATCTAGGTCCCAGTCGTGCATGTGTTTTCCATGCGTCTGGCCGAGACAGCTTTAGGAAATTGAAGGCGACAGAGGTCTCGATCTGGTACTAGTGTGAGAGGCTGAGTAACGAATGCGGTTATAAGGTTTACACGGAGTTTTGGTGGCTGCGGTTGTGCGTTTGGACCTATCACAGAATCAATGGCACAGCTTTCCCACGTGGGGTGAATACCGAGCCAAGCAACCTAGACTGGGCGTACCTCAGCTCTACGAGAAGAAACTTAACCTGGAGAAGAGTAGTCCTTTCAGCCAAAGGTAAACACCCCTATGGCTGTAAGGGTTGATCCTTCGTGGCTTGTTAGGCCATCTTCCATGGCTTGCCAGACGGACGCTGCCACTTTTGTCGTATCCCAGCGTATGACAAGCATACATAAGCTCAGCCTTTGTGTTTGCTTAACTCTTCAGAAGATATTTCATCCAAATCCTCTTCCGAGTCTTCTTGTTCCCTCCCGCCTCATCAGCATCACCCAAAATGCACCTGCTCCACATAACCTTCCTACTCTCCCTCTCCCTCTCCTCCCTAACCTTAGCCTCTGGTACCTGCACCAGCACCAACACCCTCTCATGGCCTCCTGTGGGCAACTGCGCCATTCCCGGCAAATTCGACACTATCGTGCAGAACTGCAGAGCTTGCTGCATGAACAATGCCAATTGCTTCCAGACATGCTTGAAAGCAGGCGGGCTTCGCAGACGCGGTGCCATCGGCGAGCAATCCTTTGGTATTAGCAGGGATACGGGGGAGTTGAGAAGCCGTGCGGTTGCGCTGAGTTGTGAGGTTAATGAGGGTTGTTATAAGTATACGGATGGGGGCTTGTTGTGTTTGAATTTGGGGACGGGTACGTTTACGACTTCCAAATCCTCAACATGGTATTAGAAATTGGAGGGCTGATAGTATCTCTGCAGGACTTTATCACGACGACGTTGGAGGGAACGGTGACTACTACTCTGGGAACTACACAGGTCCGGACGGGAAAGTGCAGACTGGAACATCGACCGCTACGGCTACAAGTAGCAGCAGGTCATCTTCTGTTACGTCTCAAGGGACTAAGTCGACAGCACCAGTTCAGGCCACATCGGCAGGAGCTGCAAGCGCATCTGCAAGCTCTGCTGCGGCTTCTGCGATATCCCCAGGCGGTGGTGACGGGTTTCGCCGTGGTGCAAATGTTGGACTTGTAGGCCTTGTAGTTGGACTTGTTCTTTAAAGAGAGCATACGAGTGGAAAGTGGCTGCGCGGAAGTCGTTTTCTCCAAAGACTGTGGTAACGTCATCGCTCTAGCTCTTTCCGCAGGTTCAATTCATTCTTGAGAACCACCATTCCCCCACCGATGACCAGCTCTTTGACCTGTAATGCGGACTTCGAGACAAAAGATGCACAGATTTACAACGCGATGATTGTCTATGGTATGCTCGAACCATGTTTGTTCCAGCATTGGACCCACCACGATTGCGTGATTGCCTGACAGGTGGCCGCAAGCTCCTCATGTGCCTGACAATCCGAGCATGAGTCGTTGCTCACACTGGAGAAGGGAAACAAGAGTTCAGATCTGTCTTCGACACAAACTGCGGAACAGAGTTCATCTCATGGAGTCAATGGCGCACAAGAGCGAGGACAGCCGCGGCACGCACTGTCCTTACAGACCCCAGGAATGCATCCCTCAAGGTAAATTCACTATATTACATTATGATACCACTGATGAACAGAGTGCTGACTTCTTAGATCGGGATACGTGACGGTGTGTCTGGTCACTTCAAACTTGTCCCCGAAATGAAGCTGCTGTCTCCGTCTTCGATTTCAATGTTCTTATTGATGATGGCATCTGGGTATGGTAAGGCCCGTTGACCTTGCCTGATCAGAGCTTACAACATATCAGGAAGGAATTCGCGTAGTAAACGGGCGTATCCAATTTGCTCGCGACCACATCAATCGACTCATCCAGTCAGTAAAAGCTATGTACATGGACCTTGGTGTATCGAAAGGCGATCTGATACGGCTTCTTCACCAAACTCTTGACGCGAATGATCCCAGCAACGAAGGGCATGTTCACATCCGCCTGGCTGTCAGTCGCGGTCTCAAGTCCACTCCGTACCAAAACCCCAAGGTCAACATCGGTCTGCCAGTAATCGTCATCATTCCAGAAGTTAAAACAGTTGATCCCTCTTCAAAATCTAGGGGCCTGCAACTCGGAACTACCTGAGTGCATCGTGGTCCGCCAGACGTGAAGGACGAACAGTGGAACCACATCTCAAAAGCTACAGACGTTCAAGCCTGCATCAGCGCCAATGTCATGCATGTATATGAAGCACTTATGCTCGACCTCCGTGGCTTCGTCAAGACGCGCAACTCGGTCAACTTCTTCATTGTGCGTGGCGACGAGGTGTGGGCGCCGACCAAAGACAACCAAATGCAAGGCATCACACGTCAGAAGACTATAGACCTTTCTCGAGACAACGGCATCGTGGTTCCTGAATTGAACTTCACTCTTAACGAGGGCTGTGGCGCCGACGAAGCGTTCTGCACGGGAACTTTTCCATCACAGCGGAGGTCATCGCGACTGTAACCCGTTGTCACGAATCTCCCAGCTTGCCTCCCCAAAGCTAGATAGTGGTGTCGAGGTGCGAAACCTCAAACAACACAACCCGTCACTTCACTTACGCTGTACTAGAACGAGGTATATTCTGACAATATCCACCAATCAACGAACATATGCGGTTAAGCTTTTCGCAAGCTTTTGAGCTACCTCGTCGCTGTGCAGAATTGCGTTATCACTAGCGCATCGTCTATGCGGCTTAAAGTACCGTGTCCGTGCGCGTAATGCGCGGATTCGCGTAATGCGCCAAACCACCTTTTTGTACCCATACTTCACTGTACAATTACTCAACGCCACAATGACTATGAAATCTGCCTTTGAAGAGATAGACTCTATGATACCATGCAATAAGATCCCGTGGACAGCGCTGGCTAAAAAACATAAGGTTGTGCGCTCAACCCTGTCTCGAAAATATCGACACGAGACGCGATCGCGTGAAGAGAAGGCGATTGCACAACAAAAGCTCACTCCACAATAGGAGGACGAGCTTGTCAAGTATATAGAGGAGCTTATAGCTCGCCGTCTACCTCCTACAAGGGAAATGATAGCAAATTTCGCGTTGTCAATAGCCACAGAGCCAGTCAGCGAGAGCTGGGTTACCCGCTTCATCAACAACCACTCGATCCATCTCATCTCTCAATACTCAACAGGTATGGACAGCAATCGCCACAACACCAATTTGTATACCAAGTACAAGCTCTATTTCGACCTGTTGCAGTCCAAAATCGCCCAATACAACGTTGACGCTGAGCACACATACAATATGGATGAGAAGGGCTTTATGATTGGAGTCACCACCAGGACCAAGCACGTCTTCAGTAGACGTATGTGGGAGAAGAAGGAGGTTACAGCAACTACTCAAGATGGTAATCGTGCCTGGGTGACGCTTATAGCGTGTGTGTGTGGGGATGGATCGGCACTGCCACCAGGCCTCCTATACGAATCTACCAACAACACTATACAGTCAAGCTGAGTGGAGGAAATCAAGCCAGGGGTACACTCTGTTTTTGTTTCCTTGTCACCTTCAGGCTGGACGAACAATGAGGTAGCTCTTGCTTGGCTCAAACAGGTGTTTGATCGCTATACCAAGAAGAAAGCACGAAGAAAGTACCGCCTATTGATACTAGATGGCCATGGATCTCACATTACAATGGATTTCATCAACTACTGCAATCAGAACAGGATACTCTTGGCTATACTTCCTCCTCATTCAACCCACACGCTCCAGCCACTCGATGTGGTGATGTTCAAGCCTCTCTCAACAGCGTACTCGAAGGAGCTCACAACACACCTTCACCATGGCCAGGGACTGTTGGTTATCAAGAAGGGCGACTTCTTCCACCTGTTCTGGAAGGCGTGGACGAGTACGTTCACTCAGGGGTTGATACTCAGGTCCTTTGAGGCTACAGGTATAGCACCCCTCCGACCCGACGTAATCCTCCAGCAATTTGCTAAGCCCACCCCTGAGGGCTCCGATAGCAACAGAAGCTCTTCTTCAGTCTACAGTGGCAAGGATTGGCTCAAATCAGAGACTCTGTTGCGTAAAGTCGCCAAGGACGAAGGCAGTGAAGACCTGAAAAAGATCAGGCACTCACTCCACCACATCTCAGTTCAAAACTCAGTCCTCTACCACGAGATTACAGGCCTTAAGGAGGTTCTCAAGACTCAGAAGAAGCACAAGAAGAAGAGCAAGCCTCTTGAGCTTCAGCGTCACAAGGACTACCACGGTGGAGCCGAGTTTTACTCTCCTAGTAGAGTAGAGAAAGCACGCACACGTGAGAAGGCAAAACAACAAGAGCAGAAGGCAGAGGTGCTCAAAAAAGCAGAGATGGCTGAACTGAGGCACGCCAATAAGCTGTACAAGGAGAAGATTGCACAGGAGAGGCGTGAGCAGAAGTTGAGGGAGAAGGAAGAGCGTGAGCAGCAGAAGGCTGAGAAGGCTCAGGAGGTTGCCAAACGCAAGGCCGAAAAAGAGCATCAACAGAGGGAGCGCAACACCAAAAAACCTATACAATTGTCCCAAAGAGGCAAGCGCAAGGCCTCAGAGGTTGCAGCACCCAGGAAGAAGCAGAATCGTGGTAGTGCAGCTGCCCGTAGTCGTGCTGCTGCCGTGCCTCGCTCCCCATCCCCTCCGGCAAAATACAACAGCCACGGCCGCCCAATCAGAGTGCCACAAAAGTTTGAGTGAGGAACTTGTTCATATAGGTCTATAGACTACTCCACCAGAAAATCTCATGATAATAACCATTGTGTGTGGCTCTACAGCCTCATTTTTGGTGGACCTATTTTGGTGGTTCGGCGCATTACGCGAATCCGCGCATTACGCGCACGGACACGGTAAAGCGTTCGTTCCGTCAGATGCAGGAACACAATGCAAACGTAGCATCGCAGTACGTAAATATCAGATACAGTAGTTTCCATATAAAAGATGGCAGCCACTTTGAACATTTGGAACGTTCGCTTCATCCACCTCTTGACTCAGACAGGGTTCTCGTAATTTTCCAGCCTCATCATTGATCCTTGCCGCAGCTCGAACAAAACGTTTTGCCTTGAGGGCCTCACATTCTAAGCATAACTTGAATTTTTTACAACACGTACAGCAATTAAGAAAAGCTTGGTAGCGATTAAGAAAAGCTTGGTAGCGATTAAGAAACGCTTGAAAGAGATGGATGTTGGCGATAAATCACCAAAGAGTGATCGGGAAGATGAGATCGATGAGACCGTCGAGACCCTCACGAAAGCTCAGCTCAAGCGACTGATGCTGAAGACAGACCTGGTTATCATGCCTCTCGCCATCGTGTGCCTGACCATTGCTTTCCTGGAGAAGGTAAGTCCCGCTAGCCAAGCATCCTTAATCTCCTTGCTGACTTGTATCTCAGAATGCTTTGGGCTATGCTGCTGTCCTAGGAATCAAAAAAGATACATACCTGGAGAACTAGAAGTACAGCTGGCTCGATAGTATCTTCTACTTTAGATACCTTGCAATGAAGTTCCCTACGCTCTGGTTGATCACTCGCTTCCCAGTCGGCACGTACGTTGGCATATGCCTTACACCCTGGGGAGCGTGTCTTTGCTTCCTGGTACTTTGCCACAACTTCACCGGACTGGCCACAGTTCGGTTTATTACGGGCATGCTTGAAGCGGCGACGTTGCTATGTATGATGCTTATCAACGCGATGTGGTGTCCGCCAGACAAGCATTCGCTACGAACAGCGTTCTGGCATAACACGTTTCCTGATGTATTTGGCCGCATCCTTTCTAGGGCATCGAAAAGATCGGAGGCGCTCTGTCCATGTGGATGGCAAGGTGTTTTGGATGGCAAAGTGAGACCGCGGCTAACGAGTGCCTTAGTACATCTTCCTCATATACGGTGCCTTCAATCTCTTGCTTGGTATTCTGTTCTTCTTCGCAATGCCAGAATCTCCGGCCAAGGCATGGTTCTTCAACGCGGAAGAGAAAAGACTTGCCGCAATCCGCCTTGCACCAACCCAGACTGGCATTGAGTCGCGAAAGGTATGAGGACCACTCCAAGACACTTGTGTTGGCGCTGACCAGACACCAGAAATTTCACCCAAGGCAGATACTAGAGGCTTTCAAGGACCCGAAATGCTACATGATCTGACTATCAGCACTTGGCTGCCCCAATCACCAACTTCAATTCCTTAACTATCTCTGGATACGGCTTCGGCAAGACAAAGACCCTTCTCATGGCTACACCACAAGCTGCAGTTGCTATGGTGGCCAGTGCAACGCTGACTGCAGTTTCGATGTACGTGCCGAAGGTACGATGCTTCTTCTGGATCTTCGGGGCCACAATGTATTTGATCGGCGCCGTCATGGTACATACGTTGCACTTTGCCGAAACGAGGAATGTGAACTTGGCTGGTGCATACCTCATGGGCTTTTACAATGTGTCTTGGGTGCTCACGTTGAGTCTTAGCAGTTCGAATACGGGCGGGGCTACCAAGAAAATCTTCATGGGCATCACTTGTGCTGTTATGTATGGTATGTATATTCTGCATCTTGTGATCTGTCAAATGTGACATCTGCATAGCCGTCGGCAACATCATTGGTCCTCAGTTTTTCATCTCCTCGCAGTCGCCAACACATCCGCTAGGTATCGGCGCTATACTGGTTGCGTTCACGCTTATGGCGATCACTGGCGTGGTCTACTGTGCCCTCTGCATCTTTGAGAACAAGCGCAGAGACAGACTGTATGGTGTGGCGCAGGATGAAGCAGCGATCGGATTGCAAGCCGAGAGAGATGACTTGACGGATCGACAGAACCTCAACTTTAGATATACGTACTGAATACTTCGATGTTCCTATACAAACACTAGGTCCTCGAACCACACCACGCTCCTTAGTACGCTGAGAACAGATATGTTGACTGAGCTCAGTACGCCCCTTCTCGTTTCTCCCAGCCCGTCATCGGTGAGAGAGCGATATCGCCATATCCAGACTGCACAGCCATACCAGCGACAAGCTCGATACTCTTTGGCGTCGCGCCACCCTCCTCAAGCGCCCAGACGCTGATGGCCACAGTGTTCTCACCGTGATAGTTGAAAATGCCTTCCGGCACAGGGAACCTTCGCTGCGGCCCGATTCCATTCGCGAACTTGCCAAACTGATACCCATTAACCCACAGCTGAGCGCGCCATCCCCGCCCCTTGCCCGTGAACTTATCGCCATTGAATACGAAAGACAGGGGTACATCCCACCCCTTAGGTATATTGAGCTCGAACGTAGTCTGGTAGAAGCGCACACCAGGCTTGCTCAACCCGGATGCAGGCCCGACATCGCTGGGCCAAGACTCTGTTGGTGCGGAGGGGAGGTGAAATCCGTTACGTTCGGGGTACAAAGCGCCTTCATTTAGAGGACCGCGTGGACCGCCGCGGTAGTCTTCGCCGCCAAGGTTGCCAGTGATTTTCCAGCGGATGCCGTCGTCGGCACGGGATGAGTTTGAGCTGAATGATGGAAGAGTGTGGCTGGGGAAGGAGTAGCCCAGGATCCCGCGGGGAGTCTTCATTTCGTTGTATCCAACGAACCTGTGGAGGATCAGCATTGATGGTAGACATGGGTGCAGCGGGCTTACCAGTTTCCGTTATGGCCCATATGGTCGACAAGCACGGTCAGAACGTAATCACGACCATGCTGCAGTTTCGGAAGCAACAACGTCTGGTTCGCGATCGCGGCGTCGCCGATCCCAGTCCAGGACGAAAGGAACGTCGAGTTCACCCACGCGGAGAACGCGAACGCAGATCCACCAGATACATTGAGGTGCAAAACGGTCTCGTTACCTGTTGCAGTGAAGTGACCGCGGAAGAGCAGCGATCCTGTGTTGTATCCATACTCAGCACCCCAGAGCACAGTCGGGGTGGTGAGTTTCCAGTACGTATTGTTCGTCTCGGTGTGATCGGCGTCGGTCCAGGCGGAGTCGTCGTAGTTGGGCTGCAGCTCGGGCAGCGCATCGATGGACTTCCATGTCAGCGACTCGAGGTCTGGGATTTCGATCTCAGGGGCTGAGAAGGAGACGCTGCCGCTAAGGAAGCCGTTGTGGTCGCGCTTTGAGGCGAGGTCTTTACCATTCCAGGATAGGCTATTGATGTCCTCGTGCGCGCCGCCGATGACTTCGATGGTGGTGGTTGCGTTTATGTCGCCGATGAGGTCGATCTTGCCGCTTGAGATCGAGGCGCTGCGGACTAGATAGCCGGCATGCACAATGAGGTCGGATGACGGTGTGTAGTCGTGTGAGTATGCGCTGCCTGCGGGTAAGGTGCTTACGGTCCAGTAGTTGTACGCTTCGTTCCGCGAGACGATGACGATATATAAATCTGAACCTATGCGTACAACGCGGCGCTTCGCGTCTGTCTGCCAATTGAGGATGCTGTTGCCGTTGCGATTGGCAAATTTGACGCCAGAGCCTTCGACAGCTGTTGCGCCGCTTGTCTTGGACACAGCAAGCTCGTGCTGCTCGTTGGGGCCTCCATAGACTACGACAATGCGTCTGCTGCCGTACTTCTTCCACGTGAAGATCTCGGCTGTTGAGTAGAGCAGGTTGAAGCCACCAACATCATAGTCGGTCACGTGAATCTTGCTGTCACGGCCATTGATTGAGAGCTGTCCACCGAGCTGCGGAATGGTGAGATTCCCGGCACTGGTCTGAACCTTGAGCTTATACGAGGTCGACGCCAAGCTGTTGTACTTGGTCTGACGCATGATGTAGAAGTTTGTCGTGTTCCCGAATAGTGGTGTAGTGGTGATCTCTTTAGAATCGGTGTAAACTCCCGAAGTATTGTAGCCCGATACTGCGCTAGCCAGAGCTGGTGATGCGTGCACGAGGTTGGCGATCAGTTTTGCCTCGCCGTACTTCTCACGGTGTACTTGGCGCTCTTCTGTGATGGCTGCGCCGTAGTCGTAGGAAGTGTAGCCGCCTGCGTGACCTAGGTTGCCCCAATTCGTGCCGCCATAAGTCTATTCTGTCAGTACTGAACCCAACCTGACGTTGACAAGGTGAAACAATCAGCATACCATGTAGACGTTGAATATCGTGGCGCCAGCAGCTATATTGTTCTTGTAGAACACGCGCTCGAACTCATGGTTTGTGAACTCGGCGCACTTCTCAAAGCCATCTCCACCCCATGGTTGATAAGCTCCGCCTTGGTACTCTACGAGCTGGTCAAGTCAGTAAAAGTCTCACAATGGGCCGCTGAACTCACCATGTAAGGCGTGCTCGGACTCTGCTCAAGATGAGTCTCCCGCCAATTGGCTGGCAACGCATCATCAATCCAGTATGTAGGATCAGTACAGTTCATGCCAAGAGGATACGCATCATGACCGTAGATATCGACCGGCGCATCAGTGCCTGGCGCATTGATACCGCTCGGCCATGCGACGTTGTTGATGAGAGGTACGACTATGCCAAGGTCTCGAAACTGCTTCATCAGATGATTCATGTAGTCAGCATCCGGAAAGGTTACGTTGTTGAGGCCCGCACTGTACTCATTCTCGGGCTGAAACAGGATCACGGGCCCCCCTGTCCGGGTTGGTTAGTGACCTGCGCTTGAACACTTTTTGTTACCCATACCATTAGTGATTTGAGCTTTCGCGATTATTGGTGTAATGTGTTCGATGTAATTCCTCGAGGCTTGTTGATAGTCGGCATCTGGTGTTCGCAGGTTTCCAGAGATCCTCTGCAGCCAGCCTGGGAAACCTCCACCCGACACTTCAGCGTTGATGTATGGACCAGGTCGCTACATGGTCAGCTTGTGCATTAGGTTTTTCGGTACACATACTGCAACAAGGTACACACCGACTTTCTTCGCAGCCTCAAAGAATGGTCCGTAATCGAAGACACCTTCAGCTTGGAATGACCCTGGTTTGGGCTCATGGAGGACCCAAGGTGTGTAGATAGATACGCCGTTGTACCCGAGCGCCTTGATCTTCTGGAACACGTCTAGCCATAGGCTTGGAACCGGAAGTCTGCAAACATTTAGCAGATAGTTCCCGTTACCACAAGACGTGGACGAACCTGAAGGGGTGCACCTCACCACCCCAAAAGATGATGCGCTCACCATGAACGAACAGTGAATGCTCATCCCAAGTGACAATATCTTGAAGCGGTGCACGTTCCGCGATGATGAAGTCGCTAGGCTTACCACCCAGGGCGCGAGCCACAGCCTGCACAGGTAGCAAGCCCAATGCAACCCCGGTGAGAATTTGACCGAGCTTCATGATCGTCTCGTGTCACCAACGCAGAAGTATGGCCCATGGAACGCGACGTTCTCCGTGACCATTTTGTACTCGAATTCACGAACATCACGGAATACCACGTCATGCTACATTTCGCAGCTCCAAGCCGGTTCAATTGTTGATCCTCCGTACCTAGAGCGTAATAGAGCGTGGTACCCACGTACCATTCCACCATTGTTGTGGTGAGCATCGCTGGAATCGAGGTGGAGACGGAAAAATCCCCCTCCGATGCGGTGCGGGGTGCGCATTTAACCTGTGAAGCGAGACCAGATATACGGGCCGTTAAACCGCAAGGCGGGTGGCGTGAAGCTCGACTCGGAAGCGCTACCTAAAGATCGACCCTCCGACTGCCATTTGGCGGAAATCGCGAAAAGAGCAGGACTGTAAAGCCGAGCAACGCAACAGCAGCGTTACAAACGAAGACCAGAGGGATCTTCCCTACTTCCGCGAGCGCTGCGAAGACCAGACCGAAGACCGCAGTAGTGGAAAGTCTTGCGATGTTCTCGGCAAGGGTGATCCCGCTTAGCGCATCTACTCGCTGGCTGTCTGGGAGCATCTGCAAGATCGTACCTTTCGAGGCAGCGGCAGTTCCAGCCGCGACCGGAAGGAGCGCTGCCACAATGTAAAGCTGGTAGTCCTGTGCAACAAACACAGCAAGCCCTGTCATAGCACCGTCGAGGAGGAGACTGAACCTCGCATACATAAGATCGAATGCAAATGTTTGCTTCTCGTCAGGCTGTGGTGGTCCGGCCAGTTCCACGTCGTTGCCCATGGGATCAATATGCCCGATCTTGTTGGGTGATGTAGGTATATGCAACTCGCTGAGAAACGGCTCGTTTTCTGCCGATGTTGTTGGTGTTGCATTGCTCGGCTCCAGCCAGTTTCTTCCGACTGAGATGATGCGAGGGAAGACAAAGGACAGAAAGAAACCTCGCAAAGAATAGTACATGAAGATGAGCCAACCGTTGGCCTTGGTACCGAACTCAAACTCGTCTGTGGCGTACATCTGAAGCAGCGTAGGAATGTAGCCGGTAGCTAGGATGCCCAAGAAGACACCCAGGCCAAGCGTCAATGCTCCAAATTGTGTGCTCTTGCGACCGTCGATGAGTGTCCACTTTTGAGGGGCGAATATCCTGAGCGGACCAAAGAAACGCCCAAGGCCATTTGCCGGCTGGTCCGCCCGGCTGTCTTTTTCTTCAGGCGGTGGCGTCGAGGGGAGGCATGCCGCGACGTAAGCACATGATAGCAAGAACAAGATCACAGTGATGCGAAACGGCGCGGCGATCCCAAATGCTTCTCCGATGAGCCCTCCAATCAGGAACCCGACGGCGGCTCCAAACAACATGCAGCCTTGAAGGCGGCCCAGTGCGCCTGTTCGACCCTCATGCTCGACAACATCCGCCACGAACGAATTCAGGGCAAGGACATAGCCATTCGGGCCACCAACAATGGTGATGATCTGACTGGCCTGCAAGATCAGAACGCCCGCACTGGATCCCTTCGATACGCCGATGTTTTGCACGAGCAGCCTTACGGCGGGCCAGAATATCTGAATTATGAGGGCTCTCTTAACACCTAGGCGCTTGATCGTCCAGCCGGTGACGAGAAGGTTCAAGAGGCCAAACAAGGTTGTCGAACCTCCGAGAAGCGCAATGGATCGCGCTGTGCTTGCTTCAACTTCATGTTTTGCGCACGCATCTTTCGCCAAAGGGTCGCGCATATGGCGTGGATGTTCGTAATATGCATCGCAAGTCATAACCCTCATGACAAACAGCATCGGCACTTGGGTAATGCCAAATGATAGTGAGACCAGGAAGGCGCAAAGCATGAGGAGCCATTGTACGGAAAAGCCCCGCGATCCAGCTCTTCTTTCTCCTGACTTCGTGCGAGACAACAACGGCGTTGTCTCCCGCACATCTGGCCTCCTCTTCGACTCTTCAAACACAGCCATGGTTGGTCTCGAAACGATCAAATGTGAATATTAAAGTGTCGTGTGAAGGTGAGGGGAATTAACATGGCAGGAAGAAGCTGCCGTCTGTGCGCCACCGGCTCTCGGCTCGGCTCTTCATGGTTTGTCGCAGACCGGGCACGCAAGCACGCAAGCACCACAACACCGAACAGCGCAGCATATCGTAGACAATATTGACTGAATGCCATTCGAAGCTATGTGAAAAAAATTGTGTCTATTGAAAACCAAGAAAGCGTATATGCCTAGGCCATACGTGCTGAAGCACCTTGCCATACACCACAGGCAGGCATCCACGTCGAAGAATCGTAAGAAAGATATGTACAAGAAGATGATGTATACTACTCAGCCTGCGGATTAAATCTGGCTAGTAGTTGTACTTGTAGCACAACGTCGATCCCCTAGTGTCGAGAATGTCGCCAATACGTACGTCAGGGCGGAAATCATACACGTTGACCTTGGTGTCAAGGGTCAGAGGATGACCAGCAGCGTCAGTGCCGTCGACGGTCGTCACACGCGCATTACCTCCGTTATTCTGCCAAATGCGGAAGTTGCGATCGATGAAACCGTGGTGCTATCATCAAATTAGCAGCGTCTAATAGCCATAACAGTTTCACTTACCAGGAAAAAGACAGGGTCTGCTGGAGATGCGTAAACATCCTGCATGACAGCCCCGATTCCGTTGTGACCCCATGCATGAGCACCACCCTCCGCGCTATCACCTGATTAGCAGCGTCTCAACAGCCGTATCATAATCCCACTTACCATGCAGCCATATCAGCATAATCAGAGCGGCTATTGCAGGCGTCAACAATCGCATTGCCGGTGTTGATCGTCTTCGAATCATCGTTGTTTCGAGCCAGACAATGAGGCGTGTTGCTGGTTCCTGGTCCATAGTTGATGGCCAGGTTTGCAAATTGCTAATGTCATATCAGCAAAGCACTTCGGAGTCGGACTCGGCACTGTAAGTACTCACACCGTCCGTCACACACTGGCCACCAAGGTTGATACTTCCAAACCACTGAGAACTAAAAATTGATGAAGCCGCGAAGTTACCCGCATATCGAGTTTCGTCAAACCAAGGAAGCTCGCGATCAAACCCACATTCATCACGGAGAAGCGACTCGAAAGTCCATACAAAGTATCTGTGCCAGAGTAGAAACTTTGCGTTACCATGAACATTCGGGGTCAATGTTTGGTGAAGGCCAACCAGATCATCGTAGCGACTTTGAGATACACTGAATTGACCCGAGGGAGGCTTGTTCATCAAGCACTTGATAGCGTCGATGTATGCTTGTCGGTCATCATCGGAGTAGTTATCCCATTCCGTGCGGACACGAACATTAGAGCAGGTCCCCTGTCTCTTTTCGAATCGTTCCAGCTCCTCATCCAGAGTCTGCGTATTGTTCGGCAGTGTCGTATTGTTGGGTATCACTAGCGCAGGCAATTTGTTCCTGGCGTCTTGGAGATCCTCGGGCTTGATGGTGGTGACTGAGGCATTCGCACCTGACAAAGCCTCGTCCAGCGTGAGTGGGCGCGCATATTTTGGAGTGTCGAAATGTGCAAGGGGGAGCGGTAGAAGGGCTGGGTTGGTTGCTCGCGTGGTCCAGGGGAGAGTGAAGGCATTGCAAGAGGCTGCAAGCGCAGCAGAGGCAAGTAGAAGGTGCATAGTGAACGAGTGGATGTAAAACGGATAATGTGAGCAAGGTGTACAAAGACCGAAGGAGCGAACAAGGGTCGGTTGGGAGCTGGAATCACGAACAAAGCATACGGAGCAGCAAGAAGCTTAATGAACAAGCTTCTGTGCCAAGACGCTCCACTGACATTATTGATCTGTCAACCCGAGTTCGTGATACGAGTTGAACCGGAGCTATCGGCACACAATATCAATGGCCATGGCTTGCCAGACTGCGCCGGCTTTGTTGTTCATTGTTTATTCCCGGGCCTACGACGGCCGAACGGAAGGAAGCTGAGGGGCTTTACGAGGGTCTTCTGGAGTGCTTTCATGAGGTCGCACTATTGATAATTATTTTTGTATGCAGATCTTTAGACTTTCCCCTTTCGAGTTCCCACAATGTCGGATGCCGGCACTTGAGCTGATGACCGAATGGATCCATTGATAATACGACCAACCAAAGGCTTGTCATCAGCGCTAGAAAGCTTAGCGAAGCTTAGCATTTCGCAGCTTGGCCCGGTGCGGCCGCTCGACCACAAACAGTTAGGTGTTGTTGGGCTGAGGGACGTCATTGTTCCAACCAATATCTGCCTAGGTAAGTACATCAAAATGGCGTGGTCGCGCCTCTCCGTAAAATGCGAGGTGGTAGCCATTTTGGTACACTTGGACAACATCACGCGACGCCCATGTTGATGGCTCAGCTACAGGTGACACACGGTCAGCGCCACAGCGCAGCCGCATACAAGGTTGCATTTCGTCCGGTACTCTGCAACAGTCGATTCATACGCGACCATGGAGCAGCTGAGCTTGGCCAAGCATCAGTCCAAAGTCCGAGAGAGGCACTGAAGTCTATATCAATTATACAAACAGCGGAATATTCCCGTCAGCACCGACATATGATATGTTGCTCATTCTCAGGGGCTCAATCCGCTGCTCCCAAGAGCACTTCCACCAGCTTCCCTCCTGCAATACCAACATTGGGTCGACCCAGCGCGCCTTCTCCAGGGCCTCCAGCACCCAAATATCACTAGAAACCATCTCCGAACAACACATCAGAACACTTTCTCCACTCTCAGGCTGCTGGCCGGCAAACCTCATCGTATTCATCTGATCTTGTCTGGCATCTACCCTCAGGGTCAGCCCCTTACAAATGCAGTTGTATACTTGATATTGTATCAAATTGTAGCGCGTATTTAGATGATCAAAACTGTGTTTTTGAAACAATATTCACTACGTGTTGTTAGAGTAATTGATAATTGAGTGCACGTGCAGGCAAGCTTCCCACATCACCACCCTGTCATCTGTCCTCCCATATGTTGCAGTAAATGCAATAAGTGAAGGTGTAACCACGCAGGGCAGTAAGTCAGGGGTAACCGCGCAAAGCAGTGAAATCGGTATATTCCGTTGTGTTGTTCTGTGATTGTCTCTCACCCGGCAGTCATCAGGGTCTGTTTACATGACGTATCTGTCGTGCAGCCAGAAAGTGCTGTTGGAACAGGCAAGAGCAATGCACCAGCACACGTGGCAGACATGACCTCTTCACTCCATAAACTGTCACACCATATCTATACAATCTTGAAGCCTCTGAGGCATAGTATCAACCCAAGTTTTTATGAACTTCTGTAACACCTTCTGTTACGATCAAAGGGCAACCCGCAACAACACTGAACAAACAGGACTACACAACAATACAAGAGGAGCCAAGGAACTGTAGTATTGTGTCACAAAGATGCTACGAGTAGGCCCTTTAGGACTCGCTAGGAGTCTAAATCAATTACTACATACGGTATCTAAGTAGGTACAAGACGTTGTGTACCAAACAGAACTCTACCAGCAATAGTCTATATACTTATGTGTGGGTTTGTTTGGTTACTGGTTAATAATCGGAACTGAGTTGGATAGGTATCGGGGTTGCAAGTCCTGGAGCAGGGCTTGCAGAATCCTAATACTCCCGCTTTGGAGGTTGCAGGCCTGCTCCGGAGGTGACTGGAGGTTGTACGTCCGCTTCGGAGGTGTGTAAGGACGCTGGGGATTTGGTGCGTACGGTCAGGGACAGTACGGAGCGGATCCGGATATTGTCAGGGGATCTGGAGAGGATACTGTGACAGTTTGAGATCCAATGACAAACTTAATTGACAAGGTTGAACACAAACCATAAGGGTTGTGTTCCTACATGCTATATACTTGAATGATTGTATGAAGTCCTACAGTAGCTTACTGTCTAATGAGATGTTGTCCCAAAGTCCCATAGGATACGTGAGACTGCATGGGAATCCCATGGCTTGCTTGCTTCTTGTGAGAGGGGGCCAGCTGGGGATACCAACTGCTCTCTGAGATGGAAGGATTGGTGGAAGGATGGTTCAGGCTTGTTGGAGATAAGGGTGTAGAAGAGACCAAGTGTGGGGATACCACAAGTGGTAAAAAGGATAAGTGATAAAGAAAGGATCAAGTGTGGGGATACCACATAGGATCAGTAAGGAGTGAGTTGAGGAGTGAAGGTTGAAGTATTGAATTGAGTTGCAAGCATGAGTGAGAACTATCTAGAGGTGGGAAGAAGGGGGTTCATATACCTAGATGGGTGGCAAGCTGACAAATGGGAGCTGACAAATGGGAGCTGACAAATGGGTGCTGACAAATGGGTGCTGAGACAAGTATAAAGACTGGTAGGGTTGTTGTTGGCTGCAAGCCATGTCAGGATGACACTTCTATCCCATAGGACGCTAGACTACTTGTATTGTCCTAGTGTACTTATGTGGCTGTGGAGTAGCTTGTACAACGGGTGTGGCTTCTCCAATGGCCGTTCTACCTACAGTCAATAACTGCTGTCCCCAGGCCCAATAACTCCTTCTCTTCTGTACCTGTTTGTAACACAGTCCTCCTTCTCAGGGTATCTCTCCTTCATTTCACTTGCCCACTCCTTCCTGTGAATAGCTGTAAAGTCATTATACCATGCCTTTTGGCAGGCAATACACTCGAAGTACTCCATTGTATCACCCATTGTACAAGTAACTGTCCTCTCTATAACCCCTTCAACACCAGCTTCCCAGGCAAGTTGACACCAAGTGAGCTTCCTTGCTTCAAATCTAGTAGTCTTTCTAATGATGCAATCCATCTCCTGAATGTGCCAGCTTGAGATCTTCTAAGGCCTGCCATGATACTCAATTGGCTCTCTTTTATTATCTACTTGCTTATGGTGACATATGTCCTCACTGCCCTCAGATATCATAGCCCATCCTTGTATATGGGAGACTTCAAAGTAGTGGAAGACATCCTCCTTGTGGTGAGGGATCCCATGTGCTTCCATGTACTCAATTGTCCCACAAATTTCAGATTTTTTGGGTATACCATGATTCACATGATTCTATGGGTCTGCCCTTTTGGAAATTAAGAAAAACGAGTAATATTTGGCTGTGTAGGGGGGGAATGTGGATGTGTGAAAGTTCGGTGCTTGGCTGATTTTTTGATGTGCGGGGAGTTGTTTCAGCCGCGTGGCAGGGAAGATACAACGATGGTTGAATCTGGGTCAACAAGATGTTGGAGAGGGTCCAGGCTCAGCCACCTCACCAATTCCCCTATGTCGGAGGAGAAGGATCCACCGATAGCCATCACGTGATAGAGTAGCGTTTATAGGATACATTGTGGAAGGGTTGAGATAATTGAGTTGATTGGTCTGTCTGTGAGCTATGGCTAGGATCGATCGGGACTATATAGTAGAGGGAATAGCAGTGAATGGATGGGAACTAAACTGAAATAACCGAATGAGCTGGACAATCAGTGCAGCGGACCGCTGGCAAACACTGCAACGGACCACTGACGAGCATATATCGAGCTTCTGCTCCCCTGCAATATGACATCATAGCCACCCAATCTTGACACCCTGCGAAGGGAAACCTTTAGAAGGGCAATCCTTCCATCCTGTAGGCTATATATACAGGTCGTCGAGAGAGCTAGGAATGATATCTCATCTGATCAACAAATGTTGGAAGGTATTTGCATGATCACATAGCCGACGAACAGAATTGCGACTGCTCTGGCATACTGCGTCGAGTCCATGTGTAAGGGCTTCACGATACCCGGCACCTTTACCGCTGTGATGTTGTTCTGCGCCTTGTGTCAGCGTTCTTCGACGAACACATATGGACAGACCTCCACGATCCAGATAGTTCAGCACGAAGATAAGTCAGACCATGGTCATAATGCGAACATCGAGCTTACGCTTCAGTTTCTTCTCGACGGCCACAAATTGTTCTTCTGACATGGCTTGCAAGGGACCGAGTCGATTGTGGGTGCACTAGTTTTTCCCATAGCTCGACTTTTCGTCCATGGTGTGGTTAATCTCGGTTGAAGTGCCCTTGATGAGTTACAATTCAAGTTTGTTATCACACAACTGTCAGTTAGAGGACGAGGTTGTGTGCTGAAGTCAGGCTCGAGATGGAGATGCTGCCTCAGAAGAGCCATGTATCAACCTGAGCGTTTGTTCCTCAGGTTTCCTGGCCTGCGGAGTATGTTCGCAAGTGTGGGGTACTGCGGGCCGTGGGGATGGGCACCTTGCCGGCGGGCAAAGGCAGACGCGATGGCGGTGTGAAAGCGGTCCGGAGCCGAAGTTCGCAATACTGCGACGGGAATGACCGAGAGGGTAGTGTGCTTAAGTGCAATGCCAAGATCCACAATGGTCCCCTGGCCACTGCTGAAAATACCTTGACTCTCCTTCCATACCCATTGCAAGAAAGACAGCAACTCCCAGTATCACTCCTGGAAGCAATTTGATCGGCATCAGCCATGGCACTTATCCACATTGGTAAGTTTGTGCAAAACTACTTGTTTGAGTATATCGTCTTACGCTGGCTCAGTCTTGTTCAAGTTTCGCCCTGAGACCAGTGACGAACACAAAGCGACGTTTGTCACTGAAGTGAAGAAATTGAAAAAATTTTCCTGTGTGAAAAACGGTGGTCTCATTGTTGGAGGGCCATCGGTCACTGACCTGATCAAGCGAAGCAAGGGGTTTCACTTCGCCTTGATCAGCCATCACGAGAACCTGGAAGCTTTAGCCGAATATCAAGCAAGCCCAGAACATCATCGGTAATTCCAATCTATTGCAGGCCGTCCAATCAGATGCTGACATTCCATGTAGGGTAACTTCAACGTACATGTTTCCCTACAAGACCTCTGTTTCTTCGACTTCAACGTCGACCCTGAAGACGAATATATGTGCAAGTTCCTTAAGAAGTCGTTCACTGGAGGAACAACAAATGCTATTGACGGCATTCAGACGCTGCCAGAGAGTGGTACTGAGTCAACCACATGCGCAAAGCTCTAATCTTTTATTGTATTATGCCAAAATAAATGGATTTGGAAATCGCAGCATATATGTCTGAACGTCATCTATGATGTACCTATTGTAATCACGATGCTCCAAGTTTCAGTCTAGAATATGATGTTATTGTTGAGGTGGTAAATTTCAAACTGTTGCCGCCGTTACACTGGTGATTCTTACATGGAAATTTCGAAAGATTTGTTGTTGGGTATCATAGAAGTGTGGTCGAATCTGCCATCCAGCCAAAGTCGTAAGAAGCCGAGAAGTCTCCAAGCTGTTCCAAAAAGTCGGGTGGTTCGAGCAAATCGCCGAATGTGAACGCATCTCCGCTTCCTAACCAGACTGTGTCGACGTCCTCCGTATTTGCTAAGCCGTATGTATTGCTGGCTGCACCTGGTGCCGGAGGTAGACCCGCGACTCCAGCTTCTTGTCCTGTCCTATGCGTACCACTTGGTCTCGAAGTGGTATTTGCTGCCGATGCGAATGGCAGACTTCCATTGCGCATGCGATCAAGCATTGATGAGCTCATCTCGTCAAACTTTGCCTTTGCATCCGTCGCGACAGACCAAGTTCGGCCGAGATGCGCTAGCAGATCCGAGCAATCTTTGAGTCCGCTTTCTATAGCATCTGTGTTGGACACATTCAGTGTACTGTAGTTACTAGCACCAGGAACCGCTGCACGATTGTTGATCTTGGGCAATACCCAAGCAGTGTAGATTATTGTTATTCCGCTGATGAAAACTGTGTGAGCCGTAAGCCAAGTGTCTGGTAGCTCTCCGAGTCGCAGCTGGTTTGAGTGAATCTTGATGACTTCAAGTGCCGACATGTGGCAAATGGCCAGAGCATCGGCAGTCGGGCTCCGGAAAGCGGGGCTTGGTCGGAACAAGAGCAGGATGCATTGATGATACTTCAGTTCAATGGCAGGCAAAGCACGCCGGGCGCGTCCAGACGACATCCTTCGAGTTGACAAGATATGTCTAGTCATGTCCAAAAGACTGTTGCAAGCCTCGTGAGCCTCTGCCTGCCAGTTACCAAGATTCGTAGGCCACGGAAATCTTGTAGGAAGCTGTACGACCCGATACAGCATGAGCTTAATCTCTGCCGTGATGCGGTCAAATCTGAAACTGAACCTTGACGCTGCATAGTCGGGGCCGGATGTGTTGTCGAGTCGCGCCTTCTTCGATGGTGATGGACCTGTGGTAGAGCCACTTGGGATTTGAACAGGTGCATAGGACTGAACGCTAAAAAAATCCAGATCGTTCAGAGAAGATGGAATGACAGTTGCTGGATAACTCGAGTATTGTGTACCAGTCTCACCCGGGAATTCAACATCAATAGCTTCGTCGCGTAATGTAAGTGGCCTTCCTAAAGTTGTAGAGAGAGTCCTTTCCACAGAGTAGGCAGACCAGAAGATGCTGCTTCTTATGTCATCCTCTTCTGTGGTGGTTTGTGACCTTTTCGATGTGGTCTGGGTATCTAGAGGTGGGCTGCTGTCAGCAGATAGATCTCCTGCGGTTGCGATATCGTAGCCTGTGACTTACCCACGGTGCGCCTTCGCTGCAGTCCTAGGTCTAAACAGCTTGCAATGATAGTTGCTTTCAAATACCAGGCATTCAATCCTTTGGGAAACCACAGACTAGCGAGAACGAGCAAAAGCATGATCTGAACTCCTTTCAGACTGTCATGAAGTTGGACCTGGCTGATTTCAGCCATAGCAGAAGCCAGGTAACCACCGCTCCGCAGATCAGTGTCAAGACCGTGCTCAAGGTTGCGAGCTCCCAAAGCAGCAACCAGGAACAGGACTGCAAGATCCAGGTCTCCGCGAGGTCGTTGGATTGGGGATTGGGTACACTTCTGTTCGATCATCTCATGGACGGAACTTTCCTTTAGGAACGGATAGAGGTGATCGAAGGTATCGAAGTAAGATTCGGCGAAACGGTACATTTGTGCTGCTTTAGGAAGCGGTACGCAAACCACATTATCGTTAGAGCCACTGTGCCTGTGCGCAGAATCTGGCGGAGTTGCTGCGGTTAAACCTTGAGTTTGTGGAGCTGCTGCATATATGAGCCTGGCAAAGCTGACACCGGAAGAAGGACCAAGATATTTAGGGTCGCTACTAGCATTGCCAAGTGAGAGCAGACCGACATCATGTGCTAACGGTTGTTCTGGTCCTATACGGCTGTCGGTCGTAGATCCAGTCGTTGTAGCTGTCTCCAGTCCAGTCTCTGACTGGCTGGTGGTGTGATTGTGCTCGACCGTTACGTGACGTGCGGTGCCGTTATTCGACTGTGAAACAACAGCTTGCTCAAACTGTTCACCTGAATGTGGTCGCTGCATGTTTCGGTGGCCCACGCTCTCACGTCTAGATGATGCCGCGTTGTTGCCAGGCTCTGGAGCTTGGAAAGAGAGAGTGGCGTCCCTTGTACGGGGTCCCAAAGCTTCGAGGACGGGTCCAGCATTATGTGACCTCTCTCCAGGAGTATGTGGCCTCTCTCTAGGGGTTTCCGTGTCCACATGTGGAGCATGCTCTCTTAATAAATCTTCTAAGAAGGCGACTCGTGACTGGAACTGGTCGGCTCGTCTGCAGCAAGATCAATACTTGTCGATCGCAGCGTGTCGAATCATACGAACACTTTATCGATTGCTCCATCATGGTCACAAGATACACCTGCTCGCTCGCAGTTGGAACAGATGGGTAGCTTGTTGTCGCATTTCGTCTTGCGTTGCCTGCATCGCAAACAAGCGGGGATCCGTCGACGATGTCGGGATGGCGGCTCGACTGCAGACTCTGACACCATGCATGCTCCGGTCTCCGCAGAGCGGGACAGTGTCAATTGCAAAGATAGTGATCAAGTCAAGGCCGAAAATTCGGCAGCGGTCAGCAGTCGGTGAAACCCCGTGGTTTTAAGCTCGCCTGAGCCGCGGCTTCCCCGCACTCAATTTTGGCTCTAGCGGCCACACGGCCACCAAGCATCGACAAGCTAATGGCACCAATTGGTGGACCGAAGGGTTCCGGAATCGCCATTCTTATGAACATCGTGTTTGGCGTGCTCGGAGGTGCTGCATTCGGTGGCGAAGTTGGAGACTAATACAAGGAGACACGGCTGCAGAACGTGGGACACACTTTCATTGCCATTAAGCCAGGCACGTTTGTTGATGCGACAACTCTCCGTGAGCGGATGGATACCCTGGTACAACGCGTTCACAATGCCATGTTTGCGGAGGGCTTCGATCGCGTTTTAATTCCCAGCGAGCCGGAGTATCTGCTGGGTGTGAAACGTCGAAAGGAGGGTCTACCATTTGCCGATGCGGAGCGGAAGTTATTTGAGCAGCTGCAAGCAGAGTTTGGTGTGAAGCCATTGAGCTTGAGTGAAACACCACTGAGCCTCATAAATGGGCACTAGATACGGAAAATACTCAAGCATTGTTCAACTTCAAAAAAAAATTATGTGAAGTCGACAAGCCAGGTCGAGTTGTGGCTGTTCCTGGAATTCTCCAATGGGGAACACACGCCTTACATGAAGAATCAATGAGCTCGAAGGATGCGGGCCATGCGCCTTGCTCTGGCATTCTGATTACAAGTGGCACGATCTGCATTCCGTTGTTCGGCTAAACCTTTCTCTCGGCAAAAAGAAGCCGGATATGAGCTTTAGCTAGTGGGAGGCATACAGTGCTTATCTCCAGTTTGTCTGCAACCTAACAAGATCTCTAAGGACTAAAGAGAGTTTGTCATAGCTAGCATTTTCTGCAACAGGCTTTGATGATCAGATAAAAAGAACCTCTAGATAATGTCATAACGTCCTCTGAACTCTTTGAAAACATCCTCAACACTTCTCCCTGCTTTGATGTCCTAAGTACACTTCTCATCCACTATCACAATTGATTCGACAACACCAGGCACATTTTCTGCCAAGTCTTTTGGTAAACACACCACCCCGTCTATACGGCAATCACCTGGCTTGATTCAACCCCCATAAGCGTCCGAATTCAACATCTTTGGGGGTGAAATCGATCTGGATATATGAGCAACCATGAAAAGCATGAGTTTGTTTGAAGTCGTCCATACATAGTTGCCCTTCGGCTTCGTCGCACTTTGGCAAGAATTTGACCGTGTATGCTAGGCCTACGATTTTGGTGTCTCCGCTTTGGTAGTTAGGAGAGTACATGGTGAGACCGTCAAGATGACCACCCTACGGTTGACCAAGATTGACGAGACCGTCGGCAATCTGTCGCAACAACGTCAATTGTGACGGTTTGTGGAGTATGGAGGTCACGTGTGCCACGCGTGTTAGTGCGATGCTCCTGCGCGTTCTAAAAAGCACCTTCACCCTTAGCTGCACAGCAGATACGTCATGAACACAGACCCTGCTGATGGCCTGGTGGGGGGCAATCACACAACAAAACAAGAACACAATATACTGTTTTTACTACTTCGCACAGGTCCACCCTGACTTACTGCCCTGTGCGGTCACACCTTCATTTATTGCGTCTACTGCAGCATCAGTAACTCGATCGAACTCCGCAAGGACCAATGTCTTACATCGGATGATGAGCACTCCTTCAACCTTTGTGTAATTGTCGAAGATGAAACATTATAAGTGTAGCACTTCTGGAATAATCAGAGGCTTATCGCGGCGTGCATGACTACAAAGTTGCAAGCATGTGTTGTTATATTAGGCTACCGTAACTGGAAGGAGTCAGTGTCGGGGACTGACCGACGGGCATTGCCGGGCTACGCTCACCAATCACGGAGCTCCACAAAACCATCTAGATGCAGGCCGCGCTTCCTAGATGTATCCGTGAACAGCTTCCTGCTGCCTTCCCTGAGCTGCGAAGCACGTCCATCGCTCTCTCTATTGACTTTGCGTAAACCGCAACTGCCCTCTCTTTCAATTTCGTGAGCTCATTCCGTGACCGATTCTCGCCCACAATGCCGCACGCCAGTGCCTTGTGAAACAGCTCATCAGTTACCGGATGAGTGGCGTGAAGCACGAGCGGGATGTCGTCGACATCTGTATCTCCTATACAATGATCGAGGTGCACAACGATCGGGACACTGGCAGCATGTATCCGAGCAATCGCATACCGTACAAAATCAGGCCCCTGAAAGTGGCGTGTCCACGCGAAGAGTTGTATGATAGTTGGAGACTTCCTGCCTTCTGCTACGCGGACAATAGCGAGTATGCCATCGTCATTGTAGCTGGGATGCGCTAGCCTATCGCGTAGCTGTTGCTTTGTATGCATTCATGATACTTGCCAATTAAACGCACCCACGGCACAGCCATTCTTCTACGCCTCATGCAGAATCTACCATGTCAAGTTATTCTACGGATACCCATTATGATTAGTCTCCATGGTCATGTTCTGTATGCTGATGGCTAGCAAGCGGCCCTTTCGTAGTGACGGTTGCTGACGATAGGACATGGGTGGTACATTAGCCGTCCGTGGGAGATGATTTGGAGATTGAAGTGCCTATGGCAGCAACGTACGTCCTCCACGATATGCAGTACCCGGCCGGAACATGCTAAGTCATGCCCAGAGATCTATGAATGAATACCGTACCTAACATAAGCTCGGGCCTGCAGATTTGTTTGAGGCTTACCTGAAAGGAGCGAATGGGTTCTGCTATCGGTTTAGCATATCGAGCTGAGCACCCGGCAGATCAAAACAAGATCTCACGAGGCCTGCATGATTCCAAAGCTTATGTGGGCCTAAAGGTTCAGCGGAACAAGGCATTGAGAATGCGTTGTCAAGCTGTCAATGGAGTTGGAAAGCTTATGGAGATGAAGCTGATTATGCGCCCGGGTGTTGGATTGAGCCGGCTTACTGATAATCTTTCAGAGATATCTCTTGGCAAAAACGCGGAGATGTCTGAGTCAATCAGTCCAGATACACTTCCCGTGTGCCAAGATGCTGGCTCGATGCACGATGTTGAGGTGAAGTGACGGTTTCAGGCGTCCTTCCTGATGCCGGGTGATCGCCCGCCAACCGTCCCGCAGCTGCTTCCCGATCACTGCGGCTGAGCGAATAATGCCCAATATGCCTGCAGCCACGTTGTCTCTGATCCGACAGACAAAGTCGAGGTCGGATCCATCATTACGGTTCTACCCGCCATGACCTCAACCATCTGGAAACTTCCCCAGCCGCTAAGTACCTAGGCCCGGTTTAGGCCTCGAGGAATGAATTGTTGTCCGTGGGGGCGATTATGCATCATCCGAACATCATTGAGGTTTTACTCAGAAGGTAAATCGAGCAATACTATATGCACTCTGGCCTAGCCCTCACACCATAACAAATTTCTGGCAATTGCGAATCATGAGATCCACCCAGAATGCTTCTTCACCATTGTCGCTCTTGAACCAGACATCCCACATCAATTCTTCCGCCTGCTCCACGCTCCTGTATGGAAGGATGCTACGCACCGCACTCATTCGAGTACATACTAACGCGCGGGCCGTTAATATGATCTGAGTCTCCGTATACACCTCATCTTCCACCGTCGTTGCGCGCAACTCAGACCCGTCAGCAGTTGATGAGAAGAGGTTGCGTTCCGATTCTGAAAACATGCCGATAGATTCAAGCAGGGACAGTGTTTTACTCGGCTCTGACAGCAGCTCGCTTTCTCGATCTACGACTGAGGTGGGGGGCGAACACAACTGGTTCGGCAATCTGAGCTCACCAGCGATGATCACCAACAAGAGCTGCTCGACGCTTCTTGTCCTGGACGTGACACCGTTTTTTTCAATCACATTCAGTGCTTGAAGTGCAGACGTGGACATGTACCGCTCCGCTGCCATCTGCTCCAGAACACCATCAAGTGCCAGCTTATTAAACAATAGGTCCGGAAAACATCGATACAGCAGCAAAAGAGCACAGAGCCGGTATGCTTCAGCGATATTGCACAAGTCGGCCGCCGGAGTGTCCGCATCGTTGGTTATGTCTACATCTTCCCAATCCGGTGTTTGTAAGGACAGCAGTACTTGCTCAAGCTGCTGCGACTCGCGGAGCATACACTCTTGTGCCTTCATAGATGTGCTGCTGAGGAACGAGCAGTCGAGGGCAAGCTTCCTTTGTGTGTAGACCAGGGCGCCGACTTGACCCATGAGGTGATGTGAGTGCGGCGAGACACCTGTCAACGGATGGAGGCTGATCCCCCTGCTCTGGAAGATGCAGTTTAAAGATGTTGACTCCGGTGGATCTGGCAGTGCTTCTTTTGTCCTGTCCGTCACAAAAGCGAGGCCGGACCACCAGTACATTAGCGCCTCTCCATAGAATCTTCGCTTGTGACGTGACATGCTTGCGATGGTTCGACCGCACAATGACACAGCCTGACGGTAGTATTGTACGCCCGGGTTGTTTGTACCATCCCAGGAGGCTGATAAACCAAGCATCATGGTGGCGAGCAGAATTTCTTCTGATGCCTTGCAACTCGCTTCCTGAACCCCGACTCGCTGCAGGTGGAACAAGGTGTCCGTCTTTGCGGTTTGTAGTACGTGCCGCGCATCATCGGCGACGATGGTCTTGTTCAGATACTCGGCAGTCAAATACTTCAATAGCGCGTGATAAAGCGCCGAGCAGCGCACTTGAGCGATTGTCACATTGCGCATTGGGTTGTTGATTGTGTCGCAGATGAAGAGATGGCGGCAGATTGTTTGTCCAAAGTAGTGCAATTCTGCGGCTGGACTGTAGAGAAGGAGATCAGTGATCGGTGAAGGCTCCCAAAAGTCTAAGCACACTTGATGAGGTGACGTGTGACACGTCTGCAAGCTGTTGTCATCGTTCGCTAGCGCCAAAGGCGGATCACCCAGGTCGTTGATCTGTTCCGGAGAGTCCTTCAGCTCTAGCGGAGTATGATTCGCCTCTTCTCTCTGATGGTGGTAGATGCAGGGATTATAGCGAGACACAGATTGTTCACTGGACTCCAAGACTGGTGGCGCCGATGTCATATCCGTAGGCCAGGCGGTCGATCGTTCTGTTGTAGGCTTGCTGGTCCATTCCTGACCGGCGCGTTTTGTCGACGTTGTTGAACTCAGAGATCCATCTCCTGCAAACAATTCGCTAAAACAAGTTGTTCTCCCTCGATCGCATCCTTGTCCAAACTTTTCATGTCGGCTTGACCAGGTGAAGGTTTGGGCATATCCAGGGCATTGCACTTTTCGTTTGGTGCATTGTTGGCAGGCGGGGACTGTCTCATCGCATTTGATCTGGTCAACAGCTTGGTCAGGAACGAAAATTCTTGGAAAGAGCGACAAAGTAGTGTTTCCAGTCTCAACGGTATGAAACTCACATGTCGAGCCTTACAGGCTTTGCACCCTGAACGCGATTTGACGCGACGCTTGCCCCCAGTCTGCTTGATTATCTTCGTGCGCATAACGGCGATGCAAGCATACTGGCTCCAGCGCGCTTGAGACTCGCATGGTAGGACAAAAACATAAGCTTGAATGATGAAATGCAGGAAAGCATGGGAGAAAGCAGGAACGCAGATATGCATAACCCCACGTTTCGACTAGATAACAAACGCGCTAAGCGGGCTGTTCTTCCCCACCTCTTCTATCTCAGCGCCACCACCATCACTACTTCATCAAAGCTTCGAAGGCATTCGCGCGGAACACTTCCACGCAATCCCATAATCATCAGTGGTGAACTTGATCGTGCTACCCCTGTGCACGACGAAGGTATCGCCAGCACGCATTGTCTTCTGCTGACCTGTCTCGTCCTCTAGCGTCATGGTGCCTGCACATCGAGTCACAATCCTTTTTTCAACCTCTGCCAATTGAACAAACCTTCAATAATGATGCCGACCTCATCATATTCATACTGAGGCGGTATGGCCACCGGACCTTTCTCAAGTCGAAACCACGAACCTGTGATAGGGTTCGCATCGTCTTTGCTTCCTACAAGATCGGCTGGGACAATTCAGTATCTACGCCAACAACGCAGCAAAATGTGAAGACTGGACACCTACTGAAGTACACATTTGGACCGGCTTCAGCGAGAAGCTGGATCTCGAACTTTTCGGCGCTGCTACGATGTTTGAAGACCATGTTGAAGTTTCAGAGATAACAAGCTGGATGCCCGGAATTTAATGGGTACCTTCTGCTTCTGTTATGTGGACCTCGGGATCTATTGGCATACTCCGTGACGCTCGAAGGGGGCGGGAGCGATGGAACCATTCCGTGTTGCCCGATCTGGCGAAGAAGTGCGCTGCAGCCAATCAGCTGTTTGCGCGACTTTGACGGTTGCGCTTCATGCTCAAACACCGCCTGCACTATCTCGGCTAATATAAACCCTAGAAACGTTGATGAAAGATCTCTCACTTTTGTAACCTCGAACACGTCTTGTCTGTCCACGTTCGTTTTTATTGCCAGCCTTCACCTCCGCAACATCGTCCTACCTAGGTAGAGCTCTTTACCAACCACGAAGAATGAAGTCAGCCATGGCCAGTCGCATACCAAAATCCGGCGAAGGTTACCTTTGGAGTCCTGTTGGAGCAGTCGAAGGACTTGAGACTAAAGCTGCAATCGCCAGTCCCCAAACATGTCACGATTCTTACGACATTATCGTTATCGGCACTGGATTCGCCGGCCTCGTCGCAGCTCGAGATATCTCACAGCACAGCAACGCCAAGGTATTGCTAGTGGAGGCACGAGATCGCATTGGCGGCCGAACATGGACGGCCAGAGTAGCAGGGGAAGACATCGAGATGGGCGGCACCTGGGTGCACTGGAACCAGCCCCATGTGTACAATGAGCTACATCGGTACGGGTTACATTCGAAGCTCAAGACATCAGCAGGCACTCTGCGTCCAGAGAAACAGTATTACAAAGCCGCCGGTATGGTGCTACAGGAAGTGTCACCGATCGAAGTCAATGAGATGTCTGAGATGGTCGCTGCCAGGATGTTTCAGATTGACGGCCACGATAGCAGGACTTTGATGCCATATCCGCACGACCCACTCCGCGAACCAACGCCCTGGAAGCAGTACGACCATCTCAGCATACGGCAGCGACTTGACCAGCTGCACGACATCCCGCAAGCCGACAGAAATACCCTCGAGAGCCTAATGAGCTCTTTCGGCAGCGCGCCGGGCTCGAAGATAGGGTTTCTCGAAGCTCTTCGATGGTACGCCCTTGGAGGGCACACCATGGCGGGGCTGTTTGAGCTTGCAGGTATCTTTAAACTTGGAGGAGGTGGCATGACGGCTCTTGCGCTGGCGATCTTGAGCGATTATGAGGGCGAGGTGGTGTTGAACACCCCTGTCAAGGAGATCGACCAGGACTCTGGGGGATTCACGGTCTCAACAAGGTCGGGACAAAACATTAGGGCTAAATCGGTGATATCGACGATACCGCTGTATGTATGTCACAGCATGAGCTCGACTCTGAAAGCTGACGAATGCCCACAGAAACTGCCTCAGTGACATTGTCTTCAACCCGCCACTGAGTCCGCTGCGCCAGCAAGCCATCCGTGACGGACACATCAACATGGGTGCGAAGATCCACTTCAAACTCGCAAGCATTCAGCCTGGCTGGTTCGCATTCTGCGAAAGCACACCCACGTCGCCATACTGCTTTGCGTTCTCTGACCACAACGGCACCAAAACTAGCGGAACAGACGGAACCTGGTGTATTGGATTCGGCTATGGTGGACACCTTACTGATAAGACCGATTCCAAACATATCATAGCTGAGGTCAAGAAGAACCTCAACCCTGACGCGGATGTGCAACTATATGCGACTCATGACTGGGCTAATGACCCATACGCGAAAGGGGCCTGGAGCTGCTGGGGCCCTGGAGCTATGTCGCAGTACCTTGCAGAGTTGCAGAAGCCTGAAGGTAGACTGATCTTTGCGAGTGCTGACTGGGCTGATGGTTGGAGGGGTTTCGTGGACGGGGCGCTTGAACGAGGGAAGCTGGCTGCACGTAACGCGTTGGAGATTGTTCAGCAGAAAAGTTGTGCGAAACTGTAAGACAAACCACACTGGCGGTCCATATTACATAGCAATACAATGCAAAGCTCCCGTTTCTGCGCTGTGTGGGGCTTTATAACATGCCGCTGCATTCTCTGGAAGTATTGGGCATGCTATCTATGCACTGGGTCGAGCTTACAAGGAGCTACGATGCCCGAAAAGGCTCACGAAATGACCGTGTTGAGCTTCACGTCTCAGACTAGTGAAATTTTCTTGAAGGAACAGTCCTCGATGTACGATTGATTGTTCAGCCCTTGCTTTGGCATCACTCTGCGAGCAGGAATGGGCTACCAAAGTGGTTTAGGGCGAAGAACATCGGCTGCGTCACTTCCTGTGGCAACGCGCAACCCGAGCGGAAATATTACCGATGATACGGGTCCTTGCTATCGAGCGTACATTCGCTCCCGACTGAGCCTAGCGTTGGCCTGAAGCCTACCGAGGCCTGGAAGTCCTGCGCGGAACCTGCCACCTCGGGTGACAAAAAAGCCCGCACACCAAAATGAGCAGCTTTTCTGGCACCACCCACACAGCTGCAGCCACAACACTTGACAGTATTAGTAAATTATATAGAATTGTAGAGCTTGTTTGTTTGACAAATAGTATATTTTTGAATCAAAATTTACTATATGGTTGCTGAGATTTTAGACTTTGAAGTTGTAGCTGTCTGCACCTCTCTGCACACCTGCTTCACCATCCTGTAGTTATTTGACCTCTGTTCTGAATGCAATCCCAGAGACGATCAGGCATGCTATGTATCCAAGTATTTATGAAGTCTTGAGAGACTCCTTCCCATCCTTCCTTTGCCAGATCTATAGTATCTTGTTCATCCCAGTAGGGGTACTGTTGAAGTTGTACTTTAAGCAAAGCTTGTAAGTACTATTTGATTGGTTCTCAAGGATGAGTTCTGGTTTTGGAACAGTAATGGTAAGTCGCCTGGGTGAAACACCTAACAATGGGTTAGGGTGCAATGAGTAGTATAGAGTAGACTATCTGGCTCAAGTGCAGGTGAAATTCCAATAACAAAGTTGATTGACAAGGTTGAACACAAACCATAAGGGTTGTGTTCCTACATGCTATATACTTGAATGATTGTACAAAGTCCTACAGTATCTTACTGTCTTATGAGACGTTGTCCCAAAGTCCCGTGGGATACATGAGACTGCGTGGGAATCCCATGGCTGGCTTGCTTCTGTCCCATAGGACGCTAGACTACTTGTATTGTCCTAGTGTACTTACTTGGCCATGGGGTAGCTTGTACAACGGGTGCGGCTTCTCCAATGGCCGTTCTCCCTACGTTCAATAACTGCTGTCCCCAGGCCCAATAATTCCTTCTCTTCTGTATGTGTTTGTAACACAGTCCTTCTGCTCTTGTTGAATGGAAGCTTTGGTGTTCCTGCACAGGCCACCCACTGATAGTATCAATCAGCTACCAACCACAACAACGAAAACAGCTCTTCACTCTGACTCTGACATAGACTCAGAAGACCTGGACCACAGCAACAAGGTGTTCAGAGGCCCTCCTACTGTGAGGTCACTGTAGGCAGGCAATTGGACACAGGATGGATTGGGGCCATCTGGGGCCAAATAGGATGAAATTAGATGAATCCTTGATGGCTGAGCCTCAAGGTTTGTGAGGAATATATACAGGTGGGCCGTGAGCCTCTGGTCCAGCCCTGGAGTACATCTGAGGGCTGGCCAATACAAGTAAGGAGGAAATACTTGTGACACCTACACAGCTCCGGAGGATTGTACAGTCTATCTAGACTGCCTCTTGTTACAATCAAAGGTCAACCTGCAACAACACTGAACAAACAGGACTACGCAACAATCGAGAGGAGCCAAGGAACTGTAGTATTGATTGACCCTGGCAGTGAGGCTGCGTCAGCGATACTCGGTATGTGTAAGGGACACAACCAGAAGCAGAGGTGAACCCTCTTGCACCAAAGGGTCTCCACTAGGAGACTGAAGGGTGTCCAAAGAGACCCCATTAAGCAAGGACACCTATTCTCAGAATCTGTTGGTAGAATGGAATGACAGATAGAAATCTTGATTATTGCATTAGTTGCTTGTCTCTATTGCCCTTTCATTACAGTATGATCATCAATCTCAGTATACTCAGTACAAGCAGTATACTTGGCGCAAGCAGTATACTCAGAACGCTCAGTATACTCAGTACCAAGCAATCTGAGCCATCCTCCTGCTTGAGTATAACGTACCTCACGGGTGAGTTGGCCACTTTTGCCAAGACCCTACCAAAACACCCTTACTCCACCAATGCCTACCCAACAAGACCACTCAGATGCATCAAAGGAGAGTCAGGTACAGCTTGCACTCCAAGCTGTCAAATAAGACACAAAAATGTCCCAACAACGCGCTGCAGCCCACTATGTTGTCTCTCAAACTACACTGGGTGATTGATGCGCTGGACAACCTTTGCAAGTGGATTCTACACCTAAACCATGGAATCTGGACAATAATGAGGAGTAGGTAGTTGTTGAGCACATACTTGGGCTTGTTGCGCAAGGATTTCCCCCAAGGCTTGCAGCTGTGGTTGATATGGCCAATTCTTTGCGTGTGGAGCGCAATCTGGGCCAGGTTGGCAGAAACTGGGCCAGTACATTTGTTAAGCACCAACCAGAGCTTAAAGTGAAGTTCAATCGCAAGTACGACTACAAGAGAGCCCTCTGTGAGGATCCTGAGGTTACTCAGGGCTGGTTTTGCCTTGTAGCCAATATCAAAGCCAAGTATGGTATCCTGGATGATGACACATACAAATTTGATGAGGCTGGCTTCATGATGTGTGTTATATCTACAGGAGCCGTTTGTGAGAGGGGGCCAGCTGGGGATACCAACTGCTCTCTGAGATGGAAGGATTGGTGGAAGGATGATTCAGGCTTGTTGGAGATAAGGGTGTAGAAGAGATCAAGTGTGGGGATACCACAAAGGATCAGTGAGGAGTGAGTTGAGGAATCTGTACTACTCATTGCAACTAGTTGTCATGGTCTTTGACTAGATGTCTACCCCTGATCGCTCCAAGCATTGCTTAAGTGATCAACCCCTTGTTCCTTCACGCTACACTTATCCCTGAGAACTAACCCAACTAGTGCCTATGAGCTTTGCTTGAGACACAACCTCAACACTCCCATTATTGACAAAAGTAACGACAATAACTTGAACATTCGAAAAGCTTGGGGAAAACATGATACATCTAATAAGATATGTATATTGATAGAAGTCAGCCCACAGCGAAGCAAGAACTTGTTTCTCCACCGTGGCACTATGCAGTGCAGGCAAGCACGCTTCGCGGTACCTGCATTCACCTCCAACCATCTGGTAGCGCCTAAATGCCCGACTAATGGGCCTTCCTCTTTGGCAGCCTCACATGGCTGACCACAACACAAATGAACATTGCCAGACAAATTGTTGGGATCATCCATGCACTGCCCAAGTATGCGTACATCTCCTTCTCACTATATCGAATTGCCGAGATACAACAAAGGGCGACACCAATCACCGCGCAGATCGATGATCGAACGAACGTTGACATGCCACGTTGATGCTGGGGGAGGGACAGGAAGCCAAGCGTTGTGATGAGAATCAGGGCTAAGCCAGCCTGGATATCATTAGCAAAGCACGTGATAAAAGGCCGGACCTAAAGGAGAGATTTACTGTAATGAATGTGTAGCTCATGACGAGGTCAAAGATGTCGTAGTACTGGTTCAGTATCATGCTGATATCCGGCTTGGTTTTCTCGCCGCCTGTGCTCTTGTTCTTGCTCTTTGCGACTGTGACACTAAAGCTGTCAAACAAAGTCTTCAAAGTCGATGAGGTCATGCTGTTCCATCCATCCAAGAACTGGTCATACGCTGTGTCGTTGTTTGAATTGGCGAAGAAGTTGTCAATCCCGTCGCGTACGTCTAGCGTGGCCTGGTAAACAGCTGCTACCTCTTTGGATGCGTCGACACCCTTTGGGACGTAGTTATAGACATGGCCATAGCAGGTCGCGTTCGCAAAGTATGCGAAGATTTCGCCGGTGGTGTAGTTTCCTGTAAGATCACTGACCCAGTCTGCAAACGTTGTTCCCTCTGGCATGACTTCTGTTCCGTTGGCCACGCTGAGCAGCCAGTCTTGAGCCGGGACCAACATGCCCTCCCATCCGTTCATTGCGTCGACTGCTTGGCGCCAAATGATAAGCAGTGACACACCTTGGAGGACGAGTACAAGGACGGTGTGGAGTGGGAAGTGCAGGAATGACCAGATCTGCTGCTTGATACTGCCGAAGTGCTCTTCCTGTATGCGGTCGAAGTAGAGTTGATAGAGCCAGTAGATGATGAGAATACCAGCGATAATCTGGCCTACGACCGATGCCGTCCACAAGAACTCGTTTTTGACGATTTTTGAGATGGACTTGCAGATGACAATGATGCCTTCTCCGAGAATGATCAAAGATAAAAGAGACATGCGCTGCACCATGTGTGTCCCCTTGAACGAGATGATTGTCCAGTAGCACGACACCGCAACCGTGAGTATCGTTTCCGAGATGGCGATGATGTACCATGCAATGTAAACGTTGGAGGCTTGGCTAATGATATAACCGTCGGCGTCCAATTTGACCTTGGGAAAAGCTGGCGTGAGCGCACCGTACAGTATCGCAGCAGCCAAAGTCGAAGCCATGACTAGTGCGATAGGAAGGACAGTCTTCCTGTACTTCTTTGTGTAGAACAGCGTGATGCCATACTGGGCGAACAAGGTCAAACGCGATACCATCAGTATCAATCCAAAAGCCTTGTAGATCTTGTAGTCGTAAATCTGTTGGCCAGGCTTCCACTGAGGACCGATAACAGCGAAGCCAACCATGACGCCAAAGTGTAGTGCTTTTGCAGTGCGTTCGAACACAGAGTCCGCGCTGAAGCGGACATCATAGAGCGACACTTGATACCAAGTGAGCCACAGAAGACTGAAGAAGCCGATGTACGCAGTCAGGGAGTGCCGATCGTTAATCTCAAGCATGGACGTGAAGGTGGTCAGGTTCGCCACAAAGAACAGGTCGTAGAATAGTTCCGCAGTCGTAGCTTCTGCATGACGATGAAATGCTGGGTTGTCATGTAGAGCGCAGTCCATGTTCTCAAAGTTTGGTCGGGAAGCATCGACGGTGTGTGCATGTGCTGTGGACTTGTGCTGTTGCTCCAGATCGGTGTCAGAGTTGCTTGCATTGGTATGATGATGATTGGCGTGTGAGGGCTCCTGGAGAGGTGTGGCGAAGAAACTCAGAGGGTTATTCTCCTCATGGTGGTGTGCTTCGTGACCCATCTTGACGATGCAGGTTACGAAAGGTAGTTGGAGAAGTGAACAGGGAGCAAGAATTGCAAAGAGTGACTCTAAGCTAAAAGTAGGGCAGGTTAATGGGACTCCTTCAATGCGAGGCTTTCACCTTATATCACGGGTCGTCAATAGAGGACTGGCTTATGGGGCCGGTGTGAGCTTCAACTGCGAAGAATGCAGCCACAACGCCAGTCAAAATATGCAGGTATGTCGAAATGCCGACACTGCCATCGTCCACACGTTGTACAGGTGCATCGAATGGTGCCAGGACATCTGTAGGGAAATGACTCTAAGCCATGCGTGAAAGCCGGTCCACTCATAGGCATGATCACAACTGTGGTGCAGGGCTAAACCTAGCCCCCAAGGCCTTGGAGTTCTAGCTTAGTATCAAAGAGAAATGCATCAATGACCCGATCTCTCATCAACACCAGATGTACGTTTCACCAAGACGCCTCCAGACTTTGGGCAGACGGCACCTAGCTTGCCAAGCCCCACGCAAGGCCTGAAATAGAAGCTTTCCTGGGGTAATGCGTGGTTGGAAAAGGGGATTTGGCAGTCAGCTGTGTAAGCTTTTGATGATCTGACCTGCAGTGGCTTGACAACGAGATGTGAGGCTGAAGTTAGCCCCCAACCCGGCGAATAAGATTGGAGCTTAGCTGTGTAAGCTTGGCAGCTGAATCTCGAGCTGTGCTGCCTAGACTCGTGCCGCAGAAGGGCAGACAAGGTGCTATCTCGGTCGTAAGCATTAGTCTCAAAATACCCCGATAACAACGTTTCGTGGTCGTAATCCTCCCGCGCGGGAGGCCTTGTCCGCACATTGATTTAGTGCCTTTAACTATGGAGTCAATAACGATGATCTCGGATACTGCACCACTCCTGCAATCAAAATCTGGGTAGATGTTCTGTTATCGTGCTATTTTGCGATGCTTTTTTGTCCATGCCGTGTTGTTGGTGGGACAGCCACGTGTTGGACGCCTCGTTCAGCGTGCAGGTGAATCTTAAATCAATTGGAGGTTGAGGATGTCTGTATTGATAGCTAGAATAGCTCGAGCACTCGGTATCGTGGTGAATTGTTGGCTATTCAACAGTCTTTCGTTGCTGCGACGCCTCGCTCCTGCAGGTGTGTCGTCGAGCTGGGGCCTATCCTGTGCACCACAGGACGGAGGCGTTGCATAGGCCGGTGTTACCTGGTATCTTCATCGTTGATCTGCATCTGTATCCGCATTGCCTCCTGCTCCCAGAAGTCGGCAAGCTGCTCGGCTCCTCGTCTCCCACCAAATTGCACGTCGCCATTCGGCATGTCGCCCTCGGCCCCGTCCATCAGTCGCTGGAAACATCCCTTGTTCTTTGGGTCATTGAAGTGTTGGTATGGACGGCCTGGATCCAGCCAGGCGCCGCACAGGTAGCAGAAGTGTGTTTTGCATTGTGCACATGTCATGTGGTTGCCTGAAGCAAGGTCAGCTCATTCGGATATGTTAAGAGTGAGGAGATTGGCCTACAGCCGAATGACTTCTGACAAGGAACCGAGCAGTATGCGCACGGCGAAGTGTTCTTCATGATGAAGTTCAGGGATGCCTGATCCTCTTCGGTGAGCTGATTGGCGTCGCGGGGTTCGCAGCGCACGAAGTCGCCATGCCACGACGAGAGGCAGACGACACAGAAGGCGAGAGTGCAGTCTTCACAGACAGCTAGGCGATCCATACCCTTGACCCCGACTGCGCGCTTCTCTGGCCCTGTTGGAGCATCCGACTGTGCTGGGCTATCCTCTTCTGCTTCAGAGTCCGACTCGTCAATCTGGCTCACGTCCTTGATCTTGGGATACTTATCTGAGCGCATCGCGCCTTGACACCATTGTCGCGGGCAAAACATGATGTTGGGGTCCGATTCCATCTTCTTCTTTCGTTTGATGTTGACGTATCGCTCCACTTGCTCACGGCGCAACGGTATTTGCAACAGCTCTTTCGGTGATATCAACCGCTCCTTCTTCCTTCCGCCACCGCATTCTGTCGACATGCACTTCACGTTGTTGACAGCACCCTCAATGATGCAGTTGTTGTAGTAGTCTTGTAAGCAGGCAACACAGAAGACGTGGCTGCAGCGCTCCATTCGGTAGCACGCCGAGCCCTTCTTCGGTTCTAGGCAGACCTCGCAGTCGAACGTCTCCTTGTCGAACAGCTCGCGCTTCATCCGCTTGCTGTAGTCTTGCAGCTCCTTCCGCATCGAGGCAGATAGCGTGAGCTCTTCGATACCGAAGCATGTCTCAGCCTGCTCCTGCAACGAGCTAATATAGGCGAACAGTACCATGCCACCTCCATATTCGTCCCATAGCGACTTGGCCTCATCTGCGAGCTTCTGTGCGGCGCTAGCTGGCAGCCATGGCGGGGTAGTTGTTATGTTGATGTGTGGCGGTCCATCGTTGGGGTACTCGGCGGGCAGATCGATCTCGACATGCAGTGAGGGAAGGTAGCCCAGGCGTTGGACATCCTGTTCGGGCGTAAACGTGACGGGGAGCGGCTTCGTAGGCGCCACCAGCAGGTCGAGGGTCGCGGTGTACGGATTACTGGAATCGTTCACCAGCTCAGGATAGATAGACTGCAACGTGTCGAACTCTTCCGTGCGTTCGTCTGAACACTCGTCCATAGCGATGTGTGGTTTACGTAGATGTGTAGTATGCGGCGCGTGGCGTTCAATAAGTTGTATGGCGGTTTAGGGCGCCCGCGACGGAGAATGACGGAGATAACCAAGGGCGCTGACGGTGCAGAGTGGCGACTATCGATAGCGAGAAAAGGCGAATGCGCCCTTGAAGAGTCCCATTGCTCGTGACTCCAACTTTTCTGCAGGCCCGTTATTCATGGCGGCGAGGTCTCGATGTTGATGGGCTAGCCGTTGCTGACAAGGCCGTGGGTGCTCCCGCTGCGGCGGAAGATGCCAAGGACGCGGACACGCAGCCGAATTCGCCATCATTGTTCATCGTCACTGTGTTCTTCGAGACAACAACCTCACTTTTGCTCCTTGCATCTGCCTGCAAGATGGAGAATCCTCCGCTTGCGTCGTTGTCATTGACGCATGTCCACTATGTTCGTACCCCACTGCTGCCCGCCGTCTATGCTGCTGACCCTGGAAGAACCCCGCGGACCGCATCTCTTACCTCTGTGCCTGGCTGGCTCTTGTGCCGCAGGGGCTATGTGTAGTGTATGCAACGCTGATATGGTCAAACCGCGAGATTGAGATTGGCCTTATGTTCGCCGGCCAGATGGCCTGTGAGGCCCTCAATTGGGTGCTGAAGCGTCACTTCAAGGAGGAGCGACCTCGAGGTACGAATGAACATAGCTCAAAGTACATGAGACGGTATGCCGACAAACACAGAAATGCACGGAAAGGGCTATGGCATGCCGTCATCCCACGCACAGTTTGTGGCTTTCTTCTCGGTCACCCTGACGCTCTTCCTCCTAATTCGTCACGTCCCTCACCCAACCGAAACCCACACACCGTTCAGCTTTGCCAGCCGCTTTGTGCTGTCTCTCCTCGCCATAGCATCCGCAGGAGCAGTCGCCGTCAGCCGCATCTATTTGAGCTACCACACGCAGAAGCAGGTTCTCGTTGGCTGTGCTTGCGGTGCACTATTCGCCATTGTATGGTTTGGATTCACCACCTACTTGCGTAGAGCTGGGTGGATCGAGTGGGCTCTCAGCACCTGGCTTGCAAGAGCATTCCGCGTCAGGGATTTGGTAATTCAAGAGGATTTGGTCGATTCAGGCTGGGCACGATGGCAGGAGAGGCGCAAACGACAGGAATTTCGCGTCCAAGGCAAGAAGAGCAGGTGATGCGACGTCATCAATAGCAACGTTGAATCCCAGCATCGGGATCACCGACAATGTCATATCCGGGTTTTAGGAAACACCACTCGCTACAACCCGCCCACCATACGAAACTCATCCACTGATCGCAAAGTAATTTACTCTGCCGTCGGAGGGCGGCCTAGTCAAATGCCCGCACGTGCGTCTCGTTCCACTTTTCCGCGTGCATTGGCGCCACAACAGGGCAGTCAACCTGTTGTATCACCACCAGAATCACTGACACTATTGCTTGCTCCAAGCGTGCATCACCTTGTTTATACGACTCACCGCTGAGCTCTTAAACGCCAATGACTAACTATCATCAATCAAGAGGCGTCCATCCCTTCTCACACATAACGTTTCGCAGTAGTGTTGCAGCAGCGCGTAGACCGGTAGAGGCGAGCGAAAAGCAAGACCTCGCTCATGATCTCGAGACGTCAGTACTCGTTACGAATTGTGACCCACCCAGCTCATCAACACATGCAAATCATCGGCAATCTGCACAATCTGCCTCTAAGTCGCCGTCACCAAACAACAGGTGGGTCCAAAACGGCTGTCTGCCATGGTTTCAAACCCTATCAACCGTTGAACCCTGCATACGGGCTGGTCGCTAAGCTCCCGTCCCACTGCACGATCGTCATACATCGTCACTCATACTGGGATAGGGGCTTTTCACCACTTGCTTAAGTCTCGGCCAAGCTCTGCCATACTGTCAGCGTGCAGGTTGTACGTACAAAATACACGTTGAGGCGGGTATGATCGTGCGAAGACCGATGGTGTCGATGCCTCACCATCCCAGCCGCTGAAAGCTCTGTTCGCACATCAAGATCTGCCTCTACCATTCTCCTCTTCAGCTTCCCCTCCTTTTATCCCTTCTTAAACCGAATTGTGTTGAGGTCCCAAGTAAACATTAAATTGACATACTTCAGTCTTCGCCATGCCACGACTCCCAGTTCATCGTGAGCCGAAAGAAAGTCGAGACGGCCACACCAATGAACACACCAACGGTAACAGCGGGCGAAAGCAGCCTCAGCTCAGCACACTCCAGAAGCACTTGGTCGCTGCATCAGGAGAGTTCTGCGGAACCTTCATGTTTCTCTACTTCTCGTTCGCCTGTCAAATCATGTTGCACACACAACGAAGCGACTCGTCTCTTGAGAATGGCGGCTTCAGCGCCACGATGAATATCCACACTGCCCTCGTCTATGGCTTCAGCTTGTTGGTCAACGTATGGGCTTTCTACCGAATCAGTGGTGGTCTTTTCAACCCTGCTGTAAGTTTTAACCCCTTCGAATAAATCTCACGACACCTAAAGAGATACTTAGGTCACATTCGGCATGGTCCTCGCTGGCACACTCCCTCCAATCCGTGGCCTCATTCTGTTCCCGGCCCAACTTCTTGCCGGCATGTGCGCTGCTGGTCTTGTACAGTGCATGTTCCCCGGCGACATTACACTCACCAACACAACACTCTCACCCGGCACCAGCATCGCGCAAGGTGTCTTCATCGAGATGTTCATGACTGCCGAGCTGGTCTTTGTTGTGCTGATGCTCGCTGCTGAGAAGAGCAAGGACACTTTTATCGCGCCTGTTGGCATTGGTCTGGCACTTTTTGTTGCTATGATGGGCGGTACGTACCTCTCCTCCACGCTTCTGCAGCCATATATGGGAAAAGTATACTGACAATTCATAGGCGTCTACTTCACCGGCGGCTCGCTCAACCCCACCCGCAGCTTTGGTCCTGCTGTCGCCGGCACGCAATTCCCTGGCTACCACTGGATCTACTGGATCGGCCCGCTACTTGGTGGCGCGCTCGCTGCTGGGTACTACCGCTTTGTGAAGTACTTCAACTACGAGGAGGCGAACCCAGGTCAGGATTCTGCGAATGGTGACTTCAGCGGGTGAAGCGTTGTGACGGCTGCATCCCCGAGCCTGCACTCTTGAACCGGACTTCAACACAATGTCTGTCAGCTGTCCCTTGTCGCCTTATACAACACGCCTGCTATAGTAGCAGATTTCCTTCATGCCCACACTATTACATACTAGATACACTTACGACGTGACGAGCTTTAAAGGGGCAAAAAAAAACATTTGCACTAAGAGTTCAAGTCTTATGCTCATCTATTAACGGTGGAGGCGAGCCTGTTCAAATGAGTAGAAATAATTGGAATGATTACTATACAGTCTGACAAATTCACAACGTACGTGTTCTAGCGTTACACCATTGTTTGATTGATTGATTGGTTTAACATCCTATCTGAGTCTAAGGCTATGCAAGACAAGAGCGCAGTAGCTCCTCTGGTAATGCAAAGATTTAGTTACAAAAGAATGAGGTCAATGGAGGTACAAGGGTATTACAATCCATGAACAACTCGCAAAACAACACTGAACAAACAGGACTACGCAACAAGACAAGAGCAGCCAAGGAACTGCAGTATTGATTGACCAAGCTGTGAAGCCACGTCAGTGATACCCAGTATAATCAACACTCGCAATATCTGTTATACAAACCGAGATTGTACAAAAAGGACTGCAGTGGATACAACGTGGATCTTGTACACAAACAATCATCACAGACCCATATACCAACCCACTTGCAGAGGACCCACGTCAACAACGATCATAACTTCTGGTCAACACCTATATTGTTCCCCATGCCTCCTGGCATCCCAAAACCATCAGAATTCATCTCAGCACACTCCCAAGAGCCATTTCCTCCATTTTGTGACCCTCCAGCCTTCTGGTTGTGCAGTGCAGCCCAGGTGCAGTCCTGCTGGCTGTTCTGCCCCTCTATTGCAGAATTTTCTGGTCAGATCCTCCGCAGAAAGCCTGCAATACCACCATTTGGTCCTCCCAGGCCTTCCCCAAGCCCTGCACCATCAAATTTTCATCAGCATTCATCTCAACACACCTCAGGCTATCACCTCCTCCAGTTTTGGACCCTCCAGGCCATTATTGAGCTGTGCATCTCAACTGCAAGCCTCCTGCTCCTGACCGGAAATTTTGATGTTCTTGTGGCTGGACCCTGAAAATAAGCGAACCACTCAGGCCTCAGCAGCCCTGTCCCCTGACCGGAAAAT